CAGTTCCGGACGATGCCACATTGCCAATTGTGCTGGTGATGTACTCAGGCCTGGCGGTAATTCCCTTCAACAAATAAAACATGCTGTTCACCTACTGTTGGCTGAGTCTTGCTGCACAGGGTGGGGGCTCGGCAGGATGCACACCAGGCCCCGGGGAAGGGCCCGGGTCCAGTCCCCCAGGCCCCCAAGTCTTCCTGTGAAAGGCTGCTTTCTCTCCAGGTTTTGAGGACGAGGTAGCCAGGTCCACCACACAGCCCTAGAGGAGCCCAGTGCCGTCTGTGGGCCTTTTCCCTTCCACAGCCAGAACAAGCAGGGAGAGGCCTGGGCCCTCCTGCCATCAGGAAGGGATGGCAGGAGAAGGGCGTGAGCCCCATGTCCCTCCAGATAGATGGTGACCCCATGACCACCACGGGGTCCCAGGTCGATCCACGCAGAGCCTCCTGGGTGTGAGTGTGAGAAGACATAGACCACCCCACCCTCCCATCAGCACGGTGGTCAGCTTTCTATCACCGTGACAAAACTCCTGAGACCACCAACTTAAAAAGAGGAAGGGGACTGTTTGGGTCACAGCTTTGAAGACTTCAGTCTGTGGTCCCTTACCTCACTGCCTTTGGGTCTATTGCCAGGAGTCACATCACGGCAGGAATGCACGGCAGAGGAGGGCACCAAGAAGCAGAGAGAGGGAGGAAGGGGCCGGGATCCCAAGGACCAGCTTCCCCTCTGCCAGGCCTCCCAAAGTTCCATAGACTGAGGACAAAGTCTTTCAACATGTTAGCCTTAGGGGAAGACTCACAATCCAAACCACAGCTGCCCCCACTAATAAACCTACAAAATAATAGGGCCAGTGTGTTAGTACACACCTATAATCCCAGCACTTAGGAGCCAGAGGCTGAAGGATCAAGAGTTTGGGGACAGCCTGAGCTACATAGCAAGACTCTATCTCCAAAAATAAACAAAGACTGACAGTGTGGTTCCAGTGGTAGAACACCTGCCTAGCAAGCACGAGGCCCTGAGTTCAAAACCCCAGTACTACCAAAGAACAAAACAAACAAAAATCCAACAAAATAGAGCTAGCCCACGAAGTGTGTGGTGACGGTAAGCAGGAGAGAGCATCCTACAGGCTCCAGCCTTCCTGCTGGGCACGAGGCTGCCCAAAGCAGGCCTGATCTGTTCTCAGATCATGGTCAGGAACCACACATCCCACACAGCTGGCTGCACAGGTGGGGCACTTGCAGCCACCGTTCCCATCTTCCCCAAGCTCAACACCTGGGTGAAACTCTTACCAGGCAGCCCTCAAAGCTGGGGCAGGAGCCCTTGTGGACCCTGGATGCCCTCCCACCCCTGTGCAGGGCCTCTGTGCTGGTGAAAAGCTGGAGACCACAGCCAAGCAGAGCTCCAGGGGTGACCCCACTTCACCTTGCTAATTCTGTGGGGGTGGGGTCTTGATACACAGCACAGTTAACACTGGAGAATGCAAAGTTGAAATCCAACACTTGAGGAAAAGTAGAACTTCTTTTGAGAAACAAACTCTCCTCCCACCTGTCTTTGTTACTCCCCCTCCCCCAGTCAACCCTCTCCCAGGGTCTTTCTTCTCTTTCTTTTGTTTTTTGAGACAGGATCTCAATATGCAGACCAGGTTGGCCTTGAACTCCCCATCTTCCTGCCTCCGTAGGGAGCTTAGCGAGCTCCTATTCTACCGAACTAACTGGGGGCAACTGGAGATGTAGAAAGGACAAACGATAGAAGACAGACATGCAGAAAGCTGGGCCAGGTGTGTTGGGCGCTTGGATGGAGATGCACAGCAGCCTCGTGGCTTCCTTCTCTAACTTTCTTTACTCTGCTTTTCTCTTATTCTTTAAGGCCTTACTCCTTTGCTGTTCCTTAAAACTTTGCTTCTTTTCTATTCTTTAAAGTCTCCTGCCTTATACTCACGTCCCATGTTTTCTTTAATCTCTCCTAAAGCCTCAGTGCTCAGACTTGCACTGGCCCACGTTTCCTCTAATCTCTAGCATAACTCAGCAGCAGGCCCCTCGCAAGCCGCCAACCAATCACCCCACCCCATCAAGAAATCCTCATGTCCTCCTTCAGTGAGTCTTTTATACCCAGTGGTAAACAAGGAGGTGGAGCGACAGTTCTCAGGGAGAGGCAAGACATTATAACAAGAGAAACCTGTGTTCCTACTTCTCTGAACTTCAACAATTTAGGAAAGCAGCTGTGTCACATTTTGCCTAGGCTTCTTATAATCTGCTCCCCACAGCCTCCCAAGTGTGGGGATTACAGGCATGAAGCACCACTCTGCTCTCCCCCAAGGTCATTTTATGCCCACGGCACAGAGCCTGTTTCCCCAAAAGAGCTCATCCAGCTGTTGTTTTCAGGCTTGGCTCACAGTGGCCTTCACCTCGATCCCACCTGATCCTCCCAGGCCAGTGAACCCCACATCACCTCCCCACCTGCTCTATGTAGGTGGGGAGACCTCTCATTGTGTGACCACCCTCCAATTCCATGGGAACTTGGGGACAAAGGCTGCAGTGACTGAGTGGAGGTCTCCCAAAAGATGTGCCTCTGAAACCTGTGAATGAGACCTTCCCTAGGATAAAGGTCTTTGTAGGGTCTTAACAGTCTCAAGACAGCATGCTCTTGGACTAGGATGGACCCCAAGAGTTCAATGACAAATGTTCTGGTGAGAGATGGAGACACAGCCAGAGGGAAGACAGCCGTGAAAACAGGTGGAACCATTTGGTCACAAGCCCAGGACACTTGGTGCCACCTGCAGCAGGAAGAGGCAGGATGGAGCCTCTCTGGGGCCTGAGGAGAGAGCACAGCCCCCACGGACCTGGTCAGACTTCTGGTCTCAGAAATGTGAGGATAAACTTCCATACACCCAGCTGTGGTCATTTGTTATGGCAGACACAGGACAGTGACCCACAGCAGATCCTCCAGACGGTGAAACTCTGACACCAACCCAGACAGGGGGCTGGGCAGCATGCAGGCTTGGGTTGACACTCGGGGAACAGGATGGGAATTCTCTTCCACCTAATGAACATGAGTTCTGTGTGCAAAGGGGGTCTGTGAGCACAACCTGAGGGAGTCCCAGCCCGGGAATCCATGCCAGCCAGGGAAAGGAGCCAACAGGGGGTCACGGGGCCACAGCAGCTTTGAGGTCTAGCCAGCCTCGCTCAGTGTCTCCAGCTGGCCCCTGTGTCCTCCCTGACATGTGTGAGCCCTGGTGTTCCCAGGACCTGGCTTGGGGACTTGCACACGGGAAGCACATGGTAGATACTCGCTAATGATGATGATGAAACAATTTGCAAAGTAGGAGCATGGAGACCCAGAGGCATGGTGTTGGCACAAAAGCAGGGTCTGCAGGGAAATGAGTTAATGAAAGACTCCCAAGGGGCCTAAAAGCCCCACCCAGAGCAGCAGAGAATCCCTCTTGCGTGTGTGTGTGTGTGTGTGTGTGTGTGTGTGTGTGTGTGATGAGAAAGAGAGAGAGATCACCATCTCAACCAATAAGCCAGGAGTGGTGGTGTGTGCCTGTCATCCCAGCTACATAGGAGGCCTTAAGTAGGAGGATCTTGGTCCAGGTATCCCCCAGGCCAAAATGTGAGACCCTAGCTATCTAAAAAATAACCTAGAGGCTGGGCGCCTTGGTGGATCACACCTGTAATTCTACCACTCAAGAGGCGGAGATCAGGAGGATCTCGGTTCAAAGCTAGCCCAGGCAAATAGTTTGAGAGACCCTATCTTGAAAAAATCCTTCACAAAAAAGGGCTGGTGGAGTGGCTCGAGGTGAAGGCCCTGAGTTCAAGCCCCAGTTCTGAAAAAAATAAATCAATTAAATAATAAAATAACTAAAGTGTACAATTCAAAATAATGAAAGTAAGCCTAAAACTAGGATGCGACAAGAAACAAGTGTACAATTTGATGAACTTACTACGTTGTTACTAATTTTAACGGTGGTAAAATATATAATTTGTATCCTGTCTTTAGCAGTACTGATGTTTGAACTCAGAGCTTTGTGCTTGCAAAGCAGGGACTCTAACTCTTGAGTCACACCTTCAATCCATTTTTTGATCTGGTTATTTTTGGGGGGGGGTGGAGGGGTCTTTCCAACTATTTGCCCAGGCTGGCCTCAAACCTCAATCCTCCTGATCTGAGCCTTCTGGGTGTAATCCTAGTGCCCAGCTGTATTTATTCTATTTAATGTCAATGAGCAAAACTAGATCCCACTAGTGGAAGATACAGAGAGAAATTATGTCTTCATGTGTAAATCCTACAAAAATTTAAAATGTGCCGGGCTTGCTGGCAGAGTGGCTCAAGTGCTAAGAATGCCTGCCTAGCAAGTGTGAGGCCCTGAGTTCAAACTCCAGTACTACCAAAAAAAAGGTTCTATCTGGACATGAAAAGGTTTCTAAAGGCTCAACAACACAGTCATAAGGAAATGGAGGGCTGGTGTCCAAAATAACAGAAATGGGGCCTCAGGCCCTGGGGGGAAGGTGGGGAAAGGCTCCCCACCCTGCCTGAACCAAACCACCAGGACTGAGTGAGGACTCGCTCCGGGCCTGAATCTACTTCAACAGAAAAGGGGCGCCTGGCGAGGTCCCGGGTTCCTCCGGCCAGAGCAGGAGGCACTGGGGCTGAGCCTCTGGGAGCTCCAAGGCCAGGTGCACTTCTGGCCGGCAGGTAGATGAACGAGTTGAGGATCCCCTCTGCTGCTCTGTGAAGCCGGAGAGACCCTGGCCCGGAAGCTGCGTCGTTCTTCATCGACACTGCTCCTGTGCACCTTAGCCTCGGGGAAGAGAGGAAGACTGAAGCAGCAGGTTTAGTCCCGGGGCGGGGCTCGAGACGCGCTGTGCGACGGCCTGCCAGCAGAGGGCGCGCGCTCCCACAGGACGAGATGCGCATGTGCCAACTGGAGTGCTTTCAGGCAGCGTGGCGGAAGAGCCGTGCAGTTTAGCGCCATCGGGCAACGTTGGTGCGTGGTGCCTAGCGGCAGTGCGGCCATCATGGCGTCGCCCTTCAGTGGGGCGCTGCAGCTGACGGACCTGGATGATTTCATCGGGCCGTCTCAGGTGGGCCGGCCGGGCGGGGCTGCGTGTGTGGTGGGAAACCTCTTCCCACTCGTTTATTTCCTTGAAAAAGCGATCTGACCGCGGGTTCCAGCCCTGCCCTCGAGGGACCCCGACCTCAGAGCTCCGGGCTGTCTGTCCCCCTTTTTAACAACAGGGAAACTGGCTAGGGAGGGCTGTGTCCACCAGCCCGGTTACTGTGTCCACAGTGTCCCGGCGTGACTTCGGGGCCGCTGTAGGAGGGTTTGAGGGTCGCAGATAGGCTGGTAGCAGATCCCATAGTCTAGTGGAGAAAAGTGGGGGCCATTACCACGCGGTCTGCGCCGCCACTGTCCCTCCCCGGGTCATGCAGCTGGGGATGCAGGGACAGCACTGGGACTGGGCCGCCTCTGCACTCCGGTGGGGACATCCCCTCGGGCTTCTGAGCCACAGTTTGGACATCTGCTTGAACAGGAATAGTGTTGAAGGGTGGGGAGGTCCAGTTGGGGCACAGTAATAGCTGAGGTCCTTGACCTAGACCTGGGGAGGACAGCCCTTGTAAGGGACCAGGCAGTCACCCAAAAATGATGGTGCCCATGTCTGGACGAGACTGCCAGAGGCTGCCTATGGCTCAGCACCCTGGGCTACAAGTCCCACAGCCAAGAGGACCCAGAGAAAGAAAGGGATGACCCACCACCCAGGCAGGGTGAGCTGGGCAGCCTCCAGCAACTGCTCTCTGGGGCTGGTTGTCACTTTCGGGAAAGGCAGTGGCCACCATGGTTCTCGTAGCAGTGATGAGGGAGAACTCAGACATGAGCCCTTACCTGCAGCACCGGGCAGGTGACCTTCAGATGTTTTCAAGGAAGGCATTTCTGCCAAGCTCTGCTCTGAGTAGCCATTTACACTCTGGCCTCTGTGTGGTGCCTGCTGTCTACTCTTAGAGTGAAGGTCGGTGCACTTAGCACTGGCCTTCAAGCTACCCCAGACCTGTGGTGAGTGACCTTGGTGTTAAAAACTGGGGCACTGTGCAAAGCAGGGTAAGCAGCCACAGTTTAGGATGGCTTCTGTAATAGGAAGGTGGTGGAACTGGCTTCCATGCTGGAGTGTGCAACTTAGGGCAGAGTCTCATCTATGTGGCCAGTAGGCAGCCAGGCAGTTTACCCTTGAGGCCCAGTTTCCTTGAGAGCCTCCCCTTCCTCACAGGCCTTGGTTTGGGGTCTCTTCCTGGTATAGGACTGCATCAAGCCCGTGAAAGTGGATAAGAAGGCAGGAAGTGGTGTGGCCAAGATTCACATTGAAGATGACGGGAGCTACTTCCAAGTGAATCCAGTAAGGCACAATAGGCTTCACCACAGTCCAGCTGAGAGGATCTGAAGCACACTTTCTCTGCCTCATCCAGTCACAAATGTGACAACCTTGAGACTCCACACCTCGTCATTGTCACTGGTCACACTTACCATGGGGTGTGTAGGCACCGAGGCTGAACCTCTCTTGTTCTGCAGGGGAGCTCTTGGGCAGAGATGGTGGAGCCTGCCCCCTACACTATTCTAACTATTTGGGAGTTCTGACACTGGCGATGTGGCTCAAGCAGTAGGATGCCTTTTCTACAAGTGTGAAGCCCTAGGTTCAAACCCCGGTCCCACCAAATATAAATAAAGGGCTGGCAGAGTGTCTGAAGTGGTAGAGTACCTTCCTAGCAAGCATGAGACCCCCAGCTTCAAACCCCAGTACCACCAAAAAAAAAGTTTCTGATTCTGGTCCTTGGAACACCTCCTTCTCTCTAGTTAAGTGATGGTAAGATCCTGATGTGACTATGTTGAATTTCACTCCCCACTAGCTACCGGTTGAGACTCTAAACACTGAAGTCCAGTCAGCCCTGTTCATGTGATTTAGGTGTGATAGTGAGTTTGATACTGATAAGAACGTGCAGAATTGTGTGAGTATTTGCATAATATTTAATTTTTTTTAAATTTGAGTGGCAGGGCTGGGAATGTAACTCAGTGGTACTGAGCTTGCCTGGCATGTGCAAGGCACCAAATTCGATCCCTACCACCACAAAAACATAGTGAAAATTGAGTAGGCACACATGCCCAGTTAGCCACTGCCCTGGTTGTCAGTGGTGCTACAACGGGAAGATAAAGGGCTCTGTGGGACAGGTGCCCAAGAACTCTGAGTTCTAGAGAGGGACTGTCGGCTCCAGGTCTTGTTCCTCTGCAGGATGGAGGGACCCGGAAGCTGGAGAAGGCCATGGTGTCACTGAATGACTGTCTGGCATGCAGTGGTTGTGTCACCTCGGCAGAGACTGTGCTCATAACTCAGCAGAGCCATGAGGAGCTGCGGAAGGTTCTAGAAGCTAATGAGGTAAGCAGTGGAGATCAACCCCAGCAGCCTACAGCATGTTCCATTGGGGCCGCTCACCATGCCACTTGGCCCCATCTCCAAGTGACTGCTGTGTCCTTAAGGCTCATACTCCTGAGAGTGCTGGGCCCTGAACTTTGGGTTCCACATGTACATCAGCGTGACAGACTGTGATGGAGCTACATGCTCTCCAGAGCTGGCAGCATCTGGCCGGGCCAGGCCAGCCACTGGGGATCTGCATCAAGCCTGCAGAACCAGTGACTTTGCTGGTTCTATCTCCCTTGCTTTGCAGATAGTGGCACCCAATGAACAACGGCTGGTGGTCGTGTCAGTCTCGCCCCAGTCCACAGCATCGCTGGCTGCAAGGTTTCAACTGAATCCCACAGACACTGCCAGAAAATTAACTTCATTCTTTAAGAAAATAGGTAGGTGTGGAACTTTGGGTGAACAGCACAGCTACAAAACAAAAGGGGCTCTTCCCACCCCCGAGCCACATGTCATTCACCCTGAACTAAGCAGTACAAACTCTGCTCTGAGTCTGATTCCAGCCTGAAGTTTCACTTTGATGGTTGAGAGCAAGGCCTCTGCAGAGAAAGCATCTGTTCTCCCACTCCTTCTATTTTAGTTACTGTTTTTAGGCACAGTATCAGGTCTGTGTTGGGTTCCGGCTCAGGTCAGCTTTGGTTGATCTCTGTGCCAGGAGCTGGGTTGGGAAAGGACTTGGGTGTTTTGAGAGGCCATTTTAAGGGAGGGTACTTTAGCGAGAACTCCTGCCACACTGAGGTTCCAGTCTAGAGTGGCCAGCAGTCCCACCCTAACAGGAAGTGAAGGGGCTGGATATGGGTATTTATAGTACACCCTCTATAGGATGTTCCTACATGGTGGAAGGTCCGACACCTAGGTCCACCTGTGACCCCCTCACAGGAAATGTGTTGATACTGGCAGGTGCTCCCATGGCTTTTCCGACTTACTCTAGTGCTGACAACTGCACCTGGGCCCCACCATCCCAGGAAAACCTGGCCTGGGGCAGGCATGGTTCTGATGGCATCAGTCAGTATAGCACCACCACAGGGCACAAGGTTGGAGGCTTTCAATTCCAGCCCCAGGAGGGGGTGAGGGATGGAGTGAGCAGGCCTTTTTTGTCCACAGTCCTCCAGGAGTTTTAGCTGATGGTCTTGGCAGGTGGAAGTCCATGGTTAAGGTTCACTGTACATGGGCACAGCCTGTGCAGGAGTGAGGTAGCAGGGCCAGGTGGGTGGACTTGGTAGCTGTCCCATGGGAATGTGGCACCAGGATCTGGCTCTGTAAGGCAGACATCTGTCCATACCACACCAAGGGACTGGAAGGACGTGGAGAACTAGAAACCATGTCCGGGGGCTGAGACCTGCTTCTGGTATGAGAAAGTTAAACATATTAAGTACAGACGCTGAGGAGCACAAGATCCTGTGAATTCACTATGCTGGGGTTGGCACCAAGGGGAGCAGGTGTCACTGTGGGCCCCTGGTTGTCCACAACATCACTGTGTCAGGTAGAAAGATACTCGCTGGGGCTGCTGTAGAATACTTTAGTGCCACTTGGGGTGTGATCAGTGCTGCCCAACAGTGGCTGACTTAGGACATACCCATCTGTGACTCTAGTTCCTGCTGTGGCTAGGGCTAAAGCAACCATCATTTTTCATCACCTTCCAGGGGTACACTTCGTCTTTGATACTGCCTTCTCAAGGAACTTCAGCCTCCTTGAGAGCCAGAGAGAATTTGTGCGGCGATTCCGAGGACAGACTGGCTCCAGAGAGGCCTTGCCTGTGCTGGCTTCCGCCTGCCCAGGTGTGTTCATGACTGCATGGATGGTATTGAGAGTCAAGTTCAAGTGAAGTTCAGACGTGATGAGATACTTAACAGCTTGACGTGGAAAAGGGGGGAAGTGGGAGTGACCAGTGGGAGGAAGAGAGGGCTCTGCAGAGCAGGTTAGTAATGTGGGCACCCAGTGGCCTCTGGGAGGAGGTGCCCTGGTGTATCACCTGCAGTCACCAGGTTCCGCTAGTACCTGGATCACCCCAGGGGTGATTGCCTAGATGCTAATACCCCTCATGAAGGTGGTGACAGAGCAGAAGTGCTCTTCAATGCCACAGTAATTTCTTGTCTGAGCCAGTCCTCCCCCAGAATGTCATGTCACTGCCAAGCAGAGAGGATGCTATGAGCCGCCCCCAGCAGCCCTGTGCTCCCACTGAGATCCATTTGTTCTCATTGGCTCAGGCTGGATCTGCTATGCTGAGAAGACCCATGGCAACTTCATCCTCCCCTATATCAGCACAGCCCGGTCCCCACAGCAGGTCATGGGCTCTCTAGTCAAGGACTTCTTTGCCCTGCAGCAGGTAACAGCATGGGGCCATTCCAAGGGAGTAGGCTGGAAGAGTGTCCTGTGCATTCTGAGCCAGAAATGGTCATGCTAGCCTGTCCCCAAGCCCTTACCTATGGCGAGGTGTTCAGGATCACTCAGGGCTTAGCTGCTTCAGAGAAAACTTGGTCTCACTCTCACTCTTGCTCAGCTGGTCTGCTGCCAGCTGTCATTTGCCAGTCACCGGGGGTCCATTTCTGATAAGAACTTGCCTACAGATAGCCAAGTTTAAGGAGTAGGCAGTCAAGGCCAGCCCAGGGCCAAGAGCACCCCTCAGGCTAAACAAGGGCACCCAGCTCAGCCTCCCCACCCCCAGGTCCTGCCCACTGAGCCATAGGGACTGAACCTAAAGTCACCTAGCCAGCAGGGGACAGGGGACGGAGCAGGACAGTAATTACAGCTACACACACTGAAGTCAACCCTGTGCATGTTCCCTCTGCTTTCTCTCAAGTCTGTTTTTGTCTCCACCACAACCTGTTCTTTTCCATGACAGCCCCTCTTCTGCTGGAGTTGCCTAATAGGGACATGGACTAGCTGTGGCCAGAATCCATGGTATCTACTGACATGTCCACAGTATCCTAAGAAGGGTGAAAAGATGTGTGGCTCTGGTAACACGCTGGTCATGTGCTCGGGATTGTACATGACGGCCACCACTATCTGGAGTCAGGCGAGACTCACACTTCCCTGTTTTCCCTGTAGCATGTGACCCCTGACAAGGTCTACCATGTAACGGTGATGCCCTGCTATGACAAAAAACTAGAAGCATCCAGACCTGACTTCTTCAACCAAAAGTATCAAACTCGTGATGTGGATTGTGTCCTCACAACAGGTTCGGTCACCACACAAGGCCCTGCTTGCTGCTGCCCACAGGGCTCTGCTGGAGTGGGGTGCTAGAGCCTGGTGGGTGATAGGCGCTTCCCTTTGTACCACTCGTCTCTCCCTCTGACCAAGTGGGGCATTTCTCAGCTGACCCCTCCCAGGGGCCTTTAGTCAGTGGGACTCACATAGTACCTCCTTCTTGGCTCCAAAGTGAATCTGGAGGTAGGTGGGCCCTTTGGATTTGGTCCTTTGGCGCACGTCTTTGAGTTGAGCAGACACTTACGAGATGGGAAAGTAAACTACCCAGGAGCCTGCACCGACATCCCTGAACCTGCACCGGTCTCTGGCTCACCATTACATGGCCCCAAGAAGGGATAAGGCAGCTCCCCCCTTAAGGTCTCTGGAGGTTGGCTGGGCTCTCTGTTCCCCCTGCAAAAAAAGCCAGAATGGATATGTGGGGCCTTCTGGGGCCAGGCCACTATTGCCAGGAATGTGAATGGCTTAGCATTCGAGACCCAGCTAGAGCCTGTGCTGTGGTTCCACTGCAGGGGAAGTCTTCCGGCTGCTAGAAGAAGAAGGGGTCTCACTCTCAGACCTGGAGCCGGCCCCTCTGGATGGCCTGTGAGTCAGGGTAACCAGAAACCTTCATTTTGCTTAGATGCTGCTTGTGGGGCGGGGCAGTCTTCCTTGCCCTTCCTCCGTTTGGGCAGCCTCTGGCTGAGCCCCACACCTCCCCAGTACCTGTCTCAGGTTCAGGAGGCTTTTTTCAGGGAATCAGAGCTGAGCCCAGCCTCATATAGGTCTGAGCTCCTGGGGGACACACAGGCGTGTCTGTCTCCAACACGCCAGAGCCCTAGGGGCATGACAGTGCTTGGCGTCTGACTTGCTTCCCACACACAAAAGCCAAGGCTTTCCACTGTGAGACCGAGACTGGGCCACACTGACATGCCCCTCCCCCAGGTCCAGCAGTGGCAGTGTGTCTGTTGAGGAGCCCACCAGCCATCGGGGCGGGGGCTCAGGAGGCTACCTGGAACACGTGTTCCAGCACGCAGCTCAGGAGCTCTTCGGAATCCATGTGACTGAGGTCACCTACAGACCCCTAAGGTTAGTGGTGTAGGCTGGAGTGCCTGGACAGGACAGCCATGCAGCTTCCCAGGCCAGCTCTGAGGTGGACTTAGTGGAGGACCCTGGAACACTGGGCACAAAGGGGCCTCCTCACTGTCTTGGGGTATGAGTAAACAGACCAGGACTCTCAGGTCTTGGTCTCCCCCTCAGCAGACACCCTGACCCAGAGAGGCCAGGTGGGCAAGGGTGGTGGCAGAGGATCCGGCACAGATGCGATACGGCCGTGCACTCAGAGGCAGGGCTGGAGCTTTGTCCTCCCTCATGTGCCTCTTAGCTGTCCTTGGAAAAGTCAGACCACCCCCCACCCCCCAGTTTATAATAAAGGAAGCCAAGGCGGGGGTGAAGAAGTGAGCTGTCCATGCCTCCTCCCTCATCCTCGTTCCTGCTCAGGAGCAGGACACCTAGTGCTGCCCTGAAGCCCGGCAGGCCTCCCGCTCCAGGGCAAGTGGGCCCCATGGTAGGGTGCCGAGTGCACATCTGTTCCCCCAGGAACAAGGACTTCCAGGAGGTGACTCTAGAGAGGGATGGCCAGGTGCTGCTGCACTTCGCTGTGGCCTACGGCTTCAGAAACATCCAGAACCTCGTGCAGAAGCTCAAGCGCGGCCGCTGCCCCTACCATTATGTGGAGGTCATGGCCTGCCCCTCAGGTAGCTCTTCCCCAAGGGAGGGTGCTGTGACCCCTGCCTGGCACCCCCTTACCACGCTATCCTCTGTTCTGCCACAGGCTGCTTGAATGGTGGGGGCCAGCTCAAAGCGGCAGATGTGCCCAGCAGGGAGCTCCTCCTGCAAGTGGAAAGACTGTACGGCGTGGTTAGGACAGCGGTGCCAGAGGATGCCGCTGGGGTCCAAGAGCTGTACCAGCACTGGCTGCAGGGAGAGGGCTCTGAGCGGGCCAGACACCTGCTGCACACACAGTACCATGCTGTGGAGAAGGCCAACTCGGGCCTCAGCATCCGATGGTGAGAGGCCTCCCAGGGTCTGCAGAGCCACCCAGGGCTCGCACCATGATCCCCAGGGAGGCCATGCAGCAGCAAAGCCACACACCTCAGACCCTAGGACCCTCCCCCAAACTTGGGGTGAACCACAGAGATGGGTTGGAACCTGTGTTGAAGCACGCAGGACCCATGGCCAGTAAATACAGGCTGCACACCTCCATGCTGTACATTGGTCCTACTAGTATGGGGTGGCCAAGGAGGCTGAAGGTTCTGAGGTTCTAGAACCTCTTCCACTGCCCTTCCTCTTCTGGGTGTGGTGGCCCTAGTGTGAGGGGCTCCAGCATTCCTAAGGTACCTGATCCCTGGTTTCTGGGGCTGACCCCTAAAGCTGGTGCAGAGGGTTGGGTGACAGGGCTTGACCTGCTCTGTGTGGCAACTAGGCGTCTGGCTCTCTGGAAACCAGGTGTTTGTTATGAAGCCTAGGTCAAGGCCTCACAGCTTTGTGCTGAGCCTGTCAGTACCAAGCCTGTCTGGTTGAGTCTTAGCTCCATGGCTGGGTCTTGCCAGACCTCTCTGCCCAGCCTCATTCTAATAAACAGATGTATTCAGCACCTCTGAAAACACTTGCTCTTCAGTGTCCAGAATTGAACAAGGCCTTTCAGAGCTTTATTCACAGTTTAAAGCCCCTGCACATTGGCTGCTTCCTGGATAGGTGTCAGGACCTATATGTACCCCACAGAGAGGTCCTAGTGTCCACCCCTTAGAGCAGCAGAGACAAAGCACCATTTGCTGATCCTCCAAGGCTAGGCAGCCATCTGGGTGCAGCCTTGGGGAAGGGTCCACCATTGCAGGGGTCCAGTCAGCCCCAGGTCACAGCAGGAAGGACATGGAGGCAAGCAGGCACGCTTTGGACTCACTTCTGCTGGGGCACACTCAGGAGCCCCCACTGCAGCGCCAGGAGAGCCCGTGCCTGAGGCTGCAGTGGCTCTGAGGTGTGCTGGAAGCTTGCTCGCTCCTTGCAGAGTGCCTCCAGGACCTGGGCTGGGGCCACTTGGCCTGTGAACTTGCGCACTGGCTCCTCCCTGCAGGGGGAGGGTGGGCTGGAGAATTGCTGGGCTGGCCAGCTGCCCGTGGGGGTGGGGATGGGCAGAATAGTAGATGGCAGGAGGGTACTTGATGAGCCACCTCCCTGGTGCCAGGGACATTCGGACCAATAAAAAGCCACCAGACATTTTCCTAACTACCCAAATGACTACTAAGGAGGCCCCAACTGGCCCTTGCCAGCCTCTTCGGGGAGGCCCAGGCAGGTGTCCTCCTGCACCTCCCAAGGCTTCCCAGGTGCAGCTGGCTCAGGACCCACCCATGGCCATACTCACACCACTCTGAGGAAGGGGTTGTACAGGAGCTCCTCGCCCAGGGTGGAAGGCACGGTGGGCACATCGTCCTCATCCCTCTTCTGCAGTGACCACAGGCCTTTATCACAACAGGATTTTTCCTGACAGCCATGTGTAGCCTGACTTGGGCCACTGAAGGATCCACAGGCAGCACATCCTAGGCTCAGCCAACTGAGGCTGCTCAAGGCCAATCACGCTGACTCTCGGTGACTCCCCTCCTGGATCCTGGCACCCAAACCCCAAGAAGAGGACATCTGCTCCCCACACATAAACACACCCATTCTGGGAGAAGGGGCAAGAAGTGGCCATACCTGGGCCCAGGACAGCTTGGCTCTCACGTGGTCATTGCAGGGCTCCACTTTCTGTGCAAACTCGAGGTTGCTCAGCGTGTGCTCATGGCCACAAAACACCTTCTGCAGGAAGAGGGCGCTCAGTGGGCACACAGCGAGCCCCCAGGCAGAGGTGGGACAAGCGCTCAGGTCTGGCCTGAGCCATCTCAGAGTGTGGGAGTTACACCCAGAAAAGGAACAGTGCCAAGCAGAGTCTGGACCCCCTGGAGGGCCAAGCCTCGCTCACCGTCTGCGGTGGCAGGTTGCTCAGAGTCTCGGCCAGGCTTTGGTACATCTGCTGGGCAGTGCCCTCCAGACGCCAGCCGCAGCCAGCCACTGACAGCGAGTCCCCTGGGGAGGAGGTATGTCAAGAGAACGTAGGTGGCGGGCAGGAGAGGTGGCGGGGGTGGGCGAGCTCCAGGCTGCAGGGTACCCGAGAAGAGGGCAGGCGGGTCCGGGCATTCATCCTCCCACAGGAAGTAGCTCATGTGGCCGGAGGTGTGGCCAGGCGTCAGGAGGCATCGCACGTGGATGGCCCCAAACTGCGGTTTACAGTTAAGGGGCAGGCGGGCCTGTGAGTGCTGGTGGGCGGGCCTGGCCCCTCCCCGCCCCTCCCAGGCGCGCACTCACCCGCAGCTCCTCGCCGTGCACCAGCCTGCGGGTGAGCGCGCAGATGCGCTCGTCCGCGCCCATCACCGCCAGCCCTGGCTGTAGCCGCACCAGCTCCGCATTTCCCCGCGCATGGTCCCTGCGGACAGGCGCGATCGGGGGTCACATGTGGGTGGAACTGGGGAGACGTCCTGGCGGCTCGGCTTGCCCCTCCCACTCTCACCAGTGGTGGTGGGTGGTCAGCACGGTGGTCAGAGACACCCCCTCCCGGCCTGCGATCTCCAGCAGCTGGAAAGGACAAGAGTTGTGGAGAGCCGGCGTCAGTGTGGGCGCCCTCTCCCATACCCGAGCGCCAAATCCTGCGTGCCCAGCGTCCCAGGCAGGCCAGGACCCAGGGTGGAGAAGGCGTGAAAGCAGACAATTACTGAGCGCCTAGCGAGTGCGGGGACAGTTAGGCAGCAGAGGAAAGGCACGAACGCCAAAGGTCAGGGGAAGGCCAAGATAATCAAGGAGACCAAAACTCCAAATGAAGATCAGAGAATGGACGGCCCTTCAGAGGGGGACTGGCGAGTGGTGCCCAAGGCCGCCCACGGCCGACCCTCACCCTCTTAGGCACGGCCACGTCCACGGCCACAGCCTCCCGCGTGTGCTCGTCGATGACCAGGTACATGTAGTTGTCCTCAAGCACGGGGATGACCTTGACCTTCATGGTCGCAGAGCTCAGCAACCCCACGCCTCCTCCAAAAGAGGTCCCCAACCTACTGAGCCCCCTTCTCCTTGTGTGAGATGGGGTCAGTGCTCCCTCTGCCCCCGGCACACACACACACACACACACACCGGGAGTGCAAACGAGTCCAGCCCGGGAACTTCCCCATGGACCGCTGTGCGCTCCGGGATGAAGCGGGCCGCAGCCCCGCCCACCGCCACGGGCCCGCCCCGCGCACCGCCTTCCCAGAGAGCCACGCCCCCAGCTCTTTTCCTCCGGCTCCGCCCCCAGCCCGGTAGGCCACGCCTTCCCCTCAGGCCCCGCCCTGCAGCCGCCGCGGGACCCCAGATCCGGGACGGCCGGGTTCCCTGCCGCCCCGCTCACCCGCACAGGGCGCCGCGGCTGGGCTGCGCGGACGACCTGGAGGACACACGATGGACGGAGGAGCGCAGCGTTTGGCTGGCCGCTATCCCCTGACCCCGCCCAGGCGAAACCTTCACTCTGCGCGGACTGGACGCGCGGCCGGAGGGAGCGCGCGTGCGCGGAAAGGAGCGCGCGCGCGTGACCGGTGGGACGCAGTGCGCATGCTCTGATCCTTCGCTGGCTGCTCGCACCTCCTCCAGGAAGCCCTCTTGGCGCCAGGGTTAAACCAAACTTCCTGAGACCCCTGGTCCCTGACTGGAATGTCTGCGCCCCTTTCTCTCAGGCTGCGGGGTGGGAAGGTCTGTCCATCTCGTTCACCTGCTTGTTCCAGGGTTCAGCCAGCACCAAGAGGTACACAGAGCATCTAATGAGTTGTGAGTCTTGCAGGAATCTCAAGCTGATACGGGACACTGAGGCAGTTTAGCAGGAAGCAACGTTTTATTGTGCTGGCACAGACCCAGTGGACTCCTGTCCAAAGGCTGAGCCCCAAGAACAAAGGGGTCTCACCTTATGTACCCTTGCAAGCAGGTTACAGGAGCAAAAAGCAAGGTTTAATCTATATGTGGTTATATACAATTTTATAGGCTACTTTACCCTAATGCTATGTGACTTTCCCTCTCCTCAGTGCTATGTGACCCTCTCCATTTCAGATTCCTCAGGTTTTATCTCTCTGCCACGCCATCCCTACCTCCCTGCTTCTTTCTCAGGACTCAGGCCTAGTCTGTTTTCTTCTGCTCCTCCTCCCTGCTGCAAGTGCACGTGGCAGGACAGGACATTTCATGTTAGGACAGTGCCAGTAGCTGCAGCTCCGAGCTAGGCATATCCATGCTCTCCTGTTTCCATCTAGACCTGGATAGATGCAGGGGTTGATGGTCTGCATTTCCCAGATGAGGAAATGGCAGCCAAGAAAGAGGGAGCACCTTTTATGGGAGGAGCTGAGAGTTCTCTCCACTGAATGGCCTTGCCCTGTGGGCAGGGCAGGGAGTCCCTAAGACTAACAGAGGCCTTAGCAACATGTTTAATTTTCAGCAACCACCACCTAGTCGACCATCAGCTGGGGAGCAAGTCAACACTGGGCCTGCAAAAGGCCAGAATTTGTTCCTGTGGAGTGTGCAGCAGCCCCAGGCCCCAGGCCCCAGGCCAAGAGCCATGGAGAATGTGAGTCCTCCCAGGACCCTGCTGCTTGCACCCGGGTCTTTCCTTTCCCTCAGAGGCCAAGAGGGGTGCAGGTCCCCTAATCCTGGGCCTGCTCCTGGCCATGGAAGAGGTTGCCCCAGCTCAACATGAGATGGCTGCATGAAAGTGGGGTCCACAACCCAGGCCTGGAACCCCCTGGTTGTGGGGTGCTGATGCCTCCCCAGTTCGTTGCAGGAGCTGAAGACCGGCATCCAGGAGTTGCTGGGGGGATCCCAGCCTGGGCCACTAGCTTGCCGACAGAGCTTCCGTCAGATCTGGAGCTGAGTGAGGAGGAGCGGCTGCAGGTGGGTGTGTGGTGCCCATGGGTGCTGGCAGGAGGGAGGAGCCCAATGGATCCCACAGGCAATGCCTCTCACCTTGGCCTCCCACAGGTCTCCAAGGAACTAGTTGACCTTCAGATTACAACACACCGCCTTCAGGAGCAGCATGAGGCTGAAGTCTTTGAGCTGAAGAGGGAGGTGAGCAGACAGTGAGGCCATATGTGCCAGCCTCAGTGCACTCAGGGCCAAGGTGCATAGCCAGGGTGACTGTCTGGGGTGGGTGCATGGGAGCGCACATACGCTCAGCATTATGGGTGGCGAAAGTTCCACATGGCCCAACAGAAGGTGCACCTGCCTAGCCTGGTTGCTCACAGGTCCTGCGGCTGGAGAGCCGGGTGCTGGAGCTGGAGCTACGTGGAGATCGTGCAGTCCAGAGGCACAGAGCCCCAGGAGAGGCTGACCCAAGGTACTGCCAGGCACAGGCACAGGAATTCAGTCGAGAAGCCCAGGAACCTGGATGTTCCAAACACCACAGGCTCCAGGTAACCATGAACACGTGGAGAGTGGACTGGGTGGGTCTGGTGAGCCTCCAAGAGGCACAGTGAATTGGGAACCTGTTCAGTCACTCCTTAGCCCTCCCTCCCCTTCCGTCTATGAAGGTGCAGCACAAGGACATCCTCACTGAACCTGGGCACTTGAAGCTGGGGAGCAAAGTAAGCAGCTACCTAGCACAGTCTGCCAGCCTGGAGTGGGGATGGGGTAGTGCAGGGAATGGGAGCTTGGGGTCTCGCACCACAACCCCCATGCACCCCACAGCTGCCAGGAGACCAGGAGCAGCTGCAGGGAGAAGTGAAGTGGGTGCTGGAGCATCACAAGACCCAGCAGCAGGCATTGCAGACACAAGTGTGAGTGGCCACCTCGCCTGTAACCAGGAGAGCCCAGTAGGGCCCAGAGCTCAGAGCAGCCGTTCCCAGTGGGCTGAGGGAATAATGGCTTGCCTGAGCCTCCCACCTTGTCAGCAGGGCAGCCCTGGGCCAGCAGCTGCAGGAAGCCCGAGAGGAAGCAAGAACAGCTGGGCAGCGACTAGCTGCCCAAGCCGTGGTGAGGCTCTACCTGCTTTATGAGCCTACAGACCAGGCAGGCAGGAGTCCTACAAGCTCAGCAAAGGTCCCTTGTCCATCCCCAGGTTCTGTCCACCTACCAGGGCCAGCTCCATCAGGCTGAGGCTGAGAATGCCCGGCTGCAGCTGCAGCTAAAGAAGCTGAACGAGCAGTATGCTGTACAGCTGCAGCACTGTGCCCAAGAGGCAGTTGTGAGTGCTGGATCTGGGTCCTGTGGTGGCTAGGCAGAGGCCTCTATGAGTCCTGAGGAACCCAAACCTGGCCTGAGTGTGCTAGACAATTACAGGGAGAGTCTGTGAACCAAGCCCCCTGCATGGGAGCTGGGGTATGGGATGGGGTTGGACCCAACTGAGCTCCACCCAGCCCAACCAGCCTGGCCCTTCCCCAGTGCTGCTCCAGCCCTATCCTGCCTCCTCCAGAAGCAGGCTGAGGGCACAGGCAAGGCTACCCTTCGGACATTCCTGGAGGCCACTCTGGAGGACATCAAGGCAGCGCATCACAGACGTGAGCAACAGCTAGCACAGGCTGCTCGAGCCTACCGCAAGCGCCTGGCAGATCTGAGCTGTAGACATGAGTTGCTCCTGACCATTGGCAGGTGGGCCCTCCCTAACCCAGGCACCAGGGGTGGGATGGCCCCATGTGACCCAAAGTGTGGCTTAGTGTGCTGCAGGAGCAGCCCCAGGCACTGGCAGACCCCACCAGGGCACTTGGGAGCTCCAGGGCGACAATGCTTCAGCCACCTGTGGGAGGATCAGGTGAGACTGGAGCCCAGGTGCCCGACACTGAGCTGCAGAGCTCACCCCAGGCCTGGCCCAGGCTCAGCAGAGGCCCAGCCCGAGGAACTCTAGAGCAGCTGCCTTGTTCAGCCAACCAAGGGATCTGTACCTTCACAGCACAGCCGGCTCAGGACCCTGCTACTGAGCCCAGAGAAGGGACCTGGTGAAGCCTCCTGGGTGGGGGGGACATCACAGCTATAGTGAGTGCCATGGTGGTGTGTGGGGAAGCCAGAAGGGAGACAGATAAAGAGCAGAAGACTGAAGCTGCATGGCATTCATTTATTCCAGCGACCCTCCCTGCCAGGCGAAGTTCTGCCAGCTGCAGTGAACAACAGGCTCATCCCTGCTCTGGGATCTTTCAGTTTGTACGGTGGATACTAATACAGAATAGTTAAGTGGCTGCTTACTAAGCAGCTGGCGGGTAAAGAGAGACCCTGCCAGAAGAGGGAACAACCTTGAATGGGAGTGGTCACGGAAAGCCCACCTGAGAAAGGGGTGAAGACAAGGTGGCAGCTGATTGCTGGTGACCTAGCCAGCCCTTGCCTCTGGCTTCCACCTTCCCAACTATACAGTGGCAGGGCTCTTGAGGGAGCACCTCCAAGGGTTTGGGGAAACAAGCATCTGGTGGGGACAGCATTTCCAGTAGGCTGGGGTCACTGAGGTGGCCATCCCCATGCACAGATGCTCCAGGGCCTGGACAGGGCCATGCTGTTCACCCTAGCAGATTACCATGCCAGTCCTGGATATTGCCCCTCCCCTTCTCCCCTCCCCCCATAGGAGCCCGGACACTGCAACCTGGGCCCAGATCCACCAGAAACTCCAGGACTTTTCTCACGGCAGCCAGGTAGTGGGCAATGGCTGGCAGGGCCCTCTTCACACCTACCCTGTCTTATAACTCATTCTCTGCCAGGCAGAGCTAGAACGCGAGCGGGCACAGCTGCTGGTCCGGGCCATCAAGGCTGAAGAACAGCTTGCTGAGCTACAGGAGTATGTGAACCAGCACCTGGGCAGGTGGGCTGGGTGTAACCCTTGGTCTGAGTAGGAGGGAAAACAGTCCTTGGCCAGGCAAGAGACTTTAGACTCGTCTCTGCATGCAGGTACAAGCAGGAAATCCTAAAGCTGAGGAAGCTCGTGGGTGCAGGAGACCCTTGGAAATGGGGAGCATGCCTCCAGCCAAGCCCCAGCGTCCAAGGACCCGCAGCCGTTAGCCAGTCTTCCTAGGAGCAGAGGAGACCACCTTCACAGCCAGCATGGGTCTCTCTTCACACCCCACCCCTTGGGGCCATCCCCTCTCCACAAAACAAGAGTCAGCATGGGACCCACGGAGTCTTTATTGCGTCCAGTCAGGCAGCCTGTGAAATAGGGGCCCCAGGGGATAAGGTACAGCTGGGGCCTGAGGTAGCCTTGATGGGCACCCTGCAAGAGGACACAGCTGAATCAGCTCCAGGGACATCATAGGCCCAGACTCGGTCCAGGCCCTCACCCACCACTGCCACAGGCTGCCAGGTGGGGAGGGGGAAGCGCCCAGATACCACACGGGCCCCTGCTGGCAACTCTGTTTGAAGCTTCTTCTCCAGCAGTGGGAGCTGTGGGAGAGAACAGTAGGGAAGAGGGGCCAGGAGTAGGCCCAAAACCTATCCCAAGCCCCAGGGCAGCCAACACCAAGAGTGGGGCAGCAAACGCCAGACCTACCACACTGGGGGCCAGGAACACAGACACATTGTGGCAGTCCCTGAGGCTCACCTGAGGGAAGAAAAGGCAGTCACCCAAAAGGGCTGAAGAACATGGGGTCAAGGCAGTTTGTGCGTCCTGGCCCCCATCCCTCCCAGGTGTTGGGTGGGGGGCCACCTAGAGCTGTCAGCATGGTGCCCAAGCCAGAACTGGAAGCTTGGGGAGAAGAGATGGAATCTGAGGAGTCCAGGACCCTCCAGGTTACCTTCCAGAGATCCTCACGGCGATAGCAGACGCTGCCAGCACAGCCGGCCCTCCAGGCATGAAACCGCGCAAGCCCCAAGAGCCAAGGGTTCAGCTCATAGCCCACGGCTGGGCGGAGGCCGCACCGATGAGCCGCCAGCACCTGCGGGAGCCGAGAGTGTGGGGCCCCGCATGTGAGGGAGGGCAGCTCCTGGGGACACGGGCACACACACACACACGCCTTACGATCCTGCCGTCGCCAGAGCCCAGATCCACCATTTTTCCGGGGCGGCCTCGCAGCAGCGACAACACGTGCTCAACCTGCTGCGCACTCGCGCCTACGTAGGGCACCTGGGCAAAGAGGTGAGCCGGCTGAAGCCGAAGTCCTTCGGCCACTCGCAAGTCCCACCCGAACCACCAGGCGGGGGGCAGTGTTTGCCTCGTGGGATTCCCTCGAACTTTCCTGCCACACCTAGAGCAGGTACCCAGTCACAGCCCGCAGAGCGCCCGAGCTGCAGTCAGCCCTCCACCACGCCTGGACCCCGCTCGTGCCTGCGCAGGCACCGCTTCCGCCCCCCGCGTCCAGCCCCTGACTTTAGGTCCAGCCCAGGCCCTTGCGCTATTATTGGTCGCGCCCTCCGCACGCCCCGCCCCCGGCCCATCCGCACCTGCAGCCGCAGAGGGACGCGGCGGAAGCCCGGCTGCAGGAGCAGCGCCCAGACGGCGTAGGCGGCCAGCCCGGAACCCGCCGCCACCTGCAGCAACTCCAGCGCTCCCGGCCGCCGCTCGCGCAGCTCGGTCACCGCTTCGCCCGGGTCTTCGTGCTCCATGGCTGCGAGACGCGCGGCTCAGGGTTGTCCGAGGCCCCTCTCCCCGGCCCAGAGGAGGAAGGGGCCGCCGTCCCTGCTGTCCCCAGCTGCCGCTGTGCTCCGTTCGCTCGGTGCCCACCGGGCGCAGCGGCGGCGATCGCAGATTCAGGGCAGAGGCCGGAAGTGGCGCGGGTCCGTCACTCAATCTGCTCCGTGCAGCCCTGGCCCCTCACGCGGGTTCCGGACGGTGGCTCCTGAGGTTGCGACGGCAGGGCGAGTAGCGGCGACCCGCGCAGGGTTTTCGTGGCTGTACCCGGCTCGAGGCCTGCGGCGGTCAACTCCGTTGGTTCCCTCTGTGGAAGGCTATTTGGGGCCTCTTTTGGCGCTGGGACCCCAGAAAGCGGGCCAGGAAGACCTTGGGCTTGCGGAGCCCACACCCTAGCGTGGGAGTTGGGGTGCACCGAGGGAACCAGCCACAAGTGCTCAACGGCGGCCGGACAGCGCCCAGCTCCCCCGGGTCGCGGTCATAGTCAGGCCCCCTGTGACTGTCTCGGGGAGACCTATGGGAGCTCCGCTGACCAGCACTCCCTGGACGCCAGCCAAACCCATGAGCGGTCCTTAACGTTCCTTCTCGCAGCGGGGACAATTAGGCGGGAAGTGGAAGATGCGCTGGGGAAGCTGGGTGGGAGGAAGGGCTTGACAAGAAAAGATTTAGTGAGGCTACAGACAGATGTTGGCCCGCTAGCGAGTGTGGCGGGAGGGGCCGGATGTGAGAGGCTGAGAATTTTGGCAGCTGGCCCAGCATGGGGGTGGAGAGCAGCCCTGGAGTCCAGAGATGACCCTCCTTTCTCCTGAAAACAAAGGTTGAGTGGCTCCTGGTAAAGCCCTGACATGGGGGTGAACAGAGCCCTGGATCTGGCTGCTGGCCCCTGATGGCTCACCCACACTAAGGCTGAACTCACCCGTGCTAATGCCAAATGTCCATGAATGTCAGGGGCTTTGTCTACACACAGACAAGGGACTGTGTCCCAAGTCCTGGTCCTCATCAGCCATCCATGGCCTTGGTCAGAAGTCCAGCAGGGATGGAAACTACTTGGTGCCCAAAGCACCAAGTACACTGGTCTCAGCCTAACCAGCATGAAGGACAGATGTCCCAGGGTGACAGGAAAGCCTTCCTTGTCCCAGAGTGTCCTGTCGCATGGCAGGCTGTGCCATGACAGCTGTACTAACCTCTAGGCAGAGGCACTCATTTTTGTCTCTGCTGCTTCTTGAACTGTTCCAGTACCCAGAGCACCTGGAAGGCTCTCAGCAACTTCACCTCACTGCTACTGAACGCTTGGGCAATCAGCAGCTAGGGGCCTACCTCTGTGAGTTTGCATGTGGCTGGAAGTGTCTGGGGTGACCCATGATCCCATAGCTCCAGCCCACATGCTCACCCACACCATTTCCCTTGCTGTGCCTCCTCCCACTTTGGCCCAACACTCCCAGGTACATACAGGAGTACATGGGGCTATGCTAGCCACAACCATGTCTGCCCTTTCTGTCATTTTCTCTGGGATTGTGGGAGGGTGAGGAGGAGGCTAAGGCAATTCCTGAAGCAGGTGAGCAGCAGAGCCAGGGCAGCTGCTCAGTGTTTGTGGACAGGTGGACTAGGAGGTGGTCCACAGCCACCATTGGGTGTGGCCTAGAACAGAGGCTATGGGAGCAGGTCTCAGGGTTGGCTATGTAGAGCTAGCCAGAGAACTGGAGCATATGCCAAAGGTGAAGTGCTACTCTGCTGTGATGGGAAAGCCTTCTAGGGGACCTGTCTAGACAGAGGATAAGCCTCCTCAAGAAAGGTGAGGGAGCAAGAACAGGGCTCTCTCCTCTGTTCCTTGTGGGAATGCTGGGGTGACAGGTGAGTGTAGCCAAGGATGTTAAGGGTCTAGCCTCCAGGGTGTGATCCAGGCTGGAGATGAGAAGGTGAAGTTCTGAGTCCTGAGCACAGAACCTCCCAAGGTTGAGAGTTTGGGAGATGAAATGAAGCAGCAAGGAGCCTGTGGAGGGACAGATGGCGGGAGGACGTGCTGATGCCTTATATCCAGGAGTCTTCTCCATCCATCGCAGCCCCTATAGACAGTCTAAAAGCATGTCCCCCACATGTGCGCCTAGGACAGCCTGCCCCATGGGCATTCCAGGGCAGCCCCTGGAGTGACACATAACGTCTGTGCAGGGCATGGCACACATCAGGCACCTTCATTAGCTCAATCTGAAGCAAAGAATCCTGTTTGTGGACCTTTCACAGCATTGTCCCTTTCTTGGACTGTTTCTTGCCTAAAAGATGAGTCTATTCAACCTGGGCAGGTCTGGCCTCCACCTGCATCTCGGTTTCTTTCCCAGTGAGGGCTGGCAAAGATGGAAAGCAATTTCTGGGCATCAACCCAGGGGTCCCCTAGCACTACAGCTGAGGCTCTTTCCCAGGAGCCCATGTATTGGGGTGAAAGGAGTCTGCTTGGCCAGAGCTGGAGATTCCTAGTGCACACCCTACCCAGGAGCTTTCAGCCTCAGGGCCTTGGGCTTTGTCTGACCAGAGTCTCACTAGCCCTTTATGCAGCCAAGAGGCCCAGGAGGAAGGCAGAGACAGCAACAATGGGGCCAGTGGCGGGAAGCAGTCCTTAGAGGCCCCCTGTGCACCCCTCCCACCGGAAACTGACAACAAGCAGGATCCCGCAGTGGAGACCCCACACCCTGCAGGAGCCTTGCCACGTCTGGATGCTCAGCACGTCGCAGGGCCCTCTGGACAGAGGGACTCATTCTTCCCCAAGGGCGGGACCGGGCCAAGGATGACTCTCTGACTCACAATGACCACAGAGGGAACTGGCACTCTGCCAGGCTGCAACCTCCTTGCCTCACAGGCACAGCTCAGAGTTGATGGTGTCCGCCTGCCTGTCCCCTAGTCCATCTAAGGTACCACAATCACCCTTTGATTAAGCCGGCCTCACTCCAAAAGTAGGTTCAGGGTTCAGGTCAGTTTCCCTATTCATAGCACAGAGCCTCAGGCCTTGGGAATTTGGGCACCTTTTCCACTCCTACTTTGAGCCCCAGAAACAACCTGGTAATAGATGCAAAGAGTAACCAGCCAGTAAGCCAGGGTGCAGCAGGTAAGTGTTCAAGCTAAGGAGTGGGAGGGACAGCAGAGGGGAGATTGAATGAAGTAAGGCAGGTTCACAGCTGGCCTTGCCACAGGAGATCAGGTCGACAGTAGCTAGTGTGATCAAGGTTCTTATTGATTATCTCTATCACCTCAGAAGCAGCCGTGACGCCATCCGGGGTCACCCCCTCCCCACCCACCCTCCTATCAGTCCCTCCATAGCACCCTGCCTCTAGAGGAGGGTCCAGGTGATGGTTGCTCCCAGGTCCCTCAGTCCAGCTCCACCTCGCAGGGGTGGAGGTGGGCAGCATGGGCAGCTGTATAAACACGGCTGAATTCCTGGAAGCGGGGGGCACAGCCCAGCCAGGCCTCACCAAAGCGGCTCCAGCCCATGAAAAGGAAGGTGCCTGGGCCAGGGCGGACACCACAGCGCAGCAGGGTACGAATGGTAGCCTGATCCTGGCCCTCGGAGCCCCCCATCCGGAACAGCGGCAGTGTCTGACGGAGGACGTGGGTGGCCACCACGATGATGACAGACTCCTGCAACTCTGTGTCATGGGTGACCTCATGGATGGTCCCGTTGATCACTATGAAAAGACACATTGGTCAGTGGTGGGCATGCAGGGAGGGGGAGTCAGGCCACAGGCTCCACACCTCCCACCCCCCCCAACCCCTCCCACACACACAATAGGGGGACTCACCAAAGTCACTGGTACATGCAGCCAGGAGAAGCTCAGAATCGCTACAGGGCCTGCAGGCACCTAGCACACAAAGCAGGCTATTAGCCAAGCCCTGACCTCACCTACCTCACACCTCTTTCCAGTAGGAGGGGAGGGAAAGCTAGTGACCAGACCCTTCTACCAGGAGCCACACAGCATGTGCCCACACCTGTGGTCAGGGTGCACCCTGCAAGCACACACCTACACAATGGGAATTTACAGACAGGCCTGGGACTGCACCAGCCAACAGGACCACAGGACTTGCCCACCTGGAGCTCCTGGTGCACTCCTGCAGGCCCATCTCATAAACTCACTCCAGCATCAGGGAACCCTCTGTGATCTCCCATAGCTGCCTTCTAGATCCAAAAAGCAACAACCCAGCTGAGGTGGCAGATAGGTTATGGTGGGCTCTCACTCTGGGGTCTCTAATCCAGGGCAGAACAGTGACAGCCCCATCCCCTGCAGGGTCAGGCTGCAGGCTCCAGGAGAGCAAAGACCTGGGCCTGCTGCCCTGCAGGGAGGCAGAGCAAGCGTCTCCATGGTGACCGGGAGGCACACTGGACTTTTGTTGGCTGGGCTGGGGGAGGGGAGTGAGGTCACTGCTAGGCCAGGGAGCCCTGGACAGCTTTGGCCACAGGCTTTGATTCTGTCCCACCACCCCCTCCCCCAACCCTTCAGGAACCAGAGGCCCAAGGCTGCTGTGCCTGCTCTGCCTCCACTTTTGCTTTTTCCCTAAGATGAACCCTGAAGAGGAGAAACGGAGGGGCACTCCCAGCCCACCTCCCTCTGACCTGGTAGGCACTAAACTCCCCACCTGGGTGGCCTCTAACAAGCCAGATGAACCCTCTGTGCAGTGGGGTGACAAGGCCTGTTCCTGGAATCCCACGTGTTCCCAGCCAGTGCATCACTCACCATCCATGCCAAGGCCCTGGGCCTGGAGAGGCAGCTCTGGATGTCTGTCCTCCTGCAGCTCAAAGCGGAAGGCGGCCACACGGCGGCTGATGTCTGGATGCGGTGTGGCCTGCAGGAAAAGGCCTCGGCGCTCCTGGGGACCCCAGCGCACGCAGCGGCCCCCAGCCAGCTCTGGGCCCTCGGCCAGCAGCAGCTCCAGGGCGCCGCCCACTCGCTCCGCGAAGACTTGGGCGCCAGTGAACGGCTGAGCAGGGCGCAGGCAGGCGATGCTCGGCCGTGCGCCGAGGTCCGGGCCTCCCAGGGTCAGGTGCAGCGCCCCGGCCGGGTACAGCCATTCGATCGCGCCCTCCGTACAGGCGAGGACCAGTTGCCCCACGCTGCCGGGCTCCTGGGTCAGGCCGCTGGGGACAGGACGGCGGCGCTGAGGCGGGCAGCCCGCGCGGCGCGCGCACCCCGTTCCCCACCGCCATCGACAGCTGCGTCCACTTTGTGGAGTAGGACATGGAGGCCAGTGTTCCCTCAACTCCCGATGTGAGCGCACTCCCACCCACGATGCAAACGATCCTAACCCCAGCCCCTCCTCGAGGGAGCACAGCCCGGGCCTCCTCGGGGTTCCTACCTGCCCTTCCAGCTGCAGCGGTCCTCCGAGTAGCCAGCGCGCGCGAACGCGGACAGGAGGCCGAAGCAGAGCGCGCAGAGCAGCGCCGGGGTCAGCATGGCGTGGGGACGCGCCGGGGCCTCCCGACTGTGGTCTTAGGCTGCTGCTCCGGGTCGGGTCAGGGCGGCTGCAGGAGCAGCCCCAGGCGCAGCCGCCCGGCCCGGCGCGTCCCCTTCGCCAGCCACCGCTAGGCGCAGCCCCAGCCTGGTTCCGAGCTCGGGGGGCGGAGCCACGGCTCGCCGGCCAATCGCCGCCGGCACCGGAACTTTCCGCCAATAGCTGCGGCCTCGCGGGCGCGCGGCGGGAGGACTGTCCAGGGCCCAGGCGTGCGAAGGGGCCCGCTGAGCAGGCAGCCGTCCGCTCCAGCGCTACGTCGTCCTCCGGGTCCCCCAACCCAGCCTCACTGTCTGGTTGGATCACTATTTCCAGCGCCCTGGAACCTTTGATGGGAGAGCGCTGGGGGACTGCTGTCACTGGAACCTCTAGACAGCGGGTCGTTCACCTCAGGTGACCCCACCTACGTCCAGAATGGACAGAGGGCTATGCCCTTTTTGAGAGAGGGAGCTGGACTTCTAGCCAACATCTCGCCCAATCCGGTCCGGCTACCCCCTTCCCCAGAGGCAGATGGCACCCCAGGGACAGGGGTCAGTACTCCAGTCCCAGGAGGGGAGTCTTTCACTGCCCTCCCAGGAAGACACTAACTGGCCTGGGGGCTGAGCCTTGGAGCTGGGCCAGGCTTTGGGCTTCAGGGTGGCGAAAGAAATCGGGGCTGCCTAGCTCTGGAAGGGCATCATTTTTCTAAGACCCTCTCAGCACACTCCATGGTTGTTGAATGCACACCATGAAGGATGAAGCTCTCAAGAGCTGGCATGGGGGAGCCACAAGCCCCCATGAAGTCCAGACTAGCTGAAACAGGCAAGTCTCAAAGACACCTCAGGGTGGTGAGAGTGGTGGGCTTCCCAGCAGCAATGGCCTGAGTTTAACCCAAGAGGAGCCATGGGGAGAAGACTTCCGACAGAAGGAAGAGCAGAGGGCCTTGAGAAGGCCATTAGGATGAAGCTCTTCTACAACCAAGAAGCTGGAAACCCCAGGGAATCTGCAGGAGCCAACTGCATGCAGCAGATGGGCATGAAGACTCCACCCACTGACCTCCAAGTCTCCCTTGCAGCCCTCCTGCTGCCCTGGGCCTGGGCTTGGGCTCATGACAGATGGATGAGGCCCAAATGCTTTAACAAGGGGCAGTGGTTGGGATCCCACTGCCAGCCCAATTGAGAGCTTCAAAGCACTGATTGCCCTCCTCTGCTCCCAAAGGTCTATGAGGCCAAAGAGAAGTCTCAGCTAGCTCCTTGTCCCAGGCAAGGGAAATGGTCAAATCAGGGTATCACAAGAGCCAAAAGGTGAGAGTAACCCAAGAATTCATGGGCAGACAAACAAAATCTAGCACATCCATACAATGGGTTACTTAGAATATAAAAATGAATTTCTCACACCTCCTACATTATAGATGAAACTCGACACATGCCAACTGAAATGAGTCAGTCACAAAAGACAAACACTGTGTGGTTTCACTTACATGAGGTCCCTGAGCAATAAATTCAAAGACAGGAAGTAGAAAGAGATGGGCTGTTTCAGTTTAATGACCACTGGTTTCAGTTTGGGGGACAGAAAGAGCTCTGGAAATTGGTCACACAATATTGAGAATATACTTAACACTACTGCACTGTACACCTAAAAATGGCTAAAATGGGATGGGGTTGTACCTCAGTGACAGAGCACATGCTTAGCCTGTGCCAGACTCTGGGTTCAAGTCCCAGCACCCAATAATAAAAGAACTCAAAAATAAAAATTTTAAAGGAAAAGGGGTGGACACAGCCTGGTGAAAACAAATCAGGTGCTCACAGAAGGACAGGAGGATACAGGGTCAATCACCAGAGTTGTCCAGGCCCAGACACTGCAGGGCCACTTGGTGGTCACTAGGGTATCCCAACACAGGTCTCTGGGGGAGACAGTGGGCTCCATGCGCCCTCTGGTGGTGGTATGAGGAGTCAGCTGGCCAGCCTCAGGTCTGGACCTCCCATCCCAGCCCTCCCCCAGAGAAGGGGACAGAGACTGGGGTGTGAGAGGGATTCCTGTATGTGTGCATGTGTGTGTGCGTGTGTGGTGGGGGAAGGTGACCTGATCTGGAAGAGGCACACACTGGCCCTCAGCTTGTGTCCACAATGCCAGGATTTCTCTGCCCTAGCCTTATCTTTTAGCACCCCAGACTTGATGCTGGAAAAGTGGCCAAATGCCACTTCTCACAGCTCCTGCCCTCTAGAGTGTCAGCAGTCATCAGCGCTCTGGTGCCTCCGGGCAGGGATCCCGGAAGACCACGTCTGACTTCGGTTGTTGAAAGTACATGACCTCACACGCCTGGGTGCAAGTTCTCAAATACCTGAAGAACAAATGTGTGAATGAGGTTTTGGACGTCCCTCAAGTAACTCCCTGACTAGCCACACTCTGGGGGGCTCCCTCAAGCTCCCTCAGCTCTAGACCCTCCAGTGCCCTGACCCCCGCCCAAAAGGGCTTCTCTCCATTCCCACCCAAACCAGACAAGAGTAGCAGGAGGGTGTCAAGTCAAAGACAATAGCCTTTGGGATGTGCTCAGGACACGGTTAGGGCATGGGGCTTGGAAGCTTCCAGCTCCCTCTAAGAGAGTGCAGACCCCAGAATGGTTGTTCCCCTCCTTCAGGCTGCTGCTCTACCTGGCTTTCTCTCTAAACATCCCAAAGACTCTGAACCCACAAGGGTGGCCAGCCTGGGAGCCCATCCTGAAACCTGGCTTCTGTCCTGGCTTCCCCAGGAGGGTCTTAGAAGTGCTGCCCGATGGGGTGCTGAGGGTAGGGCAGTGGAAGCCTCAGTCACTGCCACAGGTTATTGCCCTTCGGGAAGGCTGCTCACCTTTGGCCACTGCGTGGTCCTCCATGGCACTAGTTCTGGCAGGCTGAGGGTATGGATGCTGCATGCAGTGAGTGGGGCCTGAGCAGTGCCAGGACAGGCAGCTCCACGATCCAGCAGAGGAGGTGACAGCAGACAAATGGCTGCCCCGCTGGTGAAGGGCACCCCATGGGGAGGCCATGGTTCTGGGGAAGACAAGAAGCATCCTGACCAAGCCAGGGGCTAGGCTAGCTGGGACTTCCAGGGAGCAACCCCAAGAGCAAGGAGGAGTTGATGGAGGACAGAGGAGCCCAAAGGCCCCAGGTCATTGGAGTCCAGCCCACTGGCCAAGGCCAAGTTTGGGCTTGGCATCAAGGCACAAGTGAACTCCTGAGGAAATGGTGAGAAAGCCCAGACAGGGGTCCGGTCTTCCACTTACCCAAGACTCCACCACACTTGGGTCTCAAATTTCACTGGCATTTCGGTGAGGAAGAGATATGGGTGATCTGAGTCCAGTCCCTCCTGTGTTCCCAGCTGAGCCTGTGGCACCCAGCACTGGTCACATGTGCTACTCAAGCTGTCCCAGGAAGGGTGTAGTGCCCCAGGGTGGAGTGTGAGCACTGGCCAGGACCACCCCACCTGGTTTGAACTGTGGATCCTCAGGCAAGGGCTTCCCAGGGACCCCACCCAGGCCATGGTAATAGCTGCAAAGTCTTCCAGACGGCCTGCACAATCCCTGGGTCCCACTCACCTCCCTCTGCAGTGGGATCTGGCCTCACCACCTTCTGCCCTACACCTCAGGACTCATGGCAGTGAGAGCTCCCTGATCTTCAGTGTATTTCTCCTTTTGAGGAAAAACCTACCCCCCCCACACACACCTTGCATCTCCTGAGAAGCTCAAAATGCAGCTGCCGATTGATTTGCAGTTGAGCTAAAAATAGCAGCTGACTCCAGCCAGGACTGGGAAAATATCCCATTGCTAGGAGACGACGGTTGCTGGGAGACCGCCATCACTAGGCGATGCATGTTGCCGCAGTGACAGCTGGGCCCTGAGTCATCTTCAGCCTTGACAGGGGGGCGGGCAGGCCAGAGCAGGAGCTGAGGACAGCAGAGAGCCCCACAGCCCTCACCCGTTGCCACTCCAGTCACCTTGGCCACCATAGGCATGAAGTTCTCACACCTGGCTAGCAGTTGTGGCTGTAGAGTGATCAGGCTAAACGTGTGACCTGATGCCCCACCTGCTTCTCCCAAGGACTCCTGAGCCTCTGCCTCTGGGCCGAGGCAGGAGCAGAGGAAGGGAGCAGTAATCTCTCCCCAGGTTGGATCACTTTGCTCTCCAAGAGGAGTGCTCACACCAGTACCCACTTCCCAGGGGAGAGAGGAGGCTCAAAAAAAGGAAATAGCTGAGGATTTGACTCGTGTGTGGCTCCAGGGCAGACATTCCACCTCAGAACTTCCTGAGGACATGCCCAAGGACCTACTGTGAGGAGTCTCAGTGAAGGAGGGGTGCCCTCCTCAAAGCTCTCCAAGGTGTCATAAGCACACTTGTCAGTGGCCTCTGGCCCTCGGTCCTCCCCAGTGATGCCACAGCTGGACCACCGCATCTGGACTGGGAGACTCCTCTGTACTCAGTTATCAAGGCGAGTGATGCTCCAGGCGCTCCTGATTTGGGGTGCTCCCGGGTGCTTATGTTCCAGGTGAGGGATTTTTCCAGGTTTGGGGTGCTCCATATTTCGGGAACCCCAGATGAGGAGTGCTCCAGGTAAGGGGTAGCCAGGTGAGAAGTGTTCCAGATTTGAAGTGCTCCAGATGTGGGGTACTCCAGGTTTGGGGTGGTCCAGATTTTGGGTGCTCCAGGTGAAGAGTGGTCCAGGTGAGGGGTGATTATTCAGGTGAAAGCTGCTCCAGGTTTGGGGTGCTCCAGGTGAGGGGATGCTTCAGTTGAAGGGTCCTCCAAGAGAGGGGTGCTCCAGATGAGGGATTTTCCAGGTGAAGGAGTGCTTTAGTTGAGGGGTTCTTCAGGTGAGGTTGGTTGAGTGAAGATGCTGCAGGTGAGAGGTGCTCTGTGTCCCCTCAGAACCCAGGTCACAGACTCTCTAGGACTAATGGGGAAGTAAGCATCCTCATTAATCTGGGCCTAAGCAGTACCCCACATTCCCCAGGGAAGTCTAAAGGCCACTGAGCAGCTTGACCTTGTCTGAGACGCTTCTCTCTGGGAGCATAAGCTGTTCTCCAAAGGCATCTTCCGAAACGGGCCCATCCCCCACAGAAGGCGGTCCAAAGTTCAGGTACTGGCGACCCCTCATGCTTACACATTTGTTCTTGCCTCTTGCACCACGTGTGTGTCAAGTTTGGGTTGTGCTGGGCCCCCAGGGCACAGTAGCAGAAAAGGTACACCACTCTGGCCCTCGGGAGTGCTGTCAGCTAACAGCCCGCTCAAACTGTCAGACGGCAGGTAGACACAGGTTGAAAAAGGACGGTGTTGAAGGTTCCTATGACAGAAGAACTTTGCCTTCCCAAAGTCTGAGAAGCCAACAGAGCCATCCAGGTGCAGGTGGCAAGAAGGTGCCCTAGAGCTGGGCACCAGTGACTTTTGCCTGTAGCTACTCAGGAGGCAGAGATCAGGAAGATTGTAGGTCGAAGCCAGTCTGGGCAAATAGTTTGCGAGATCCTATCTTGAAAAAAAATCACAAAAAAGGGCTGGTGGAGTAGCTGAAGGTGTAGGCCCTGAGTTCAAACCCCATTCTGAAAAAAAAAAAAAAGAGGGTGCTCTAGGTGTGAGAGGGGTGCAGCAGGTGAGGATGTTTCAGGTAAGGCTGTTACAGATGAGGGACATGGCACCCTCCTGGCCCCAGAGGATGGTGTGTTCATCTGCCCTGAGCCATGGCACCATGGTCTCAGAAGCTTTGAGACAGGGGCCAGGTATGGGGCAGGGTTACGGACCAGCAGTGCCAGGCACTGAGGACAGAGCCATGTCTGCATCATAAAGTGACCCTCTGCATCCTGGGAAGAACAGGTGAGGGAAGAGGGACGGCGAGATCAGTGCATGAAGGAAGACCAGGGCACTTGGCATGGGGGGACGACAGGCGGAAGGAAGCAGGTGAGTCCTTGGTGTTGAGGAAGCAGAACAAGTCTCCAAAATCTGTTCACTAATGCCCCACCGAGTGAGCTTCTTCAAAGCTGGGCTACGTCCTCGAGCTGCATGACCCAAATGCACTGTGTGCCCTGACCTCCCCCCATGCCCACTCTATCACTTGGACATGTTCGTCCGCCCCATGCCAAGGCCCCATGGTCTTTGCACAAACACAGCTCTGCCTGAGGCCCCTTGAAGTGTGTAACTGAAACCTTGCTACCACTCACTGTCCATACCTGCTCACAGGAAGTGGACGCTTTGGCCAGAAGGTAATTGGAGAGGTTGGAAAGGCACTGCTTCATTGCCCCAATGTCCTCATGACTCTCATTCTGTCTGTCTCGTGCTAAGCCATCTTCCTCTGTCCCCATCCCCCTGTCCTGTGCTGGGGTTTGAACTCAGGGCCTTAGTCTTGCTAAGCAGTTACTCTACCACTTTAGCCATGACTCCAGTCCTAAGCCACCTTCTTAAGATGGTAAGACCCCAGCCCCAGGCACACAAATGGCTGCCCTCACCCCAACTGTGGCAACCACAGCAAAGACAGCACTCCACCCTGACAAAGCCAGCCAGGGTCTCACCAACCTGGCTCCCTTCCTAATCGCCCCCAGGCCTCATATCAGTCCTATGGGGGTCCTGCAACCCAACACCATCTGGGGTTTCATTTCTGTAAAGACACTTAGCCCTGAGGCTTTTCCCTGCTTCTAAGACCCCATCCTGCTCTCTCCACACCTGATCCCTCCACTGGTCCTGCTCCCAGGAGACCCTAGGATGGGGTGTCACTAGCCTCTGCCTTCCTGCCCTAAGCCTGCTGGGAAACCTGCTGACAGGGTCCTCCCCACAAACCTCCTGCCCTGAGCCACAGTGGCTACCACCCCCTGGCTCTAGTCTTTTCCAGAGGGAACTTGCTAAGCTCCTTAAGACCTCAGGACCTCTGCACACCCCTTTCCAAACCACTCCTCCCTCTCACTCTTGGAGTTTCAGCTGTTTTGTGACATCCTCAGAAGCTACCACACTCCGGAGATCATCATCATTACAACCCTCTTGTACTTTCATCGCCACTCTGAAACTGTTTATGGTCACTTGTTTGCATGGTTCTGAAGACACCAAACTATGTCTCCACGGAGGGGAGCCCGGGGTCTGGCCGGCAGTATGTGCGCAGGGGATGTGAGGTTCTGGGAGCCTGGGTCCTGCCGGACACAGTAGAAGGGTACAGGAGGGTGAAGGTCTGACCCGACCTGCCTTCCCAGCAGGGCCTCCCCTTCTTTGCCTCGCAAATGGCAGCCAAGCAAGGACGCGCGGGCCGGCCCCCATCCCGATAGCACCCCGCCCATGTCTCCCCCCAACACGTAGCCAACCATTGGCGCCAAGGGCCCCTAGTTCTCTGCCCGCAGGATTCCGGGTGGCCACCGCTTCATGCAGGTGGCCTCCCACCAAGGCTACTCTCTCCGGCCGCGTGCCCTGCCCTCCCCTCCGGTGTCCTCCTCGACGCGCTACCAGCCTGCGTTTGTTATTGTGCGAGCGCCCGCAGCAAAGGAGAACGCTGGGGTGCGCGGGGCCTGGCGCGCGCCCGTCGCCGCTGCACCGGGAGCGCGCAGCGGGGGGGGGGCGGGGCTCAGCATCCGCGGCACCTGGCCTGGTTCGCGAGTCCGGATTGGTCCCGACGCCGGGAGCGCGCGAGGGCGCGGCGCTTAGGGCCGGCGGGGGGCGCGCGCGGCGCCACCGGCGGCCGCGGAGGAGCGCGGGGAGGAGCGCGGAGGAGGAGCGCGGGGAGGAGGGCAAGGGGAGGGAGGAGGCACCCGCTCGGCTCCCTGCAAAGCGGCCTTATTTATTTGGGCACAACCTCAGCCTCCCCGGTGGGAGGTTCGGAGCGGCAGATCCTCTCCCACCGGGGAGCTCTTCTCCGGGCGCGGCCGAAAGGGCCCGGCCAGGCTGGGGCGTGGGGCGCGGCCGGGCCCTGCCCGCCAGTCCAGCACCTCGGCCGCCTCCGCGTTCGGTGGCGCCCATGCTGGGCTCCCCATGACGCGAGGTCGCCCGGCGGACAGCGTGGCATGAGCCAGGAGCCCGGGCCGAGGTAAGGTGTGCACGCGCGACCAGGCTGCGGGGTGGAGAGGGGGCCAGGCCAAGTCACCGCCACCACCATGACCACAATGAGGAGGGGGCGGGGTGGGGGCTTGGGACTGCGCCGCCGCCGTCTCCTGGCCAGGGCTTACGTAACGCAACCCCTTCCCAGCTTCACCCTGTGGCCGCTAGGCCTGCAGTCTGCCGGGCCCTCCGTGGCCCCTCGCCCCAGTACCTGGCCTGATGGAGGCCCACTCACCACCTGCAACGCGATTAAGGCTGTGGGTCGCTGCCACGGGAGCCACCGAGGGAAAGCACTGTACTCCCTAGGACACGGAAATGCAGGCCTCCAGCTCCCACACTGCCTGTCTGGGCTGTCCCCCCCACTCCAGCTCTGTGGACCTCTGGGTGGACGTGACAGGTGTTAGGTACAATTAAACTGCAGGAGAAGTCATGTGGGTATGACACCTGGGGGCTGGTCCTCCCCTGGACACAGTCTGGACACCGGCCTGTATGGAGATGCCACCCATAGGGAGGCAGAGAGGGAGTGGACTGGCAGGGTTTAGTTCTGGCCAAGGCTGGAGGGCCTCAGAATGAAGAGTGGACACCCTGAGACCTCTGGGCAGGGCTTCCGTGTATTCCTGGGAGTTTTCATGGGCGGGGATGTCCCCACCCATCATCCCAGGAGAGAAGACCTGACTGTTGGAGCCCCAGAACCGCACAGCAGCACTTCCCCACCTGTGAGCCAGAGCCTGACCTCTCAGGAGCAGATGGAATATGCCACTTTCCCTGCCTCCCTCCCTCACACCCCTCTTCCACACCCATCTTGTCCCAGAGTCCACTAGCCAGGGTCAGCTCAGGCCTCTAGACACAGGGCCCTCTCTCCCTGCCCACGCCTTTGATGAGGTGCTGAACAGCAGACTCAGAGCAGAAGGGTAGGCTGGGCTGGAAGCCTGAAGGGTTTGGGACTGCCCAGGCCAGGGCAGAGGCCTGATGGAGCCTGATGGCCCTGGCCAAAGGTGACAACAGGGCTGGACCAGGAGCTGTCTGGGGGGCAGGGGTGAGGAATTCAAGGCCCAGCTGCAAACTTGGGTGGTACCCCAGTTCCTACTGCCCTCGCTACCTGGCTCCCCAACCACTCCTCATCTTGGATCAGCCTACAGGCTTGCCTCCTCCCCCTCAAACCTATTTCCGGAGACCTGAACTCATCCTGTCTCCATGATAGAGAAGGAAGCAAGTGCCCCCAGGTGGGAGGAACCTGGCCCAGGAAGCCCTGAACTGCTGAGAGGCAGGCATGTCCCTGGAGTTGGAGGACGGCTTCCTGACGGGTACTGCTCAACAGTCTGCAGACCCCGTGGGCTCACCTGTGGGAACTCTCTGCTGTGTTTCTGTGGGCTGATACAGGGAATGCTGAGGACAGGGGCAGGAAGCAGGTTTTACAGGGTGGGTGGGTGGCCCAGCGCCTTCCCCACCAGTGGTCCAGGAGGAGCCAGTGGCCAGACTGGCTGCAGAGGACATGTGTAGGCCATATTCCCTCACTGGGCTGCTGTCCAAAGCAGTAGGCACCAGGAGTCCAGTCCAAGGTCTTGGAGGGCTTGTGTTCTTCAGAACAGAGGACAAGCCAAAGCCCAGTGTCCACAACCCAGGCCCACAGGGTTGAGCTGCTCTGAGCATGGTCACAGGGCATCAGTCTGCCAGAGCATCAGTGTGGATCTCGAGACCCATGTGCTCCTTTGGCCAAGGGTTTCCACGTCCCAAAGCCCCTGGTATACTCCCAGAAGCATCTCCAGCTGGAGGCGGGAGGGGAGCACTGTGGTTGACACGTGCAAAGTGGCAGGGATGTGAATGTGCCTGAGTCACAGGAACATGTCAGCTCGCACTGTGCCCTCAATCCCAGCTAGCCTGGTTGTCACTCCGGTCCCTGGGGCTGCCACTGTAGACTGAGCCCTGTGTGAGTGTTTCTGGTTATCCATTCCGCCCAGTGTCAAGCAGGCAGGAGGAGCTGTTCAGTACAGGTACTACGGAGGCCAAGCCCTCCATCATCCAAGGTGGTCTACATCCTGATCTGATGCTCACAGAGATGGGGGAAGAGACTCCCCCATTACTGGCGATTAGGAGCAAGGGTGTTGGTGGCTGTGTGACTAGCAGCCCCTGGCAGGAGAGCAAGGAGAGCAGGGATCCTTCTGGATGAGGACAATGCTCAGAGACCACTAACCAGATCACAGGAGGGTACAGGGAACCTGATGAACAAAGAGGACAGAACAGGGAGCCATAGATGTGCAACTGGCCAAGGGCAAGCCAGCCCTGGGCCAGGACATTGGGAATCATACATCCTGGGGAGTCTTGGGGTCAATTGCAGTTTTGTCAGCTTGTGGAAAATTACTTTGAGCCTTGCTTTCCCCACTCCTGATTGGGCAGTATGTGTAGGACTCAGCCCATAATGCAGGGTGTGATGCTGGAGAGTGCAGGACTCCCTCTTTCCACCCTCACAGCAACTCCTGTCCCCTTCCTGTAGGGTCAGGCCAGATTGTAGGGGATGGACAGCCAGCTTGCTTAGCTCTGCAGCTCCAGAAGGGAGAATTATCCAAAAAATAGATGCAAGGTGTCCTTTTCCCCAGAATCTGTGTATCCCAAGGCCCACCTCACCTAGGGTATTGGGAGCCTTCCCAGTGACTCTGGTGCCAACCCAGTCCCAACACCAGTGGCCTCCCTGATCTAGGAGCACTGACCACTGTCACAACTGGGATTAAGTTCTTGAGCTACAGCTCTGCCACTGACCAACCTCCTCTTAAATTTGATCTGTCCTCCCTCAAACTTCTCGGAGCTCTGTCAGCCACACCACTTGTGAACTGCTATTTCTCGTCCACTCATTCAGCAACACTCAGAGGCCACACAACCCTGGTTGCAGCTGACCTCAAGCGGTCCTCAGGCCAGGGGGAGAGGCAGACAGTGGTGACAATCATGTGATGAAAGATGGTGGAGATGTTATCTAGAGTGCTGGAAGTCTCAGATGGGAAGCAGGCATTACTCACATCAACAGCTGAAGAATGGGGAAGAAACTTGAAGGATTAAGTTTAGGAAGGCCATGAAACAAGCAGGAGACTGGCATGTGCCCAGGGGAAGAGAGTTGGGAGAGGAAGAATGAGGGACAGGGATTGGCTGGGCACAGGTTCAGGGCTGGAGGTGAGGCTGACTTGGGTCTCAGAGCCCAGATGGGCAGGAAAGGTAGCTCCTTGTAATTTAGCATGGCTATCTGTGAACTGTCATCCTGGAAGCCACTAAATTCTGGGCTTTTTCCAGCTGCACCCAAGGCCCATCATGCTCCTTAGGTCCACAATGAGTCCGTCCTCTGGGCAGAGTAGAGGCATGGGTAGCTCTTCCCAGGGGTATCCTGACCTGACTTGGGCATGCTGATGAGGACAAGAAAGCTGAGGTAGTGCCTACTGTTTCCCCCATCCATGGAGTAGGCTCAGGGACCTCAAGCCTAGGACTTCCCCAGAATTCCACTCCAAACTGCTTTGACATGCCTGGGCTAAGGCCAAGAGTTGTGCAAGTCAGCCCTCTTTTTCACAAGTCTCTCTTGCAGTATTAGCTCCTGAGGTGCTTGTTCCTAAAGGAGAGGCAGTCCTGAGCAGCCTGGGAGTTGCCCACGCCCCTCCAAGCAGACCCTTGGACCCATTTGATGTGGAAAAAGGAGTTGAAACAGCAAGAGGGGTCGCTACAAGCCCAGGGAACCCCTGGGTTACTGCCTGGCTCAGTTGCAGGGCCAGGTGTTGAGGCTCTTATCTGAGCCCCTCAGGAACTTTAGCCTAACTGGCAGGAACCCCTGGGCCAAGCTGTTTCCATTTTTGAACCACAGTGTGGGGATTCTTGGGGTGGGTTGAGCCCAAGGACTGGGAGGAGCAGCTGGAGCCCCTGTAAGACACTGAGCACAAACTTGGGGAACAGTGGGGCTACCTCTGTTCCCCTGCACCCCTGACCAAAGGAACAGACCTCAGGTGTGGGTGCGGGATGAGGGGCAGTGGGGATCCATTCTCAGCCTGTCCTCTCCCTCTGCCTATTCTCAGACCGGCTTTTCACAAGCTCTGTCCTGAGGAGTGGAAGGTAGGGATGAGACCGTGGGCTTGTGCAAATGTGAGCTCCAATGGGAGAAGGAGCCCCGCGGATGCCCAGGGCGTCCACGTGCATCCCCACCCCCCAACTCCGGCGCTCCACGTGCACACCCGCGGCTGGGAGCATTTTCAGCCTAAATCGGCACAGCGCTTGGATTATTTCTCCCCTGACACCGCCTCCGCCGGTTCCTAGCCAAGCGGGTTGCCTCTCCCGCCTCTGGGGCCCCTCCCTGCCGAACTGGGTTTGCCAGAGCCGCCTCGCCCCACGTCGCTGTCCGTGGTTCAGCTAGCCCGCTTAGACCCCGGGCGCGCGGCCGCTGTCCATGGTGCTGGGCGCCAGGGCAGCGAGACACAGCAGAGGCCGAATGGGTAGAGCACCCTGGGAGGGGAAGTTAAGTAGTCTGGAGAGCAGGAGGTGTTCGGGCTGGGGCTACCTTTCCATCCTCAGCACAGGTCCTTAGGAGTGCATTGCTGAGACAGGAATAGGGTGACTGTGAGCCTTATTTGTCCCTTCTTGGGTCACTACTGCCCCATGACTGTTCCTCTTCCCTGTACCGGCACTTAGGGAGCTGGGGTAGCCCCGTTTCAAGCCTCCCCCTCTACAGTGAACAAACTAACTCCCTGGAGCCTCAGGTTCCTTCTCTGACAACTGGGGCAATAACAGTGATCACTCCCACACGGGGCTGCCCGCCGTGAGGCTGAAATACACGATTATCTCAGTGGGCAATCGGCAAGTGTTACAGATGTTGTACCTGTTGTTGTACCAGACAGTACCTGACTACTACTGCCAGGTTACGCGTACAGGCAGAGAGGCAGTCAAGGTGTGGGAGCCTCCTTTGGGAGGGGAAGAGGAAGAGTGAACTGCTGGTGGCAAGGGGGCCTGTGGCTGCCAGGGAAGGAAGGTCTTTGGACCCAAAGGTGGATTGGCAGTCATGAGGTCCAGGTTTTGGTGAGACCTCAGGCCAGATCTGTACCCCCTCCCCAGAGGCAGGATGCCAGCCAGGGCTGCCTGTCCAGGCTTGAGACCCAATGGGGTATGGTGATGGAAAAAGGAGGGCAGGACCTCCGTTTTCCTCTCTCCTGGTGGCTCCTGTCCACTCTCCCTCAGGTCAGGCCAGATTGTGGAGATGGACAGAGACAGCTTCAGAAGAGGCTGAACTGCAGCTCTAGAAGAAGTCCTCAGCCAAAAAGGAGACATAAGCCGTTCTCTTCCAAAGGGTCTGCCTATTCCAGTGCCCATCCCAACCCTTGGGAAGGTCTTGGGACCCTTCTCTGATAGTCCCTTTGTGGCTTTGGGAGACTTCTCATGTTTATCTCAGACAGGCGGGGGGGGGCAGGGGGAGGAGCTAGGAGTGACTTTTTTCTTCTCTGAGATTGTGGTGTGGGAAGTCAAGGACCTTGGTGTAGGCTCCGGCTCTGTCCTGGAGTAACCTACAAACCAGGAAGGCAGATTCTGCTTTACCCTTGGGTTGGCCCGGGAATCAGAAGTAACCTCCAGGTCACTTTTAAAGCCTTGCTATGAGCCTGGCACTGTGATCAGCCCTTTTCACAGGCAGGAGCAGGTGTTACCACCTCCCAGGCTTCAAAGTGAGAAAACGAGGCTCTGAGAAGGGAAGTGGCCAAGACCACACATGGAAGGTGGGGCCCATTGGGGTCCAGGGTGTGGGACTCAAGTCTGTGCAGGTGAGACCCCCAGGTGCTCTGCCTCCTTGCTGGATGTTGGGTGTGGGTGGGCACAAGGATATCTATCTGGAATGTGAAACAGATGGTCCCAGTGCCTTGTCCCTCCACGCTGCTTATGTGGATGCATAGTGCACTCACTCACAGCCTTGGGGGTCTGGTAAGGGGAGGTAGGCTGGGGAACAGTCTCAGATCCACCTTGTGGGCAGATGACCCTGGCCTAAGAACCTTCACATGGCCTTCCTCATCCAGCTCTGGTCCAAAACTCGGCTCTACCACTTAACTAGCCATGACCTCAAACCAATCCTTGGCCTCGGTTTCCTCATCTATACAATGTATATGGTAATCACAGTACTGTCCTCATTGTGTTGGGTGGAGGATTCAAGACAGCATGTGTCCAGGACCCCACTGTCTACACTGAGAAAACACTGTTTTTCTTAGGGCAAATCCTGAACCACAGAACCTTCTGTGGGTGCCAAAATTCTCTGGAGTTGGTGTGTGACTCTCAGACAGGGCACCAGAGCTTGTCCAAAGAACTGCTGGCACACCATAGGGGAGGGGCCAGAGACTGCCCCAAAACCTTTCCTTCAGTTTCCCAGCCCCTGCCCAGCAGAGTTAGCTCTGATAGTGGGCATCAGAGGAGTAGAGCAGTTGCAACTTCATCTCTCACATGTGACGTGGGAGTCATGGTATCTACGCATCCGAAAGCATGCATGAGCAATGCAGGTTGGACCAGTGCACTCAACAGGTCTTCAGTGAGTGTTGTCATGGCCAGCCTGCCTCTCATTACTGCACAGTCAGGGAGGGAGAGGCATGCACTCAGATCCTTTCTGTTAGTGATTCTGGGAGTGCTATGCGAGGGGCTGCCCAGGGGTGGGAAAGAGCCAGCTCCCCACAGCCTCCCCAGAGACCAGCCACACTTACTTGCTCCTCCTGGCCTGTCTGCAGAGCGTGCAAGGAAGATGTCGAGCCCGGGTGTTGACGGTGACCCCAAGCCTCCATGCTTGCCTCGAAATGGCCTGGTGAAGCTGCCTGGTCAGCCCAATGGCCTAGGTGCAGCCAGCATCACCAAGGGCACACCAGCTGCCAAGAACCGCCCCTGCCAGCCACCACCCCCATCTACCCTCCCACCTCCCAGCCTGGCTACCCCACTGTCCCGGGCTACTCTGGCTGGGGCCCCATGCCCCCCAGCAGTTGGACCAGCCTCGGGCCCGGCACCTGGACCCCCAGCGGAACGGCCACCACTGGCCACAGACGAGAAGATCCTCAATGGCCTCTTCTGGTACTTCTCGGCATGTGAAAAGTGTGTGCTAGCCCAGGTGTGCAAGGCCTGGCGGCGTGTGCTTTACCAGCCCAAGTTCTGGGCAGGCCTCACACCTGTGCTGCATGCTAAAGAGCTGTACAATGTGCTGCCTGGAGGAGAGAAGGAGTTTGTGAACCTTCAGGGCTTTGCTGCTCGAGGCTTTGAAGGCTTCTGCCTAGTTGGTGTTTCTGACCTGGATATCTGTGAGTTCATTGACAACTATGCGCTGTCCAAGAAGGGGGTCAAGGCCATGAGTCTCAAGCGCTCCACCATCACCGACGCTGGCCTAGAGGTGTGTCCCCGAACTTGCCACCAGGGGGCAGGGTTGGAGGGGCAGCAGCAAACCTGTGGGAGAGACCCAGAGGAAGCTCAGTCAAACAAGGAGCAAAATAGCAAGGATGGTGGTACTAAGGAGAAACAAATTGGGAAGGGGCGTGGGGGAGCACGACCTAGTGCAAAGTGAAAATGTGGGTTCCTTGTTCAAAGATAATTACGAATTTCAAGGTGGTAACAATTAATTTCTGGAGGGAGGTGAAGAACATCTTGGGAAGGGTCTCCCAAGAGCAGTATGCCCAGCTCCCAGGTCCTGGACTGCAATCTTAACATTCAAACCCACTGCTCTGTGCACCTGCTTTGGCCAGGCCCTGGCTCCTGGGCCCCCTGGGCCTTGCCTCTCTCTTGGAATGTTGTTCAAATGTGACAGACACTGTAAGTGCTCTCCTCTGAGTTCAGCCTGATGCATGCTTTCGCAAGTCTAGTACACCTGAGAGGCCACTGCTTCCTACCTTCCAGTGACTTCTTCGGGCAGTCCTCACCACGCCCTGTGGGAGGGGCAGATGGGGAGGGAGGGGGCGGGGGAGCTGACCTAGGCGGGCCCCTGACGCAGGCCTTTCCACAGGTGATGTTGGAGCAGATGCAGGGAGTGGTGCGCCTGGAGCTGTCAGGCTGCAACGACTTCACCGAGGCAGGACTGTGGTCCAGCCTCAGTGCACGCATCACCTCGCTGAGTGTGAGCGACTGCATCAACGTGGCAGACGACGCCATCGCAGCCATCTCACAGCTGCTGCCCAACCTGGCAGAGCTAAGCCTGCAGGCCTACCATGTGACGGACACAGCGCTGGCCTACTTCACGGCTCGCCAGGGCCACAGCACACATACACTTCGCCTGCTCTCTTGCTGGGAGATCACCAACCACGGCGTGGTCAACGTGGTGCACAGCCTGCCCAACCTCACCGCACTCAGCCTCTCGGGCTGCTCCAAGGTCACTGACGACGGCGTCGAACTCGTAGCCGAGAACCTGCGCAAGTTGCGTAGCCTCGACCTTTCGTGGTGCCCTCGTATCACCGACATGGCGCTTGAGTACGTGGCCTGCGACCTGCACCGCCTGGAGGAGCTCGTACTGGACAGGTGCGCACGCCCTGGGTGCGGGCAAACTGGGAGTCTAGGGTGGGTGGCGCGGAGCCTATGAGCTCCTGGCATAGGGAGGCCACAGAGGGGACAGATGGGGGCAGAACTGTGGCACTGTGGGCGGTGCCATTGTAAGTGGGTTGGGGAAACCAGCATCTGCTGGAGCAGAGCGGGACATGACAGGGACAGGCGGGGCCACGGGGATTGTGGGGCTACTGCGGGTGGGGGGGTTGGTTCGCACCAGGGGCCACAGGTGTGGGGTGGGGCAGAGTGACTTGAAGGTGGGCAGTCCCCCTCTGGTGCAACCACAGGTGTGTACGCATCACGGACACTGGCCTCAGCTATTTGTCCACCATGTCGTCCCTCCGCAGCCTCTACCTGCGATGGTGCTGCCAGGTATCGAACCTCCACACCTCCCTCCTGGGATCTGGGAACAGGCAGGCGCGGTGGGGAATGCGGGGAAAGCCTCAGGCAGACCCTGACCCACTCCTGGCCCCACTGCGATCCCGCATGGGTCTGGGATCCCTCTGTGCCCTGCAGCTAACCTAAGCTGAAATTGCTGGGGACTCTGAGAAACCTCCGTTTTGCATCCCGCCTCCTACCCTTCCTGGGCCCCAGCGCCCACAAAAGGGAAAACAGTTAACTCGTTTCCCCTTCCCTACCCCCCTCCCCAAAGGTGCAGGACTTCGGGCTGAAGCACCTCTTGGCCATGAGGAGTTTGCGTCTCCTGTCCCTGGCAGGTGAGCCCTCCTGCAGGCCTTCCAGGCAGTGACATGCCTCCCACAACTTACCTGGCTTGACACTCCCATCCCCATCTGGTCCTCTGCGCGGGTTCACGGCCAGCCCGGGTCTGCTAAGTCCCAGATCCAAGTTAGCGGAGGGTCAAGCTCTAGCCTAGCCGGGCCAGGCCCCACCCCTCCCGCCAGGCCACGCCCTGTAGCCTCTCCCCGCACCGCCCAGCCGTCCCGCAGCGCGGACCTGAGCCGCTACCCTGCTCCCACTCGCTGCAGGCTGCCCGCTGCTGACCACCACGGGGCTGTCCGGCCTGGTGCAGCTGCAGGAGCTGGAGGAGCTGGAGCTGACCAACTGCCCCGGGGCCACTCCCGAGCTCTTCAAGTACTTCTCGCAGCACCTGCCCCGCTGCCTCGTCATCGAGTAGCGCGGGGCTCCCTGTCCCGGCCGCGGGAACCAGCCACGCTCTGCGCGGGGCGCCGCTGAGCCCCTCTTCCGACCCTGCGGGAGCCCCGCGCGCCCAGGCCCCGCGCAGGAGGCTGGGCGAGCCGAGGGAAGCCCCGCCCCGTGCATCCCTCGCCCTTCCACGCCTCTCCCCGCCCCGCCCGGGGTAGGGGGCGGCGAGGCCAGCCCCACGCACGCACGCACGCACGCACGCACACTCGGGGACTTTGTGCATGCCCTTCGTGCCCGCACTGCACGCCCGCCCTCCACCACGCCACAGCCGCCGCCATCACCCGCCTGCCCGCTTGGGGGGGGGTCTTGGTTCTTGGGGGCGCTTTGAGGATAGTGGTCCTCACCGCCTTCCCCGCCACACCCCGCTCTCGGCCTTTCCGCTGCCCACCCCCCCCCCAAATCCCGGGCAGGGCCCAGGGAGGTGGGAGTTTGATCCCCCAAGACTCAGGGGCCCGGAAGAGCCCCAAGGGCCTCCCGCATCTTCCACTGCATCGCGCCTGGAGCCCTCCGAGGGGTGCGAGGAGACGTAGGCCACTGCCAAAGCCATGGCCCACTGAGGAGCCCAACTCCCCTCCCCATACCCCATGCCGCCTGACCCGTGTAGGCCAGTCCTTGCCCCTTCTTCTCCCACCGGCCTACAGATCCTTGGGCCCTGGCCAGGCTGGGTCAGCATTGGGACGATTGGCAACTTTGGAGTAATCATTAGCCCAGCCGGCGTCAGTCCACTTCGGTACAGGGGTGGAACACCCATCTAAGAGACCCCCAAGCTGGAGCCACCCTCAAGGCTGTCAGGCCTTGGAAGTACCCCAACCCCACACCCTTGGCCCCTATACCAGCTGGGTTCAGTCCTGTCAGCACAGCACTTCATCCTGAGTAGGTCTCAGTTGGAATCTGCAGAAGTGGGCCTGTCAGGGTCAGCACTGATCAGCGACTCGATCTTCCAGTGGCCAGCACCCCCTCCACACCCCTGGAGGAGGGAGGGCTCCTTTCTAGCCCCTCTTCACCCCTCCCCAGCTTCCAAAACCTCTGCCTGCCCAAATGGGCTCTGACCGCGTTCTGTCTGATCCCAAGACATTTGGAAGTCCTGGGGGATGCTGGCACATCTTGGCAAGGCTGAGGAGGGGGCTGGGACCCCTTTCCATCCTAACCTTGAGCCCCAGGAGACAGCGCCCACACCCAATCTTGGGACACCCCTATCTGGTTGGAAGAGAGTAACCAGTTTCCAGAGAGCCAGAGAGTGAGAGGAGAGAGAGAGAGAAAGAGAGAGAGAGAGAGAGAGATGCTGTTGAAGCAGAGAAAGTTCAACAGCCCAAAGAGTTCCCTGCCCCTGGAGTGCCCTCCAGGCTGAAGTGGTCAGAAGCCAGTTTCTTCAGCCCCTTCTCCCACAGCCCCCTAATAAGGAGGGGCAGCTGTCCATTTACCCAAAGTATTAATGCAACTGAAGCTGTGATATTTCTATCGACTGTAGGAGGAAAATTTAAGGGGAGAGAGGAAAACAAAACCAACCAACCCCTAAAATCATTTTCTTATTGTACATAACGACCTCATTCTCCTGTATATGCGGAAGATATAACCTTATATTTGGTAAGTGTTTCTTGTGCTATTTTATCACGTGACCTGTTTATAAAAATATATATTAAAAAGTTGTAAAAACATGAGTCTGGGTTGTTTGTAGGTGACCAAACTATGGTGCAGGGGTTTCTAGCTGCACTGGATGACTGGATTCTTGTGCTCCTCTTAACTCAAAGTTATTCTTTCAATAAACATGTAGAGGCTGGATACTCACCAGTGACCAGGACAGAAGTCCCCTAATCTCCCATTGCATAAAGGACAGAAATGACACTTAAAAGTTATTACATATAATTCCCATTCAGAGTATCTTGGACCTAGCCCACCACCCTTCCAGAAAGGCAGAAATGAGCCCTGTCTTATACACAAGGTAACTAAGGCTAAGTGAGGGACAAAGATGTCCTAAAAGATTACTTGGCACACACCAGCGGACCAGGTCTACAGAAAGGGAGGCTCAGACTGAACAGAGCCACTGGTTGAACAGCCTGTCAGGCCCTAAAAGTTGGGACCAAAATAGACAATCCCTGTCCTGGTGAAGTTCACACCCACGTGTGATAGACAACCACCGGTAAAGAAAGGAGCAGGTTGAGACAAATGAACAAGTGATTGGAGGCGACGAAGCCATATTAGGTGGGGTGCCAGGGCAGGCAGGCTTCTTCTCTGAGCTGAGTCCTAGAGGGTGAGGAAGCGACACGTTCTGCAGAGGAATGAAGGCCGAATAAGGCAGGAGAGAGCTTGACGGGCTGCAGACAGTATGGGAAGCTGCCGCAGCTGAGATTGAGAAAGCCAGGCCGGGCGAGTGGGACTTATTCACATTGCAGGAGGGAGCTGCGGAAGGTCTTAGGCAGAAGTGGCACCGGGCTGTGCGGGGTTCAGATCCGGAAAAGATGGACCAGGCGACCAAGCAGTCTGGAGGCTGCGCCCGAGCTCCGCGGGAGTAAGGCACGAGGTGAAGACTGGAGGGGTTCGCTGAAGGACCTGGGGCAAGGAATAAGCACTAAGATTAAAACAGAGATGAAAATAAACACTAGCAAGCGTGTGTCCCTGAGTTCAAACCCCAGTACACCCAAAAAAAAAGTAAAGTAACGAGTACACGGACAAACCACAGAGAGCCCGCAGACCCTCCCTCCGACTCAACCAGCTCAGCGCCGTAACCCCGGAACTTGTATGGTGTAGGCCAAAGTCCGTGCCCACTTCCGGCAGGGAGCTAGTAAGAAGAGGGCCACTTCCGGCAAGGGGCGGGACGGAGACCGACTGCTTCGAGCAGGGTGGTGCGGGACCGCGGTGAGCCTTCGGTAAATGACTAGAGTGACGCGGAGGGAAAGGCTTCCCAGGCTTGTCTGGTTCTGGTCACTGGAACCCAGTACTCTGTGCTTCCATACTCTCCTGCCTCTCAAGCTTTTTAAGCAGCTCGGAGCTCTGGGTCTCTCTGCCCCCTTCCCCCTTTTGGTCCTGGAGCCCCTGTGCCCTAGGAGAGTCCCCCGGGCTGATCGGGTGGGCGCCGAGATCCACCTTCCCCCCCTCCCCCCGGTGGGACTGACTGACCGACGGAGATCCAGTGGCCACCGGGATCTGATGTAGGAATAGAGAGGTGGCCGGGCCGGGATTAACTACTTTGGGTCTTCTTGGGCAGAGTACTTATGAGGATCAGGGCAGCCCTGCAGGCTTCTGGAGGACTCCAGTGAGTTTGAACTTCCCTGAGGCTAATTGGCTGATGGATTGCTTAGACTGGTCACCAAGACTGACCAGCCCAGGCCCAAGTAGTTTGGGAGACCCAACCAGGCCAGTCCACTTCACTAATCTGCTCCTACCCGTACAGCCATGGAAAAGATGTCCCGAGTGACCACGGCCCTGGGTGGTAGTGCGCTGACGGGCCGCACCATGCACTGCCACTTGGATGCGCCAGCCAATGCCATCAGCGTGTGCCGTGATGCAGCCCAAGTGGTCGTGGCAGGCCGCAGCATCTTCAAGATTTACGCCATCGAGGAGGAGCAGTTCGTAGAGAAGCTGAACCTCCGTGTGGGCCGCAAGCCTTCACTCAATCTGAGCTGTGCTGACGTGGTCTGGCACCAGATGGATGAGAACCTGCTGGCCACAGCAGCCACCAATGGTGTAGTGGTCACATGGAATCTTGGTCGGCCATCTCGAAACAAGCAGGATCAGCTGTTCACAGAACACAAGCGCACTGTGAACAAAGTCTGCTTCCACCCCACTGAGGCCCACGTGCTGCTCAGTGGCTCCCAGGATGGCTTCATGAAGTGCTTTGACCTCCGCAGGAAGGACTCTGTCAGCACCTTCTCCGGTGAGTTCCAGAGGCAGGTTGGGGCAGGTGGGCATCTCTATAGGTGCTGGAGCTGACCAGGCAGGTTAAGAAATGCCCCATGCATCAGAGGCCCTTGGATGCACTTCCAGGGATGGGCCAGCATAGAACAGTGGGTGGGGGCCAGAAGGGGAGGGGGTGGAGGCAGGTTTGGGTGAAGTGTGACACACAGTACTGATGGTGGGAGAGGGGCAGTCTTAGCCCAGCTGGGTACTGAGCAACTTGGTGTGGCACCTCCCTTTCCCTCACCTGGACTCTAGGCTGCCTCATTTCAGGAAGTTTACTAGGACCTCCAGGGTTCTCAGTCCAGGGATTCAGAAGGGATGGGGTACACGGCCCAGTTCCCCCAGGCCCAGTTTCCTGATGGCCATCCCTGAACTCTCCCTTGTCCACCTTGATGAGACTAATTGAAGAACAAGGCAAAGCCCTGGGGCCTTGGAGAATTTGTGGGCTTAAGGCAGATCTTGAGCTGCCTGTGCCAGGAGAAGGCTGGACAGTGCTCTCTCAGGCCTTTGCTGTGGCTGTGATGGTCTTTGAGCCCTCTAGTCCTTAGGGGCTGACCAGGCAGTTCCAGCCCAGTGTTGGACCAAGGCTGGCACACCCTCCTCAGCTGCCTTTTGGGTCTCTAGCAGACGTGAGGCCCCAAGAGAATGTAAGCAGAAAGCCAGGTACATTTCCCCAGATATGTTTTCCTTAGGCTGGACCACAGCTTTGCCCAAAGACTAGTGTAAGGGAAACTTGACCCCTGAGTGTCCAAAAATCACTTGATGTGTCCTCTCTGGCATAGGCTTCACTCATCCTGGGCAGACCGTGGCAGTGTACCCCTTACCCTCTTGGCCTCCTGGCCTGGCCACAGGCAGACAATGTAACACCACTGCAATCACTTCAAGGGCTCACCCTCACTTCTATCTTCATTGACACCTTCCCCACAGGTCAGTCTGAGAGTGTGCGGGATGTCCAGTTTAGTATCCGAGACTACTTTACTTTTGCCTCCACCTTTGAGAATGGCAATGTGCAGCTCTGGGACATCCGCCGTCCTGACCGATGTGAGAGAATGTTCACAGCCCACAATGGGCCCGTCTTCTGCTGTGACTGGCACCCTGAGGACAGGTGTGGTGTGGGGATGCAGCGGGTGGTGGGATACTGCAAGACCTGTGAGAGAGTGGGGAGCAGCAGGGCTGGGGACTCCTTTCCCCCAGAAGAGGTCACTGAGGGCTTGGCCCCACAGGGGCTGGCTGGCCACAGGTGGACGCGACAAGATGGTGAAGGTCTGGGATATGACCACACATCGTGCCAAGGAGATGCATTGTGTGCAGACCATCGCCTCAGTAGCTCGTGTCAAGTGGCGGCCTGAGTGCCGCCATCACCTGGCCACATGCTCCATGATGGTGGACCACAACATCTATGTGTGGGATGTGCGCCGGCCCTTTGTGCCGGCTGCTATGTTTGAGGAGCACCGAGACGTCACAACAGGCATTGCCTGGCGCCACCCACACGACCCCTCCTTTCTGCTCTCTGGCTCCAAGGACAGTACTCTGTGCCAGCACCTGTTCCGTGATGCCAGCCAGCCTGTTGAACGCGCAAACCCTGAGGGTCTCTGCTATGGTCTCTTTGGGGACCTAGCCTTTGCTGCCAAGGAGAGCCTTGTGGCTGCTGAATCGGGGCGCAAACCCTATGCTGGTGGGCGCCACCCCATGTTCTTCAAGCGCAAGCTGGACCCCGCTGAGCCCTTTTCAGGACTTGCCTCCAGTGCCCTCAGTGTCTTCGAGACAGAGCCTGGTGGTGGCAGCATGAGCTGGTTTGTGGACACAGCTGAGCGTTATGCTCTGGCCGGTCGGCCACTGGCAGAGCTCTGTGACCACAATGCGAAGGTCGCTCGGGAGCTCGGCCGCAACCAGGTATGTGGTTCTGGGCTGAGGGGGGACCAAGGGCCATGACCTTAGGGCAGGTGCTGGATGTTCACCAGTTGTACCTGCCATCCATTCTGAACTCAGTGTTTGGCTGTGGTCAGCCATACCACCCACCTTTGCCCCAGTAACTGAGGTTGTGGAAATCATGCAGTGCCACACTGGACCAGACCCCAGGGCTGTCCTCTGAGAGGTGGGGATCTAGGGGTCATGTACACATAGCCCCCTCTTCTCCCTCACTCTTAATGTTGGAAGTGCTTCTTGCATGCTGTCTCTTCGCCCCATTGGTCCCCTGCTCATTCTTGTGTTGGCTGCCTCCCAGTTGTTTCCTGTGTACTGCTATAGGATGGAGATTGATTTTTGTCTTTCCCGTGGACCGCAGTTTCCCCAGTGGGGGTAGGCCAGGATATTGGTTCCCAGGGCTGCTGAAGGTGGATGTGTTGTTCTGACAAGACAGAAGGTGCCTGCCTGGGGTGCTGGGTGCCCAGGACCCCCTGAGTGGCTGGTGCCTGCCCCTAGGTGGCACAGACGTGGACCATGCTGCGGATCATCTACTGTAGCCCTGGTCTGGTGCCCTCCGCCAACCTCAACCACAGTGTGGGCAAAGGCAGCTCCTGTGGCCTGCCACTCATGAACAGGTAGATGTGGGGGCAGCTCTCCCCAGAGGGTGGGACTGATGGAGGCCAGCTACCCATGAGCCTTCCCTGTCACCAGTTTCAACCTGAAAGATATGGCTCCAGGGCTAGGAAGTGAGACAAGGCTGGACCGAAGCAAAGTGGATTCACGGAGTGACACAGTTCTCCTTGACTCCTCTGTCACGCTCATCACCAATGAGGGTAGGTTGGAGGGCAGGCAGAGGTTGTTGGTGGGAGTAGGGCTGGGGTACCCCACAGTGAGCCACACTTGAGTGTTCTCCCCTCCCTGCTGGGCAGATAACGAGGAGACTGAGGGTAGTGATGTGCCTGCTGACTACCTGCTGGGTGACGTAGAGGGCGAGGAGGATGAACTTTACCCACTGGACCCAGAACATGTACACCGTGAGTGGGGGCTTGGATGGGGCAGGGAGGAGGCGGGGCAGAAGCTAGACCCAGAACACATAGACCATGAATCTGAGTTCCGGTGGGGTGCAGAGACAGAGGCCCAGTTCCACATTTCCTGACCTTGCCTCCCAGCTGAGGAGCCTGAGTACGTGCTGCCACAGGAAGCCTTCCCGTTGCGTCACGAGATCGTGGATACACCGTCCGGGCCAGAGCACTTGCAAGACAAGGCCGACTCGCCGCATGTGAGCGGCAGTGAGGCGGACGCCGCCTCTCTGGCACCTGTGGACTCCGCCTTCTCCCTCCTCTCCGTCTCACATGCACTCTATGACAGCCGCTTGCCGTCAGACTTCTTCAGTGCACTAGTGCGCGACATGCTGCGCTTCTATGCAGAGCAGGGAGATGTGCAGATGGCTGTGTCTGTCCTCATCGTGCTGGGTGACAGAGTGCGCAAGGATATCGATGAGCAGACTCAGGTGTGTGATAGGGCGGGGGAGGGCCTCCCTGGACCAGCTGCTGCCTTCCCCCTTGGGCCTGGCTTTCTTCCACACCCCTGTCCCCACCCCTTGTGCTTGGGGACCCTGACCTCCTGGACCCCCTGTACCCAGGAGCACTGGTACACATCCTACATTGACCTGCTGCAGCGCTTCTGCCTCTGGAATGTGTCCAATGAGGTGGTAAAACTGAGCACCAGCCGTGCAGTCAGCTGCCTCAACCAGGCGTCCACTACCCTGCATGTCAACTGTAGCCACTGCAAGCGGCCCATGAGCAGCCGGGGCTGGGTCTGCGACAGGTGGGCACTGGGCGTGAAGGGCGAGGGCCTCACGTAGCCAGGATCCCGCAGCTGAGCCACTCTCCTGTCCTCAGGTGCCACCGCTGTGCCAGCATGTGTGCTGTCTGCCACCACGTGGTCAAGGGTCTGTTCGTGTGGTGCCAGGGCTGCAGCCATGGTGGCCACCTACAGCACATCATGAAGTGGCTGGAGGGCAGCTCCCACTGCCCTGCTGGCTGCGGCCACCTCTGCGAGTACTCCTGACTTGGGATGCCGTGCGGCCAGGCACGCAGACCCTTGCCCGTTTCTTGTGCTGAGATGGAAGGGGCTGGAACCTGTGAATCCAATAAAAGAGCTGCTGTCGGACTGCCTGTCACCAATCGCTGTGCCGCGAGTCTAGCGGGACCTTCTGGCCGGGTGACATTGCCGTGGTAACTTAAGGCGGCGAAGGGCCGCCGGGTGGGATCTTTTCGCTTGTGGAAAAGCCCCTTCCGGGGGCGGGATAAGTGGGTCCGCTTCCGGGTCCTGTGACGGCGCCCAGCAGTTGCCACGACGATGGAGCGGCCAGCCAATGGTGCGCCGGCTGGCGCGGGCTGAGCGCTTCCGGGGGCGGGATAAGTGGGTCCGCTTCCGGGTCCTGTGACGGCGCCCAGCAGTTGCCACGACGATGGAGCGGCCAGCCAATGGTGCGCCGGCTGGCGCGGGCTGAGCGCTCCCGGCATGCCGCGCGGCGGCGATCATGGCGTGGGGAGGGCAGCCGCGCCCGTTGCTGGCGCTGTGGCTGCTGGCGGCCCTGGCTCGATCCGGCTCCGGGGAGGCGGGCGACGGGGGGTGGTGAGCGGTGGCGAGATGAAGGGCGGCGGGCGGCGGGCCGCAGGAGAGCGGGGCTGACCTGGTGTGTCTGCAGGCGGCGGGCCGGGCCGGGGGCGGCGGCCGTGGAGGAAGAGCGCTGTACGGTGGAGCGCCGCGCCGACCTCACCTACGCTGAGTTTATGCAGCAGTAAGTGTCCACCGCGCCGCCCAGGCCCAGCAGCCTGGGCCGTCCCCGGTGCTCTGATGGAGGCGGCAGCGCACACGGCCCGACCTCTGCCCTCCCTCTCCGCAGCTACGCCTTCCTCAGGCCCGTCATCCTGCAGGGGCTCACGAACAACTCGGTGAGTGCTCGCACCCTTCGCGGCCAACCAGCCCTGTTTGGCAGCTAAACCCTCTCCTGACCTCCGCAGAGGTTCCGGGCTCTGTGCTCCCGAGAAAGGTTGCTGGCCTCATTTGGGGACAACGTGATTCGGCTGAGCACTGCCAACACCTACTCTTACCAGAAAGGTGAGCTACCGAACCCCTTGGGGCCCGCCTGCCAGCATCCTGAAGGCAGGACCAGCCTTTCCTGACCAGCGTCTTTCCCGCAGTGGACCTGCCCTTCCAGGAATATGTGGAGCGGCTACTGCACCCTCAGAACCCCACCTCCCTGGGCAATGGTGAGCCAGACCTGGGCAACGGTGGGGGTGTGGCGTTTAGGAGTACCTAAATGCCAAGATCCCTGCCCCCTTTGTGTTTTCTGTTGTTAGATACCCTTTACTTTTTTGGGGACAACAACTTCACCGAGTGGGCATCGCTCTTTCGGCACTACTCCCCACCCCCATTTCGTCTCCTGGGGACCACTCCTGCTTACAGCTTTGGAATCGCAGGTAGGTGCTCCTCTGGACCAGGGACCTGGGGAGGCCAGAGCAGGTTAAATTTGGTTGCTTCTTAACTCCACAGGAGCTGGTTCTGGAGTACCCTTCCATTGGCACGGGCCTGGGTTCTCAGAGGTGATCTATGGCCGTAAGGTCAGTACAGGGTGGGAACTTAGGCTTGGGGCTTGCTAACCGTAATACAGAATAGTGACCTTACACTTGTGTCCCCAGCGCTGGTTTCTTTACCCTCCTGAAAAGACACCTGAGTTTCATCCCAACAAAACCACACTGGCCTGGCTCCAGGACACGTACCCAGCCCTGGCACCATCTGCACGGCCCCTAGAGTGCACCATACGGGCTGGTGAGGTCAGTGACTGGCAGGAGGGGGCCAGGCCAGGCTGAAAGGCCCACAAATAATACCTGTACTCCATCCCTTCCACCAGGTGCTGTATTTCCCTGACCGCTGGTGGCATGCCACACTCAACCTGGACACCAGTGTCTTCATTTCTACCTTTCTTGGCTAAGCCAGAGCTGACAGCTGGCGAGCTCGTCACACCAGCACGTGCCCACATAGTGCTCACAGATTTTATTACAGGACAGTGGCAGCAGCAGTAGCCTAACCCAACCCACCCTCACCTGCTTTTCCAGCCCAGAAGGAGGATGGGAGGCTCACTGCCCAGCAAGGGCTATGCTGAGAGGAGGAGCAGTCCAGAGCCCGCCAGCAGAACTGATGAGGCAGGCCTAAGGACACAAACTATGTACAAGGACTAGGGCTCTCGTCCCAGAATGCTTCTGGGCCAGGGAGCCAGGCAAGGCAGGGCACGAGGTCTCAGTAGTCCTCTACCCAACCGTTCTCAGAGATGAACGCGTCGATGACTTCCTTCATAGCCAGGTTGGGGATGAGCTGTTCCTGGGTCAGGGGGCTCCGGGTCACAGGGTCAAAGTGGCCCACACGCTGCAGTGGCAACAGGGTCAGGGTGCTTAGTTGGTGGGACTGCACCTCTGGCTCTGTTCCCGAGGCCCATGGCCCTTACCTGTAAGTGCTCCTCAATGTCCTTGCGGTCATAGGTGATACCGCTTGGCGTGATACAGGGTTCCCGCATCAGCTCAAAGCTGATCTTGCCACACAGGTAATCAGGGATATCTCGCTTCTGTAGCACATGGGGACAACATGAGGAACCAGAAAGGGGCACTGCTCCAACATCTGCTATTCACAGACCTCAGGAAATAGTTGCTCACCTTTCTTTTCTCGTCCACCTGAGAGAAAAGCTCGTCCATGTCTGCCATGTATTTGTCCTGTGAATAATTGAGCACCGCATGTGGGCCACTCATGTCTCCACCATGCAAACCCACACACCCGATATGAGCTGGGGCACCTTCATGCCATACACACATGCACACACACAGACCCAGGCATGGGCCAGGAGGCACCCTCACGTGCTTGGCCTCGATGCAGGCCTGCTGGGCCCGGATGTGGCCATCATCCTCTTCACCCTCATGGTTCCTCTGACACTCTTCCAGCTCCCTGGGGGTTAACCAGGAGCTGGTCAGAGATAGACCTGACCAGAAGACATCAGAGTCCACCCTATCTCAGGCCCCCTTCCCCCTCATCTTCCTGTGTGGCACTGTTGGCCTTTAATAAACACCTGTGCTGGTGACTCAGCGCCAACCTATGAAAGGGTAGTCTGGCGGGGGAGGGCCTACCTCTCACGCTCAGCTGCGATGAGCCTAGTGAGGTAGGAGTGCAGCTCGCTCTCCTGGTGAATGCGCCGCTCCTCGATGCTGTTCCAGCGCTTCTTCTTAGCAATGCGCAGAGCGCTAGGGATGTCATCCCCAAAGTTGAGCCGCTGCTCCTTGGCCAGGCTGTAGGCTGGAGGAGTGGAGACTTCAGGTCACACTGGCCAGTCGGCCCTTCTGGCCCTAGGTGCCCCACCACTAGGCAGCTTGTTAGCCCACCTCGCTGCAGATTGGCGATAGCCTCATCATAGCTCTCCATCTCCAGCTGGCACTGCCCCAAGAAGAAGTGCGCCTTCACAGACTGCCCGTCCAGCTCCAGGGCACGCCGGCAGTCAGCCAGCGCCTGTTCAGGCTGCTGCATCTTCAAGTAGCACAGGGCCCGATTGGTGTAGTACACTGCTACCAAAGGGTTCCGGGTCTGGGGACCAAGGCCAGGCAGCATGAGGGTGTGGGCTCGGCCAGCCCCTCCAAGCTTACCAAGCTGACATCCCGAAGACCCAGGTCTTGTCCCAGCTTTGGGGCCCATGGCTGGAACCAAGACACTGGCGGTTTCTCAGTTGTCAGAGCCCTTAAGTTCTGAGTCCACCCTCTGAGCTCCAGACCTGTGGAGCTCCCGGCTTTGGGTTTGGGGGCCCTAGTACACCTGCCTCGATCGCGCGTCCCACCCGCCAGTTCCTGGGCAACCAGTAGTGGGCCGGAGAGCCGCGGCCCGGGCGCCTGTGGGACAAGCTCGCCACAAGTCTTCGCGGCCCAAGTCCCCGCAGGGACGCGGGGCTGGCGGGGCTGGGAGGCGCGCCGGGCCCCGCCCCCGCCCCGCGCACTCACGATGGCGCGGCCGTAGCAGGCCGCCGCCTCCGGATACTTGCGGCCCACGAAAAGCCGGTTGCCCTGCTCCTTGAGCTCCTGCGCACTCGGGCTCTTTTCGGGGCTGCCGCCGCCGGCGCCTAGCCGCGCGCCACCCTCCTTCTCCTCCTTGCCCTTCATGGCGCCGCGCGGCACGGCTTGGGCTCCGCGCCCGGCCGCCCAAGCTACCGCAGCCCGCGCCGCGATCCTCTCGGACGGGTCCGGCGATCGGTCACCGGAACTTCCGGCGCGGGGCGGGGCCGGCGGGAAGACACGTGAACGCGGGCGGGGCCGCGCGGCCGACAGACCCGGGGCGCGGCGCACCGACGCTCCCGCCGCGCTCTCGTCGCGTCCTGCCCCTCTGCCTAGCGTCACCTAGGCCACGCCCCATTGCTCTTAGCCCCGCCCCCCACCGCGCGAACATGGCGGCCTCCAGCGGGCTGTGGGGCTCTGAGGACCCCAGCCGCTGGGCCGCCGTCCTGGCGCGCCACGGAGCGGTGTTACGGGCGCGCTCGGGAGCACGGGGGCGGCTGGAAGCACTGGACCGCTGGTAGGGCGGCGGGGATGAGGGAGCGGGTAGGGTGGGTGTCCCGTGGCCCAGACTCCACTCACGCGCCTTCCCAGGTATAGGGAGGAGCTGCCTGCGGCCATTAAGGGCCGAGCGCAGAAGCACGTGACACGAGAGGAGCTGCAGCAGCTGCTGGCGTGGAAGCTGGCGGTGAGGGGCGGGGCCTCGGGGGTGTGGTCGAGGGGCGGGGCCTCCTCCCTGGCGGGGTCTGGCACCAGGGCCCCTCTGATCCCACCGCCCGCAGAGGGGTCGCTTCCGGCCGCGTCTCCAGCAGCTGGTGGCCGCCAACTCCCCGGAGCTGGTCGTGCAGCGCTCGGCCACTGCCTTCAGCCTCCTGCCGGACGTGCGCGCGGCAGTCACCGAGCTGTGCGCGCTCCGCGGCGTGGGCCCCGCCACCGCTTCTGGTGAGTAGGAAGAGTTGGGGGCGTGTCGCGCGACCCCTAGATTGTCCCTAGAGCTGCCCCTTCACTGCCTGCAGCCGTCCTGGCGGTCGGAGCCCCTGAGGTGGCAGCCTTCATGTCTGATGAAGCGGTTGCCGGAGTACCCGGCCTGCCAGCTCTGCAGTACACCCTTAAGCACTACCTGCTGTACCTGAGCCAGGTACGAGAGCGTGCTGCAGCCCTGAGCCAAGGTGAGCGAAGTGCTGGTGGGCTGGGATCCAGAATCCCAGTTAGGTTGGGTGACTGGCATCCCTGGACCCTAAAGTCCCTGTGGTCTTCACTAGCCAGTGCCTCAGGACTGTGGACTCCTCACCTTGTAGAGACAGCACTGTGGACCTGGGTCGTGGGGCAGAAGCTGTGTCCCAACCTGATGCCTGAACTCAGCCCCAGCCAAGCCACCCAACAGGACACTAGGCCTGCCAGGAAGCATAGGACCCAGGCCAAGTGAACTTGATTGGCCCAGGGTCTGTACCCCGCCACAAGCCCTCAGCCCACCGGACTCTATGGACGACAGGCTGCTGGGGTGTTATAGGAGAGAGCTCAATAAACACTTGCTGAATTCAGCCTGATCAGGAGGACCCTAGTCCCCACTTCTGCATTAGATATGGGCCTCTGCCCAGCAGGAATAACCTTTAGCATCTCACTTCAGTTGCAGAGGTGAAAAGGGGAAGGAAGCCCAGGCCCTCCTGGAGGGTAGAGATCTGTCATATTGGAGGGGGTGAGCAAACAAGCCTCTAGAGCCCCAGGACAGCTACCTAGTGCCATGTAAAATATTTATTCATTCTCCAAAAAGGCTCAGACTGCAAGTCTTAGGGGTGGGGACAGGGCTCTCCTCCGGGGCCACTTTCAAAGATGTCTACCCAGCTCTGGCCCAGCAGCCCTCCCCCCCAAGCCTGGGAGGGGGCAGCCAGGGCTGCACTAAAGCCTGGCCTCAACTGGGTGGACCACGGGGCCCACCTGCTCCCACAGGGAGAGGCAGCCCTGAGAAGTCCATTCTCATAGGGTAGGCATGCAGGCCCACCTGGTGGCCAGACCACTGCATGCCACGTCCCAGCCCATGTGGCTGCGGGGAGCGGGTCAGGGCGGTGGGGGGATATGGGCGCCCAGCAGGTCGTAGGCAAAGATGTTCCAGAAGATGGCGAAGAGCAGGAAGGTGCCATAGGCAAGCAGCACCACCCACCAGCCGCACTGGTCCTGCAGGCGCTCCTCGTAGCTGCGCAGGATGGTGAGGCCCATGCTCACCCCTACCACCGCACCAGCCAGGTGCGCCATGAAGCTGGGTTGTGGGCCCGAGGCAGGCAGTGGTGGGGAGAAGCGCAGCCACACAGCCCGGCCCACCTCGGAGCTCACTGCAGAGGGAGCGACAGGTGGGAGGTTCCCTGTCTGCAGGTTGAGGGCCCCCCAACCCCCCACCTGGCCCCCTACTCACTGCACACCAGGGCCAGCACCATCCGCAGCAGCTTGTAGGGACACCTCATCCCAGCCCAGTTCTGATGAGGGCATACAGAGAGAGAGGCTGTGAAGCACACCAGATGGGTCCCATCCCACACCCCCATCCTGGGCAGCCCCATTACCATGACAACGTTGGCCAGGTGTGCTGAGCACAGGGCATAGACCCCACCAGAGCCCCCCACCACAGGGGCCCGCATGTCAGTGATGGAGACAGTCAGGGAGCCTGTATGGATAAAAGGTATAAGGTCACAGCTGGCCAGTGAGGTGGGCAAGCACTCCCCCACATCCCCACATCCGCACCATCTCACCTGCCAGCACACCTGCCAGGTAGAGCAGGCTGATTCGGAGCAGGCCGTGCACCATCTCCAAGGGCACTCCAATCATCAGCTGCAGGAGGGCGTTGAACCCCAGCTGCTCCAGGCTGGCCACATGGGCAAACAGGCACCAGGGGATGGAACCAACTGTGTGGCCCACCAATCCCCAGGCCCGCCTCAAACCTCTGCATCTCCCCCTTGTGAAGTTAATGGGTAGGGCTGTGGAGGTGGGCTCACCCAGTCAGCATCCCACTCACCCGACATGCATGAACATGTAGGTGAGGAAGCGCCAGGCGCGAGCACGGTGCCCAGGGTGGTACACCAGGGGGCTCTTCATGTACTCGGGGTGGTAGGTCTGCAGCACCCACTTGTTGAAGTGCGCCCCATAGCACAGGAACACGATGATCTGGGGACATGAGTGTTAGGGCTGGTCAAAGCCATGGACTCGGGAGGCCCCCAGGACAGCGGGTGGGCAGGCCCACCTGGGCAAGGGTGACAGAGGCCATGAACACAGGGGGTGGGCAGCTGCGGTGCCGGTAGAAATACCAGCGGCGGTCCACCTCACAGGGCAGGATCTCATAGGCCACGTAGCGCACAAACCGCTTGTAGACACCCAGGCCCGGCTCATCCAGCGGCCCGTCCCGGGGCAGTGCCCGCTGTCCGTTAGCAATGGCCCGCTTGAAGCTGCTGGAGCGCTTGCTGCTGATCTGAGGGTGTGGGGGGAGGGGAACAGGGGCCTGAGATGGGCTATGGTTTCACTTCCACAGCACCCCTGCTCTCCCGGGGTCTTAGGCCTGCCCCACAGTCCTCCCCAGTGAGGGAGGTCCCCTGCCCACCCTGCTCTGGCTATGGCACTCTTCCTGCCCAAGCCTGAGCCCTGCCCTTGTTGCCCACACGCCCGTGGCACTGACCAGGTCCACCAGCTCCTGGTAGCAGACCTGGCCCCGCTCGTTGCTCTGGGCCAGGGCCACCAGCATGTCCAACTTGGCAGGATCGAGGGGCAGCTCATGGCTGTGCACCAGACCAGCAAAGGTGTCCGCTCCAATGAAGCCTGTGTTCTCAGGGTCCAGCTGCTGTGGTGGGGGAGTCACAGGCCAAGGGCTGAGGGCGGGTCGGCTGGACCACGGGCCTAAACCATGCTGGCTGGGAGCAGAAGGCTCCTGGCCAGGACCTTCACGCCCGCCAGTGCCTGGCTGCTGGGACCAGCTTGTTCCCAGTCTCTGCCAAGGCAAGCTCCAGGGTCCCAGGAGCCCTCGGTTCCCCAGGGCTTCCCCCATCTCATTTCCACCTTACCTCTCGGGAGGGAGTGGCTCCAGATCTGAGGACAACCACCCTTCCGCCATTCTCTCCTCAGAAGCAGGCGGAGCCAGCCCTTCCCCGGGGTCAAGGTCGTGCAAGGAGGGGGCTTAGAAAGCGACTGCCCGGAGGGGCGCTCAGGGAGTCTGGTCCCTCCTCCCAGCCTGGCGCGCGGCGGCAGAAAGGACCCGCCTGCGGCAGTGCCAGTCTCCAACCTCACGCACCTGCTCCTGGATGAGCTGCAGCAGCGAGCTCCTGTCCATAGAGCCGGGCCGGGGGCCGGGGTCGGCCGAGGCCGGGAGGGGCTTCTCTGCGGACCTCTCCGCTCCGCCCCGGCCGGCCCGCTCCGCCTGCTCTGCTCTGCGCGCGCCTCGCTCGGGTCGCGTCACGGAGACACCCGCCCGGCGCACACGCGCACGCGCCGCCTTGGCGCATACCCCAGGCGGAACCGGCCCCCTCCGAACACCTTGTCCCCGGGCCCCGCCCCCGTTCGTGCACAGTTCCAGGGCTCCGCGCTTACGGAAACCCCTCCTACTAGATAGCACCTGGGAAACTGAGTTACGGGGAGACACCTAAACCCTTCCCAGGGGCGGGATTGGAGGGGGGGCACAGCTCAAGTGGCTGCTTAGCGTACGCAAGGCCCTGAGCTCAAACCCCAGCCGCCCAAAGAAAATAAAACAACAACAAAAAAACCCAAAGACCCTTCACACTCCCTCCCAGCCCTCCTGGGCTCCGGGCAGGTGTCACCTCCTGGAAGCCTTCCCTGACCACTCTGTCGTGATCCTCCAGGCTGCAACCCTGTGCACACTGCAGTCCACTTGCTCTTTAGGTGGGGCTGTGTTTTGCGGCAAAGAGGCCCCAGGGTCCAGACGCCAGCTGATAGAGGTGAATGACCTGCCGCAGGTGCCCGCTGCTCCTGCCCTTGCTCAGACTGACCAGTACCAACCCACAGGAACACATTCCTGAGACTTAGAGGCTCCTGCCACTCCTATCCTCCAGCCCCAAAGCACCAAAGCACCAAGGCTGGGAACAAGAGGCATCCAGGCAGAATCATGGAAAGCAGAACAGGGTCATCAAAAGCCAAAAGCAGGGCTGCTCACGGGGAGGACAAGCAGATCCCACAATGGAGGTGACTGAGCAACAGGGTGCGTAACCACGGCAACACCCCCAGCACCACTCAAAACTGTTACAGATGCAGTGCACCATCACTTTCGGACCTCAAGGGACTACAGCAGAATAGCAGAGAGGCCGAGGACCTGTGGATGGTCAATGGGGCTGGGAGGTTGGAGGATCTTCTGGGGCCGCCCTCAGACCCTCAAAATCAAGGATTCCCGTGGGACAGGTAGTACTCGGGGCAGGGGAAGAAGTGAAAGGTCACAGGAATGTGGCCTTGGGGGGCACGAGGCCACACTGTGGGCTCAGCCCCACCCCAAACTGGCCCTCCCCTCTGCCTGAAGGGTGTGATTTCCTCAGGCCTGGGCTCTATGGCTCTCCCTTCCTTGTGGAAGCCCAGGTTCTCAGTACAGCCAGGCTGGGTGCTGAGGTCTGGGGAGCAGCAGTGCTGAGGGACCCCCAGTCCTAGAAAAGGGTATTAGAAGGACCTTAGATGGTGGGGGCAGCTACATTCCCAGAGAACCCACTGTTAACCCCAAGACATTGATGGATGCTGAGGATCCTGGCCCCTCCACAGCTACTCACATTGGCCCCAGTGAGGCCTTGGGAACGGGACCAGGAAAGGAAGGAGCAGTGGGGGAGGAGGTGGGTCAGTTGTCATTTCCCGCACACACCAAGACAAATATTCAAGAAAAGCTGTTTTCAGAGACCAAGATCCAACAAATGGAAAAGACGAGTGAAGTTTAATTGAGAAACCCAATCTCTCGTGTTCTGTGGTAGGTGCACTGTGGACAAGGATCCAAATTCCACAGAAAGGTCAGGGCTACAGTCTTCCACTCACTCCCTACCCTGAACACCACCTCTGGCCCCAGCATACTCACTGGTCACCCACAGCCAGGAAGGAGGGGTAAAGCCCTGAGAATTCTAGGTCTGGGGTCACTGGCTGCCTTACCTATGGCCCCCCACTGGGTACACCTTCCACCTCCACCCTCAGATTCAGCAGGAGCCAGGGCAGGACATGGCAGAACAGATTCCTGCCATGGTAGCCAGTTGTTGGAAGCAAATTTAGCAGGGACCCCACATCAGTGACCTGGGGGCCTTGTGGTCCAGGCCTGCGAGTGGGGGGTGGGGCACAGAGGGGCATCATCGGCTCTTGACCAGGACCCTGTACAGAGAGAAGCTGAGGACTGTGGCCACGGCAGCCCCGATAGCCACCAACATCCCCCGGAGCCAGAAAGAGGTGGGGTGCAGCTCTGTATGGACCAGGTGTCTGTGGGAGAGAGGGGCACTCAGGGCCATGCCGGCATACTTGTTACTGCAAACCCCTTCACAGACCAGGCTGCGGGGCTGTGCCTAGCACAGCTCTGGGGGCCACGGGCCCCCTCTGCAGCTCTGAGCCACAGACTCTCCTGAAGTTCTGGGCCATAGATGGACCTCCCCCACCCACTGCAGCTCTGGTGCCAGCAGCTTGTCCTGACACCTGCACACCTGACAACAGGCATGGCTTGAGCCCTAGGATAAGCCAGGACACCCTGTCCCCAAGGCTGTGGTGTGGGTACCCACGGGAATGTAGCCATGGTGGCAAGCCGGGTGAAGATGTCAGTGCTGGGCTGGGACCGGCCAGCGCAGGAGAATGGGGTGGGGGCAGGCAGCCGGTGCCTGCGGCAGAACTCAGCTGGTGACAGGCCTGGTGGGATGACACCTTCTGGCAGGTCAGCCTTGGAGGAGACGAACAGGCAGGGGGTCTGTCCATCCATATAATGGTGCTATGGAGGAGGGGCACATGAGGGCTGGGCTCACTGGTCTGCCAGCCCCGTGGCTGGGCTCCTCCCCCAGGGCCCAAGCCCAGCCTTGCCTTGTAGACACTGGCACAGTGTGCAAAGGACGTAGGGTCACTGCCATCAAACATCAAGCAGGCGACATCACAGGTGGCATCCGGAGAGGTGGCCAGCAAGCTGTCTGCGCCCACTTCACACAGCTGGGACACACGGTAGCTTCAGGGGCACTCCCAAAGACTAGGTGCCCAGAGGGCTGCCCTGGGACAGTGCCACCAGATGGGGGGCAGGGAAACGTGGGGTGTCCCAAGTCCGCCCTCTGGGACAAGGGCATGGCCCCTGACACTCACAATCAGGTACTTCTCCTGCCCGTTGACCCGCACCGTGTTGATGGCATGGACAGGAGGCTCCTTAGGGAACTCCCTGGCTTCCTGGTACAAAGGAGGCAAGAAGGACATGTGGACGCTCACTGGTCACAAGGCTCCCCACAATGCCTTTCGCTGCCCTCTGGAGTCCCCAGGTGAGGTGGGGTCCAGGCCTCCACAGATGCTCACCACCAGGCTGTGGCCAAGGAACGCTTGCAGGAAGGCGGACTTGCCCACTCCCTGGGCCCCCACCACCTTGCACATGAGGACATTGCGCTGTGTCTGTCCCTTTTCCTGGTCCAACCTCTTCTCACGGGTGACTATAACAACAAACTCAGGTGAGAGGGTCTCCCATGGAGGGGCTGCGCCCAGGATATGATGAGGGTGGGTGCCCCACCTGTGATGGCCTGGGCCTGGGAGTCCTGCTCGCAGAGGGTAGGGTAGCCCAGGTAGCCAAGGTGTGCAAGGCAGCGCTGAACGTCCAGGTAGGTCACCAGGCTGGGGGTAGGTGGCACAGTGTCACAAGAAAGGCAGGTATGGGCAGTGTGAGAAGGAGGTGAAGGCTGTACTTACGTCCACTGACAGAGGTATCCATGCAGGGAGAGCCGACCAGCCTCAGTGTGGACTGTGTGCGGGAGCTCGGGGCCCCATGGGGCCACTGGGAACACACTATAGAGGCTCTGCAGCTCTGAAGGTGAGAGAGCACCGTCATGGTCCTATGGGAAGAAGGGCTACAGTGACATGTGCTAGTGGGAGTGGCAGTGGGCTGGTACGGGCTGTGGTGCTCACCTGGTCGTGCTTCTCAAATATCCGCTGCACAAATTGGTAACCACGGTGATTGAGCTCAGTGCTACAGCCAGGGGGCACATGGAGCCTGCAGGGATACCATGGCCATCTGGCACACCTGTTGTCACCCTACTGACCCTGTCTGTTCAGATGAGCCCCCCACTCCCCAGTGGACCCTACAGCCCCTTCCCATCCCATAGCTGGGGCCAGGCAAGGAGGGTAACCATGGGCTCAACTGTGTGGGCATCCCAGCTGGAATCGACAGGTCACCGGGGCCCTCATGTGGGTCTATCTGCCATGTAGCCCAGTGCTCTGTGAACACTGAAGGGTTCTGGGCAGACCCGCGCTAGGAGACTCAATCCCAGACAGGCCTGCTAAGTGGAATCCACCCCAGGAAGGTGAGCCCAAAGCCGCCTGCCTGCCACTCACGGAGGGAAGAGGTAGTCAGCCGTCAGCTCAAGGGCATCACTATAACCAAAGCGCCGCAATATGGTCCATGTGGTCTCGTGCCGGCCACGCTGGATGAAGAGTGTGTTCAGGAAGAGGAAGCCTGTGCCAGAACAGAGGAGGGCTGGCACCCAACACCAACCAGTCCACTCCCCACACAACAGGCACAGGCAGGGAATCCAGGCTCACCCTCCAGGGTTAGCCGATCATCCCTCACGCCACCTGCCACATTCTTGCACACCACCCTCTTCACATCCTCCAGGGCCTGTGGAGCCAGGGGGTGGCCGAAGCAAGACTTCTGCCTCCGAGAGGAAGTTGCCTTAGATCAGCCAGCTGCCCCACACTGCCAGGTCTCATCACTGAGGGCAGTTGGGGCCCGACAGTGGGTACTGGGGGGAGAGGCACACCTGAAAGGCATTGAGCTCCTCGTCGCTGAGCGCGTGGTCCAGGTCCTGATCCGAGAGCCTGAAGATGCGTGTGAGGGCCTGGGCGCACGCGGGCCTCAACTACAGGGATGGCAGCTTAGCACCAGGAGGCCATTATCCTACTCCCACCGTTCGCCACACTCACCAATACTCCATGCAAGCACCGGGAGAAGCAAGTGTGCGGCCCTCACCACTGCTCACCTGTTTGGCCTCGGGGTCATAGAGGGGAGCTGTGGGGTGCAGAACAGCCTTCTGAGCATAGTAAAACAGCTCTGAGATGTTCCTCAGGTGCTTGGCCGAACACTGGGAGAGTAGCATAGGCTCAGGAGGCGCCCAAGACACAGGCTCTGAGATCAGGACTGCCCCCAGCCCCCCGCCTGGAAGCTGCTACAGTCTCCACATCCCCGTCCTTGCTGGAGCCCCCACGTCTTCTCCATGTCCTCCCTGCTCACCTCCACACAGGTCTCTATCTCAGGAAACTGACTCATGATAGGCAGCACTGACTCCATGGTGCTCCCTGGCCGCAGGTCTGACTTGTTGCCCACCAGAATGATGGGCAACCTGGAAAAGAGGCCCAGGTCACCAGGGGTGGCAGCTGGCAGGGCCCAGTCCCACCCACCAAGGTCTTGCTTATTACCTGGGCCTCCTCTCAGTCCTGCCATTCACCAGTGGGATCCACTTGGTTCGGATCTGAAAGGAAAAGCCTGGCCATGAGATCAGGCTGCCCCACCAGGCCCAAGGCTGTCCTGGAGCCTGCATCAGGCTCCAGGAGAAAAGGGGAGGAGAAAATCTCCCAAGCAGGCTGGAGTCCCAGGGGACTGACTGCTAGCTGAGAGATATAGGGCTCCCTGAAATGCTTGAGAGAGATAAGGCTGGTCACTAGGGGAGGGTCCACCTGAACCTCAAAGAGCAGGGTCAGTCTGCTCCCCAGGTCTGCACTGAAGACAGCTTTTGACTGAGTGAGGCACTGGTGACAAGTACCTGGCATAGGCAGTGAGCTCCCTCCTGCTCACCTTCTCAATGGTGGCCTCTTCAGACACATCATACACCACACACACCACATTTGCCTGTAGGAAGAGCAGTGAGGCACAGGGTGACCAAAGGCTGCCCACTTACTTCGGACAGCCCAGGACATTCTAGCATGTCCCAGGTGCTCAAGGCAGGACCAAGTGTGGCTCTGAGGTTTGAGAAGCCTACCCTTGCTTAGACAAACTCCTCCCCTGCTTGCTCCCAATGCAGACACCAGGTCCCAGTACCACAGCTCTGGTCAGCTGGTCCTGTGGTGCTCAAGACAGACACAACAGGCTATACACAAGAGGGCCTTTTTTTTTTTTTTTTTTTTTAGCAGTGCTAGGGTTTGAAATCAGGGCCTCACACTTGCTAGGTAGGAACTGTACCACATGAACCACTCCACCAGCCCTTTTGTATGTTGGATATTTTCCAGATAGGGGCTCATAAGCTGTTTGCCCAGGCTGGCCTTGAACTGCAATCCTCCTGATCTCTGCTTCCTGAGTAGCTAGAATTACAGGCATGAGCCACCAGTGCCCGGCAAGAGAGCCCAATCTTGACCTCGGCTCCTCACTTTCCTCTCAGTACAATCAGCTGTATGGTGAGGGCAAAATCAAAGTGACAATGACAGAAGCACCGCTGGGCAGCTGTGGCCTGCACCTGACTGGTGATGGACACTCCTACAGTGAACATAGTAGAGGTTGCAGGGCTGGATCCAGGTACACAGGCTCTGGCAACAGGTGAGCCCTGGTCAAGACAGCACCGACTACAGCCTGGAGACCTAGCGTTGGACTACACCACAGAGCAAAGGTGGAGGGGCACAGTAGTGTTCGGTCAAGGCTGTAAAGGGCATGCAGATCGGGACACACAGGAGCAAGGTCCTTTGTCTCCCTGAGCACCACTGGGGTTCCCCACAGGAACCCTGAAGGACGTACTGTGACAGCCCCAACGACACTGAGCTGAGAGGTCACAGGAGACTTATGGGGCCAAGGACAGCCGATTAACCAGCGGGTGAAGCCGATTAGGCCCAGGTGACAGCAGCCAGCACAGGGCCCGGCTCAGCACCCTGTAGACCCTCAGGACGCCCCGCACCTTGTGAATCTCGTCCTGGAGCTCCTCCTCCGTCTGCTCGGCCTCTGGAAGGAGGGACAGAGAACCGCTGCAGAGCCGCTGCAGACCACTCCAGGTCCGCGCACCAGGCTCCGGGGCCCGCGGGGCGCTACCTGAGTAATCCACAATGTGGGTGGGCACCCTCTCTGGGGTGACATCGGCGGGGATGGTGATCTCCTCCGCGCGGGCAGGAACCTGCAAAAGGCAGGGGCCGTGAGCCCCACCCCCGCCCCGGGCCTCGCGCCTGCCCCCCACGCCCGACCCGGTCCGGCCCGGCCGCGCACCTCCTCGGGGAACTCCTCGCCCACCAGCGACAGGATCAGCGACGTCTTCCCCACCTGGGCTGCGCGAGCGGGGCGGGCAGGCGGTCAGGTGGGTCACCGAGGTCAAGGCGCCCAGCCCGCCGCCCCTCGGCCCCCCACTCGCGGCTCAGGCGCCTACCCTCGCCCAGCAAAAGGATGCGCACGTCCCGCCTCATGGCCGCCGTCCGTAGCTACTGACCCACCCTACCGCTCCCCGCTCCTCCAACCCCTTCACCCTGCCTGGCTCTCCGCCCCGCGTCCGGCCTCGCACTTCCGGTCCCCAGCCCTGCACTTGCCGGCTCTTCCGGCTCCCGCCGGTGCAGCCTCACCAGCGAGTCGGGAGGGCCAGAGCGGTCGAGTTGAGCGGCGGCGCCACCACATGGACGCACCAGACACTGCAAGCGGCACCTGTACAAATCCAGCCACCTGAGCAGCAGTGTCCTCAGGTGGATAGGCAGGTGCACCCTGGACGCTGCCGCTGCCCTGGAGGGGAGGGCCTTTGAGAAAGAGAATTGGGAGTGGGGCAGAGGCTGAGCGCAGCACAGGAGTGACTAGCCCTTAAGTTAAGATGTAGCTTAAGGGGTAATAATGCAATGATGTAGCAATGCAATAAATGGAAACATTTATTTAAACTGTACAAAGTAGAAACATTAAGGGGAAAAAAAAACCTCTCAGATGAAAATTCCCTTACATATTCTAAGAGTGTGTGTGTGTATGTGTTGCTGGGGATCAAACCCAGGGCCTCATACATGCTAAGCTAGTGCCCTACTACTGAGCCACACCCACACAAATTCAAAACAGCTTAGACCAGATGATTTACAGTCTTCGCCTGTCTTAGCCATCCCCGTCCAGCACATCACCATCCACACCCTGCCTTTTCTTCCCCAGTGCCAGGTGACCAGACACCACAGTTCTGCTACAGTTCAGTGGTCCATGACCTCCCACACCAGGATCTCATTGTGGGAGGCTGTGAAGAGCAGCCTGGCAGAGGGGGTGAACCTGCACAGGTGCACAGAGTCGTCATGGCCAGCAAAGTCCTGGTTGGTCCCCGATGCACAATCCAGGAGCCTTAGTATGCACTCTGTGGGTAGATGGCACAGGGATGGGAGGGCCAGGCGCACACCAAGGGATCCCTGACCCTCTCTGGCTGTGTCCCCCAGCCAGGCAAGGTGCTGCTATCAGGGTGCTTGTGCTAAGAGGGGTCAGGGCTTCACTCTCCACAGCCCAGTGCCCACTGCAGCTGAGGGCCATGAAAGCCAGGTGTCCCACTGCCTGGGCTCATGTGGCCCAGCAACTGGGCTGGTCAGGTCCTCGCTGTCACTGTCACCCTCCACTCACCCCAGTGCAGGTGCTGCACTTGCAACCTCACACTTCATCCTTTCTCTAGAGCAGGTGTTTCCACACCACTCAAGGAGCTAAGGCAGAGGTGAGCAGCAGGGGAGCCTGCTTGGCCCCCATGTGATACAGCTTGAGTCTGTGTCTGCCAGCACTCACCAGCGAAACCAACAGCTATGAGGTGGGACCTTGGGGAGAGGCTCAGGGACATGGCAAAGAAGGGCAGTGACATCTTCTCCACCACCTGTGGGCAGTCAGTGTAAGGCCAGGGGCTCCTCCTCAGGACCCCTTCCCAGGCTTCCATGGCCCAGTGACTGCTGCACAGCCTTGGATGCCACAGTGTGGCAATGCACACACCTGTTTCTGGCGGAGGCTGTAGAAGACCACTTCTTCATGTACACCAAGGCCCACACACACCAGCAGTGTCCTATCCCAGGGGCAGAAGGCAGCAAGGGATGGAGGAGGGAGGCTGGGTGCCTACAGAGGGCACAGCATGCTGTAGCAGGGTGTGTGGGCCCCACCTGTTCCCTACCCTGCCATGTACCACCATGACTTTTACCTCCAAGGTGGCAGGCGCTGGGAAGCTCAACCAGTCCAGGAGTTCACAGTGGTCCTGGGCCCAGTCAGAGGCCCAGATGCTGACCCGTTGGTCCCCACTGGCAGCCAGCCACAGGTCTGTGCCTTCCACCCCTAGGTCTCCATACTAGAGGGATAAGAGATATGGGTGCCCACTCTGCCCAACTCCCCAGGCCCCTCCGCACCAGGGATTCTGCTTCACCTCTTTACTTGTACTCTGGAGAGTAGAGATCGGGGCACCCTGGTGGTCACTCAGCACACGAAAAGTCATCCCTGTGTGGGGGCGGCTTATAGCTATGAGCCCATCCTTGTCTCCAGAGAGGACGGTCTGACCTGGGCCGGGCAGGGGCCACATCCACACTGTGAGCCCAGCCTCCAGCCTGGAGGTGTGTCATGGGCTGGGGGGCACGGTAGGCCACCCACTGCAGCCGAGCTTCTCACCATCAGTGGAGAAGGCAATGGCTGTCAGAGCAGCCCGATGCGGGTGCATCTTGAGCTCCATGGCGGTTCGAGAGATGCTGAAGATGCGCAGTGTGCCATCACTGTACCCTGCCACCACCTGCTGCTGCTCTGGGCGACTACAAGATGGGGGGCTCCATGCAAGGCAGATGCAGCTCTGGGGACCCATGGTGGGGAAACATGAGCACTCCCCAGGGAAACGGTGACAGGGCACCAGTCCCAGGGAGGGGTCAGAAGGAAGCCTCAGCAGACTGGAAGCACAGCTCATAGCCCGGGCTCTGTCCTGAGCATGTATCCCAGTTCCCCCAGCACTCACACATACCTGGTTCAGGACCTGGAACTGGATCACCAGCTCCATGCTGGCCAAGGACCACACTCTCACACTACCATCCTCACCTCCAGTGGCACAGTGTGATTCGCTGGGGCTGAAGACCACCTCGTTCACCTGTGGGACCCCAGTTGGGCTCAGAGGAGGCCAGGCTGCCACATGGAAGCACCTATCTCCAGCCCATACCTGCCTGTCCCAGCCACCTCCACAGGAAGTACAGATATATCCTAGCCAAGGCATCCTAGAGTGTACACGCACCCTTCCCTAGTCCTAGGAAGCGTCCATCAGTCGGTGGGACTTGGGATGCCACAGAAAGTGTGGACAGAATCTAAATCACTATAAGGTGACCATGTGTCTCCAGTGGGCTGCACACTGAAGGCAAAAGAACCAAAGGACAGTCCAGCTGTGTCCAGTGGTATATAGACATTGGTAGCCTGCTTTTCCATAAGGTTGTTGAATGCAGGTCCAAGGAGAAAGCAGATATATTATCATGCAGGTGCCTCTGAGAATCAGGGAGAAAAGAGGTAGAGGTGCCCTGAGCCAGTGGGGTTCAGTGAAAACACCCTGCTACTGAATTACAACTCCAAGTGCAAGTATAAACTCTGACACATCTCATCTCAGGAGACAATTCAGGGCTGGATGCAGAGCGCTTGCCTGGCACGCAGAGGCCCTGTACTCAGTCCCCAACTCAGTTCAGTTGAGCAGCAGCAGCTTGTGGGGTTCAGGCCATGGCCTGAGTCTGGAACACCTGTCAGTCCACATCCTGACAGGTGTTGAGCTGAGCTCAAGGACTCGTGTCCTGATGGGTGTGGCCTACTCATAGGATATTAGAGTATTCAGCCATAAAAATGACAAGTATGAAGCTAGGTGCCAGGGGCTCACACCTGTAATCCAGCTACCTGAGAGTCTGAGATCAGGAGGATTTCGGTTGGAAGCCAGCCTGGGCAAACAGTTTGTGAGACTCCATCTCCAAAATAACCAGAGCAAAATGGACTAGAGGTGTGGCGCAAATGGAAGATTTCCTGCTTTGCAAGCATGAAGCCCTGAGTTAAAATCCCAGAAACCGCCCCCCCCCACACACACACATAAACATACACAAAGACAAGTAGAGACACCAGGTAAAGTATAGTGGCACCATTGGCCAATGCTGGAAACCTGGTCCAAGGAGACAAAGAATTGAACACTGGTCCTGCTGCTCCAAGTCCAGCCCTACTTTGGGAAACCAAGAGCCAGTGAGGTGTTTTACCTTCTGAAGTCTAAAGGTGCCTAAGTAGAAACACACAGAACCAGAAGATCCCCCTGTGATGTGCATGGTAGTGGGGTCTTCCCACCCACAGGCCCAGGTCAGGGAGCCTGAACTTCCTAGCGTGAGAGAGAGCAAGACTGCTGCTCCTGGGGCAACTGGCCTTCACCCAGCCCGGCCACACCCAATCAGACTCAACCAGACCCACCAGATCTGATCAGAATATGACCTAGCCCTGACCAAACCTGACCAAACCTGACCAGATCTGACCAGAACCCAACCCAGCCCTGACTAGACCAAATCACATCCACTAGATCTGACTAGAACCCAACCAGGTCTAACCAGAACCATATTGCACCAGAACCAACCACATCTGCCCACAACCCAACCCAACCAGAATAGACCAAAACCTGACGTAGCCCTGATCAGACTCAACCAGTCCCAAACAGAAACTGACCAGATCTGAGTATAACCTGACCCAACCCTGACCAGACCCAACCAGAACCAACCAGGTCTGACCAGAACCCTACTCAGCCCTGACCAGACCAACCAGAACCTTACCAAAGTTTGACCAGACATGAGGAGACCTGACCAGAACTTGCCTGGCCTCCTGCTTCCCAGACCCCAGAGTTCTACCCACTTGCCAGCAGTGCCAGAAGAGCCAGTTTATGTAGGGTGCTGGACGTAGTCTTTAGCAAGTTATAAGAAAGAAAAGAGGGTAGGATAAATCCCGAAGCCTGCAGAACCCGCCAGACCCCTGCCTCCTGTACAGTCTAAATGCTGTATGATGTGTGCTCAAGAGGACTGGGAAGGCAAGGGAGGGTGCCAGGCTTGCTGTCTGGCTGATCCCATTCAGAGGCCTGACATCTTCGCTGAAGCCATGGTCTCACCTTGCCCCTGTGGCCACTGACCAGGCGGGTGCTGGTGCCCTCAGTCCAGCTGATGTACCACAGCGTGCCAGCTGTGCTGCCCACCACCCCGATGTCCATGCTGCTGTCGAAGCTGGCACTCACAATGGCCCCATCCAGACTCAGCTCCTGCTCCATGAACACTGAGCTGGACCTGAAGGGGTGGGGAAGAAGAAGGCAGCGGTCTCGAGGCAGAGACGATGATAGGGCATTCAAGACATCACATCCCAGGCTCGGCTGTGCCCTCATGGGTAGAGGCAGTCAAAGTCCTCACAGAGCCCAAGGGCTTCAAGCCTGTTCCTGTCCTCAGGCTACAGCCTGCAGGGACCAGACCAAGCCCAAGCATGTCCACAAGGACAGGCCCAGCTGGCAACAGATATGCAGGCAGTGCCACATGGGAGGAATGTAGGCTTGTGCAACCTTATCCAAGACTTAAGTCCACCTGCAGTCAATACCCAAAGGGAAGGTGCAGGACAGAGGCCCTTGGTGGCTCACCTGGCGCCTGAGCCCTTGCGCCTCAGCTCTGGTACAGCTCCCACGGCCCACAGACGCAATCGCCTGGTGTTGCTGCCACTGACCAGTCTCGAACCTGAGCACAGCAGCACCCCTAGGAGGCAAGGAGGCTGTGAGATGCCTGCCCAGATACTACCTGCCCAAGCACTCTCAAGGGACACTGGGGCTCTGCCAGGTACCCACCAATCTCGCCGTCATCTGCCTCCCAGGCCAGGAAGCAGCGGCCAGCACTAGTGTCCCAGACACAGACCTGGCCAGAGCTGGAGCCGCAGTAGAGCAGGGGGTTGGCCCCATAGCAGAGCGAGGTCAGTTCAGCTGCCCCCACCTCCTCAGGGACTGGTTGTTGGTGCACCTGGCAGGGCACAAGAATGGCTATGGGTCAGCAGTATCCCAGGGGCCCCATCAAATTCAATACCCAAAACTGTCTGTGAACTTGAACACCTGAGCTGGCAGCCTGGCACCTGGAGGTTGATGTCTGCCCCTCGTTGTTGTAGAAGCCAGAAGGTGATAGCACCCGTGCCCACGCAGGTGAGCTTGCCAGCATCCCAGGGGTTGAAGGCCACCCCATGCATGGGCTCTGGGAGGCGGATGGATGACAAGAGTTCATAGGTATCTGTGCTCCACAGGGCGAGGGTTCGGTCACCATAGTCCCCTGGGGACACACATTTAATGTGTCAGATGCAGTCCAGCCTCAAGGCTCCCAGAAAGACCTGCCCTCTGCCACCCTGCCCTCCTACCCAGCGTCACAAGGAGCTCATCATCTGAGGAGAACGCCAGAGCCTGCACAGCAGTGTTGTGGTGAGAAAGAAGCTGCTGGCAGAGGCCCCCAGCTACGTCCCAGATGCGGATCTGGCAGCGGGTGGCTGCACTGCCACAGCAAGAGGCAGAGGCCAGGACCTAGCAGGCAGAAAGACAGGCAGTCAGCTGGGGACAAAGGGGAATGGGACAGAACAGTATCCCTTGCACTGTCTAGGCAAGCCAGATTCTGCACTGTGGCACTGTGGCACTGGGTGTGGGCAGGGCAGGGTGCAGGACATGTACCTGGGCATTGTGGCTGAGGGCCAGGGTGGAGATCTCCTCAGGGTGGCCAAGCCAGTGCTGCTGGGCACCAGAATGCAGGTCCTCCACCACCACCAGGCGGCCACACGTATAGGCAAAGAAGCCTGCAGGCAGGGAGGGTGCCAATGTCCCCGTCACTGCCAACTGCTACATGGGTTCATGGGAATGTGGATTGAAGTGCCATTATGGGAAGGACATGTGCCTGTACTCTATCCCCAAGCCTCCAACAGATAGCTGGCGCTCCTTTGCCCGAGGAGAGCTTGGCCTGGCGGGTAGAGCTGGGCCCTGCCCTGTAGCTCCTCTGCTGGCAACTGCTGGCCATACCTGTCTCTGGCCTCCAGACCATGTTGGACCGCCCATTCCCGTTGTAGCCCACAACGGCCTTCAGGTGCAGCTGCTCACCACCAGCAGGAGGGAAGGAGATGCTCTGTAAGGAAGCAGGCCCACAATGTGGGTGCCTGGGCATAGCTGCCTGGGCCCCAACACCCAGCATGGGAGCTGCTTTGGGGCAGGCCGGCCAGGGACAGGAGATGGGGATGCAGGCAGGAACACAGGTAGGAAGTATGGAAGCCACAGGCACTCAGTGTGCCTGGAGGGTGGGAAGGCCATGGAGGGGTCAGCAGGACACCATCAGGTCCAGTCTACATACCATGGAATGAACAGAGCGTAGATGCAGAATGGAGGAAGGAAGGCCCCTCCAGACTAGACCCCCAAGGACCAGAAGGAGACCCTGAGAGGGTTACCCTGCAGTGTGGGATGCAGCTTACCTTGGCCAGTGTAGAGGCCTTATAGCGAGCTGTGAAATGCTTGTAGGAATCTGGGCGGATGGGGGGTCGGGCCTTCACCTTCCTGGTGCTTAGGGCACCTGTGGGGAGAAGAAAGAAGCCACAGGACATTAACCTGCCTACAACCCTTCAGAGGTCCCTTCACCTACACAAAGACCCCACCCTACTGAGCAGCGACATGAGAGCTGCATCCCACCCACCCACCACAGGCATCCCAGGGTTCCCACAGCCCGGTAGGTGACCTAGCTTCATTCTCTCAGGGGAAGCACCCTCATGGGCAGGGGTAGACAAGGTCACTCTTAAGCTACCTCAAGCCCCTAAGACATCCACACATGGGACTGAGTCCCTGCCCACCATCTACTTACTAGGCTGGCTATGGTGATAGGGAGGCACGGCAAGCCCCCTGGGCCCCCAAGCAGCCCCCTGGGCCCTGTCTCCATCCCCTCTGGCCTCCCTCTCAATGAGTACAGGTGGGCCCGGGGCCTGGCGCAGACCCTTAGGACTGTGGTTCTCCTTGCAGGGTCCTTCTTCTTCCAACATGGAGAAAGTACCTGGGGGCAGTGAGAACAGGAAGAAGAGCCCACGCTACCTGGCTACCTGCATCCCTACTGATGGACCACAGCCAGCGCACATGGGCATGCTGGGCCCACACCCACTTGGGCCTGCACAGGACCCCTGCTCCTCACCACCGTCCTCAGGGGGCCTGGCACAGATGCCTGGTGGGGATGACGAAGTCTGAGATGGCGTGGGCACCTGCTGTTGGGGGAGCCCGCTGGCGCCAGACACTGCGTCCTCCAGCTGTCCTGTGCCCAGGCCTGGGGATGGAAGGAGTCATATGGTGCTCAGAGCTGGGGACAGTAAAGCCTGTCAGAGGAGGCAGCCTCTGTGGTGGTGATGGGTACACCAGGCACAGGAGAGCAAATGGTGCCACACCACCCAATGTAGCCTAAGGACCAGCCCAGCATCACCTCCACACCTGCCAGTGTCTCCATGCCCACCCCTTCTAGCCAGACCCGGACCACTCACCGGCCTCATGGGCTGGGGGGACCCTGGACTCACTTCGGTCACTGAGAATGAGACAAAGTGTCAGAGGGGGCCAATGGGAGGCCTAGGTGGATGCAGTCAAGGGCAGACACTTGCCTCTCAGGGCGGCCAGGACATCCCAGAAGAAGATAGCATCCCCAACACTGAGGACCTGCTTTTGGTCAGGCGTGAAGGCCACAGCCTGCACATGCTCTGAGTGGCCAATGTATACCTGCGGGCAGTCACATACAAGGACCCATGTGTGACCACGGTGCTGCTGCGCTCCAAGTATCTAGGTCTGATGGTGAGACTCACACCCATTGGGCTTGGAACTAAGAGGCCCCATGTAGTGTTAGACCTTGGCAGGCACACAGGGCCCTAGGGTCATCCTTCTTTCACACTCTAAGTCCCTTCCCTCCTTGTCCCAGAGCAACATTCTGCCCCACCCACCCTGGGGAGGGTACTGACACCCAGGGCCTCCTGCTGGTCCACAGCACACACCTGGCAGCCAGGGTCAGCCTGTGTCGAGTAATCCCACACCTCGATGGCCCGGCCAGTGGCTGTCAGCAGGAAGCGGGCATCTTCACTAAGAGCCAGGGAGGAGCAGGCTATAGGGCGGACACTGGACAGCTACAGTGAACAAGAGCATTCTTGGAGAATGCCATCTAGGACTTGGCAGGGTGGCAGACAGCCCAAGGGCCTCCACTCCTCACAGAGTGCAGCAACGGACCCTGCCTGACTAGAAAAGCCGTGGGTACAGACGGAAGGGAAGGCCAAGCCAGCTGGCCACAGTCCCATGGCTCACCTCCCGGATAGCACGTCCTGACAGGGTGTCCAGAGCAACAACTTTGTTGGATGATGTGGACACTAGCAGGTGGCCTTGGGCTGCAGGGCTAAAGCAGACAGCCATAGCCAAGTCCAGGTGGCTGCCGGTCAGGTCCAGGGTGCTGACATCAACCCGCAGGAGCTAGGGTAAAAGTAGTCACTAACCTTGAGCTCCCGGCACAACGGACACCACCCAGAATCAGGGAAGGAGGTGGCCTTGGAGGCTGCCACCTGGGCACCTGGGCACCATCTTCCCTGAATGGGAGGCTGCCCTCACTGAAGACAGCATGGCTGCCCCAGCTGCCCTAGGCTGCTAAGTTCTCTGCAATCGTGATGAAGGTGTGATGGGGCCTGGGGCCTGCTCCTGAGTGACTGCGGCTCCCTGCCTGCTCCCTGTACCCTCTCACACTCTACACCCATCCAAAGAGAGCCCCCAACCCAAGAGGCTCCATACTTACCTCATCCAGGGAGGCTGACTTCATGACTGTCACTGTGTACTTCGAGGGGCCCACGAAGGCCAGCAGGCGGCTGTCCTCACTGACTGCCAGGATGTTTGGATTCAGGCAAGCATCCTGGCATACCACGTTGGCTGCAATCACACAGAACAGATGGGTCAGGAGGTGGGGAGGGAGTGTGGCACAATCCGGTCCCATGCTGACCTGTGGGAAACACCAGCTCCCTCCACAGCAGCCACAGGGATTGGGTGTGAGCGTCCACAAGCCAGCAGATAGCAAGTACCAGCAAGACATCTGGGGGTTCTTGAAGGCCACAGGAGGAGGCAGATACCTTCTGGGTGGGTCTGACCCCAGCCTGCTGTCCCAGGGCTCAGGCTGCCCACTTCTCCCACGGCAGTGCAGGCATGGACCTTTGCTGATCTTGCCTTTGGGTGGCTGGTAAACTCTAAAACCAATCCCTCCCTGGACAGGATGCAGGCACACAGCACCATGCAGGCCCTAAGAGATGGGCACTGGCCTCCCAGCACCTTGGGACCAGCCTGAGTGGCTTGAGGGGGCCTGACCTGCTACACGGAGGACACAGCATTGGGGGGCGGCACAGTCATACTGGACCAGGGAGCCCCGAGAGCAGGAGCTGAACAGGAAGTTGCCATCAGGGCTGATGACCAGGCTGGTGATGGCCCCTCGGTGATGCCTGCACCACACATGGGGACACCCACTGGCCTCAGTTCTGGGAGCCACAGGGTTGAGGGGGCTTTTCGGCAGCATTGGCCTTACTGCAGATGGGCCCTTCCCACATGACTGTCCCACAGACCACCCCAGCTTCCATAAAAGGACCATCCCAGTTTCTACCACAGGGGTTGAGGCCAGGACCCCCAAGGGGCTGGTGGCAAGCAGGGCACTCACGTGTGTTCCATCAGGACCCTGGTATTTTCCAAGCAAAAGGAGCGCATAGCCCCACTGCTGAAGCCACAGAAGAAGGTCGGCCTCAAAGGGTGGAAGGTGACAGCATGTGGGACTTCATCAGATGACGTGAAGTCATACAGCTAGAAGGCAGAGACTACAGTGAAGGGTTGACAGAGGCCAGGAGTGCCCAAGAGCAAGTGCACTCCAGGTGGCCTAAATGCAGTGTTCCACACATGGGCTGGAAGGACCGAGGGCCCTGCCCACACCCACTTTGGGATAGCCTCTGAGCCCCCAGCCCTCTACCACACTCTACCTGCTGCAGGGTGGCCAGGTCCCAGATGCGAACAGTGTGGTCCAGGGACACAGTGGCCAGCTGTCCCCGGCTCCGGTTCACAGACAGCGCCAGCACTGGGGCCATGTGGGAGCGTGCTAGCACAGTGTACTCCTGGGATGCGATGTCCAGGAAACCCAGGTGGCCCCGGGAAGTGGTGGACAGCACGCGCAGGCCATCAGGACTGACAGAGACAGAGCTGATAGGGCCGTCATGCTCTGTGGGAAAGGTGGGGTCAGCAAGCTCCAGGTACAGTGGGCATCAGAGTCAATCCCAGGCATATTTATGCAACGCTACTTAGGCACCTGGGGTCCCCAAGATTTAGAACAACTTTGAGGGTTTTTTTTTTTGATGGAACTGGGGTTTGAACTCAGGGCCTCATGCTTGCTAGGAAGGCACTCTACCGCTTGAGCCACTCCACCAGCAAGACACAGAACTTCTGTTCCCTTCCTGCCAAGGCTCTCCACGGGCTGAGAGCCACTCAAGACCACCACTCCAAAGCCAGATGGGGCCAGGCTTTGAGGGAACCTTGGCTGCCACACACTGCCCCTGGTGCCCTTCTGCAAAGCTGGCCTAGACCCCAGGCTCAGAAAGCAGACCCTTGGCCCCATATCTTCCTGCCTAACCAAGGGATGGCACTGCCCCATTCCTGTGGCAGGACAGCTCTTCCCAAGCTAGGGGGAAGGGAAGGGCACCTGCAGCCTCACCTGCCTCCAGTAGCACTGAGGAGAAGTCCAGGGGCCAGAGTCGCAGGTAGCCATCCTCAGAGCCCACAACGCACATGGTGGGAGAGACACTGAGGCTGCTGATGGCAATGCCGAGACCTGGAGAGCCCACGTGTTAGGGACTCAGTGTGAGGCCACTACCCCAGAGAACAGGCACCCACCTACCTGAGTTGAAGGTCTGCTTCTGGGGGAAGGGGTCACCAGGAGTTTGTGTGGGCAGCAGGCGACGGGTGCACTGCACAGCCATGCTCTGGTGGTCAATCTCCAGGATGTGACCGCTGCGGCTGCACACGTAGCTGTCCCAGGGAGGTGACAGGTGAGGCAGGGTCCCAATGGGACAGAGTAGGCTGGGTGGTAGACAGGGGGCAAAGGCAGGGCCTCACAGCATGCGGGCCGAGGATGCCCGGTGGCTGTCCAGGGTCTGTGCAAAGGCGAGGTCAGTGAGCTCCAGAGCACAGTGCTCCCCCAGGTCCACAGGGCAGGAGCGGAGCGTCCTACCACGCAGCCGCCACAGCCGCACGCTGCCCCGCCCACATGATGCCATTCTGCAGAGAAAGCATGGAGTAGTAACACTGCCAAGAGCAGAAGGGCTCAAGCCCAGACCCTATCCCAGCACTGTGGACCAGCCACATCACCTGGTTTCATCAAAAGAGGCGATCCGGAAGGTCTGGATGTCAAAGTCAGTGTGCACCTTTGCAAGAATCACCACTTCACCACCATTGCCTATCTGGTCTGTGCCCCAGGCCACCACCACCTGCAACAAGCCCAGCTGGATAGTATAGCCCTGTCTACAGAAATGGGAACTAAAACCAGACCCACAAGTACAATAGTGTATCAGAGCTGGGAGTGCGGCTCAGTGGCAGAATGCTTGCCTGGCATATACCAAGCCCTGGGTTCTATTCCCAGGACCCTGAAAAGACAAAAAGCCAGAGGCACCCTATAATGAAATACTGGTAACTCAGCACTCAGGAGGAGCCACCTGCTCTAGTGCACAGGTTGACTTCAGAGGTGTCGTGTTTTACAGTGCATCTTACAACTGTAACACCCCTCCACCCCGCCCCATACACACACCCTCAAGGGAGGACAGGATAGTCATATAACACTGACTTAAAACTGACTTAAACTAACACTCATTGCAAAGGGGTAAAAAAACAAAGCATGAAGCATGAAATAATCTGAGGCCTTCTCGTGGGGCAGGCAACACGTGCCCCAGAGTACACAAAAGCCAGGGGCACACAATGTCACAATGTCAAAGCTGCAGGAATCCCTGCCAGAGAGGAGAAATGTTAATTCCATTAACATTTCCTAAGTTAATGGAATTTTGTGTGTGTGTGGTGGGAAGACAGGGGTTTGGCTATGCTACTCAGGCTGGCCTCAGAGTCCTGGACTCAAGTGCTTCTCCTGCCTCAGCCTCCTAAGTGCTAGGACTACAGGCACACACCTCCCTGCCTGGCTTGACTTTTGCAAAATGAAAAAGACATTACTTTTATATGTGGAAACAACCAAAGATAGATTTTTAGAAAATAGAGACTCTAGCTGAGCTGCCCACACCTGAGGTGGGGCTGCCCCACCTCCCAGGCCAGAGCCCATTACCGTCCTCCCGTGGTGATCCTTGCCCACACCGCAGAGAAGAGCCCCGCTGCCAGAGAAGCTGTGGACATGGAAGAGGGGGTCAGCCGTGCTTGGGCTCCCCTCCCCCACCCCCAGAGGAGGCCCATGCCCACCTGAGGGAGCAGACCGTGTGCACTGGGCTCCAGAACAGGGACAGACACCCCCCAGTCTGGAAGTCCCAGAGCCGCACCGTGCTGGGGGGCTGCGCCTGGGCGGACGCTAGCAACAAGCTTCTCCCGTCCAGGGCCAGGGCAGAGACCTGGGGAGGCACATATGGAGGGATTGTACATGGCCTGCAGGTGTATACCCCCTGGGCCCAAGTAACACCCACCTTGTCTGTGTGGCCAAGGAAAAAGCGCTGCTCCCCAGTGTCAACACGCAGGGCAACGATGACTGCATGGCAGGGGTAAACAACAGCTGCTCCATCCTTGGTCCACAGGGCCTGGAACACAAGGCCAAAGTCACCAGAGTACCCCAGGCCCCTCCTGGCTACCTAGAGGTCAGTGGAGGAGAGGGGTCCAGGCACACACATGGGCATATGGCCACCCAGGACAGGACAGGGGCACCTTCTTCACATCACAAGCATGAGTGAATGGGATGCACATACAGAAGAATAAAAGACAAACATGCACATCCTCCAGGCCCTGCCTCCAATATAAGAAACTCAAGAGGTCTGCACAGTAAAAAGTCCAAGGGCTCCCCTAAAGACTCAGACTGCCTCCAGGAAAGCCTGACAAGTACCCAGGGTCACTCAGAGGGAACACCTCCTCTCTAGAAGGCTTTTCTCTAGAAGGTCCACTTTGTACACCACACCAGAGGGCTGGTCTGGACCACTAAAGTCCACCCTCATTGGAGGTCAAACACGTGAGCCAGAACTGTTGTCTTTGGAAGCACTTCTGTAGCAGGAGGAGCAGAAGAAAACAAACTAGGCCTGAGTTCTGATAAAGTAGCAGGGAGGTAGGGATGGCGTGGCAGAGAGATAAAACCTGAGGAATCTGAATGTGGAGAGGGTCACATAGCACTGAGGAGAGGGAAAGTCACATAGCATTAGGGTAAAGTAGCCTATAAAATTGTACATAACCACATATAGATTAAACCTTGCTTTTTGCTCCTGTAACCTGCTTGCAAGGGTACATAAGGTGAGACCCCTTTGTTCTTGGGGCTCAGCCTTTGGACATGAGTCCACGGGATCTGTGCCAGAATAATAAAACGTTGCTTCCTGCTAAACTGCCTCAGTGTCCCATATCTCAGCTTGAGGTTTCTGCAACACTTTAACCCAGTCATTGCCTATCGGGCTTGGCAAAGTAAGTAGGGGGCACCAATGACTTTGGGACACCAATGTGTGCCCAGACAGTAATGAGCAGATGTGAGTAGGGCAAGAAGCATCTGAGGACTATAGGGAAGGCAGCAGAAGAGGGACTCTGAGCACTCAACACTCATTTCACCCAATGAGAGCTGTCCTTGACACAGCTCGAGATCCTCACCCATTTGGTGCTGTGGCCTCCAAAGCCAATGACCCCCTTGAGCCTCAGGATTGGGTCCGGGAGGAAGCGCTGGAACAGACAAATGCTTGGTGAGTTCCCAGGATGGCACACCATCCTCTGCGACTGCCACCACCAGACTGGGCATTGCCCCTCAGAAAAAGCCACTTGGGTGCTGGGAGTAAGGCTTAGTGGTAGAATGCTTGCCTAATATTCATGAGACTGAGGGTTCAATCCCCAGCATCTCAAAAAATAAAAACCACCTGGGTTCCCGGTTGGCTCTGCCAGTAGTAACTTTCTAGTAAGTAGCAGGAGTCTGGCTGAGCACCAGACCCTCCAGAAACTCCTGGTCGTGCTCCCCTCCACCTACCAACCACTTAGGGCTGATGAACTCAGGGCTTTATACTTGCTACGTAGGTAATTTATCACCTGAGCCCCCAGAAAAGGAACACTAGAGGCTCACTGCCTTGAATGCAGCTCACAGTGGGTCCAGGCTGTGCAGCCCCTCACCCACAACTCACCTATACCTGCCTACCCTGGCACTCACCTTATAGAAGCCAGCATCCTCAAGGGGCATGGGCACCCCAGCTGATTTGTGGGTTGACATGTGGCCATTACTGACCACTGTGTGCACATCAACGGCCTCTGCCCAGGTTGGAAGATCTTGGCCATGGATGCTGGGGCCATCTATACTGGACACCTCTGAGTGCTTGTAGGGCAAGCTGACATCTGGAAGGAGCCTGGGTGCTGAGGGGGGCTTGCAGGGCTGTAAAAGAACAAGTGTCCATCAGCACCTTAAAGCCACTATTCCCCAGTCCTATCCCGGGGCACTCAGGCTGGGGGACTGAGTACCTGGGCCACCAGGGACACACTGTCCTGCATGGATTTACTGACAGTCGCTGGGTGAGGAAGCTGAGGCACAGACCGCAGGAAGACTACAACGGAACACAGAGCCCAATAACTGTCAGAACAGAGTGGCAGGATGCCTGGTGAGGGTGCCAGCAGGGGCATAAGGAACAGGCAGCCTTGCCTTGCGGGACCTGCAGAAGCCACACCACAGAAACTGCCCACCATTCTGCCCTGGACATCTGCTCTTCCAGCTGGAAAACTTGGGACCCTCAAGTACCCCTCACACAGACTTCCCACATAGTTCTGTGGGCTCATATAACCTGTAAGCTAGTCCTGAGGCCCTGGGCCTATACCAGCTGCAGTCACCACACCACTGGGCCTCCCCACTCCCTCTGAGCTCTATGCACCCCGTGGGCCCCACAAGCCCACCTGCCTCAGGAGGGAAACAGCTCTTCCGAACATTCCGGGAAGGCACCTTCAGGCTATTGCCTGGAAACCTTGGTGGGTGATGGGCAGATGAATCAGCATCTGGGTAGGTCAAAGGCGCCACCTGTCCTCCTGCCACCCATAGGCCTCCCTCAGGAAGGGCAGAGCTGCTTACCAGATGTGAACATAGTGAACATGCCAGCTCTCCCCCTTTGGCACTGGGAAGGTCATTTCTCGAGGCATGGGAGTCATGGGCAGCTTTGCCCGCCTGGCCTCAGTGACGGTGACTGCTAAACAACCAGGGATGCTCCAATTCAAGGGAAGCCCCAGGCAAGATGCAGTATCAGACTCCTACCATACGAGAGTATGGCCACCAGGCCACCAGCCCAGCCACACCCTCACCTCAGGGTTGCCTCCAGGGCTACAGGGACCTGGCTTTCAGTGGCACCAGGCCAGAGTTCAAAGATAGCATGGCACCCAGGCAGAGAACCTGGGGTGATGGAGCATGTGCACACACAGAAGGAGAGGAGAGGACACACAGAGTGGGTAGGGAATGGCTCTCACCAGGATCAAAGCACAGGTCGCTAGTGTAAAGGTTCCTGACTAGCAGGCTGGCACACAGCCTGACACTCTTGAGGTGGCCATAGTGCCGGCTCAGATAGATCAGGAGGATGTCATGCAGGTCCAGTTGCAAGCAGGTCCAGCGGGCATCAGGGGGAGCCACACCTGCCAGGTCTGCAGGATAGGTGTCCAAGGTCAGCGTCCACCCTCTTGCAGCCTCCATTTCCACAGCTTTAATTCTGTGACCACATGTAAGCTGTCCCTCAGACCACATATAAGCCCCTCTGGACCTGCACCGTCCCTCTCTGGACATCTCAAAGCCCCAGCTTGGTGCCAGGCAGCCCTTCCCGAACCATTCATGCCCCATTTTCGTATCACCTCTCCTGGACATTCTGGCCTCGAAGACAAAAGGGAACTGAAGCCATGTGGCTGAGGACTTGAACTCCTTAAAGAGGTTGGAGAAAGACACCCGGATGACCTGGCTATCCTGCGTGGCAGAGTGTGGCTGTTAGTAGGCCGCGACAGGTAAACAGACACCCACAGCAGCCCTCAGCTCAAGTTAGGTACCTCAGTGGACACGTCCAGGTGGATAACAAAGTGCTTGGTGGGCAGGGGCCGGAAAAGCACATACAGGTATCTCCCGGTCAACCCGAGGGACTGGGTACTGGTTCTGGGGAGCTGAATGTAATTGCTGGCAGAGACAGAGCCCCGGATGCGATACACCGCGCTCTTCAGAGTCTTGTCCTGGGGAGAGAAGGGAGCTGCGACCACCGCGGACACGGGGTGCACTCCGGGGAAGCGCGCGCGGAGGCTCCCAGCGACAGCCATGCCCCAGAAGTACCGTCACCAGAGCCACGTCGCCCTCCTTGCTGGACCGCTTCCACTCATCCACCCTGAAGTATCTGAAGACGTTGACGTACGGATGCTGCCACGCTGGGGAAGAAGAGCAGCGCGGCTGAGGTCCTGGCCGGGGGTGCGCGGCCCTGAGGGTCCTGGGCTGGGGCATCCCCGAACCCCGCCTTCGCAACGGGACAACAGCGAGGGCGGACCCGCTTGCGTGCAGCCGGGCAGTGGCTCGGGCGAGACCCCGGCACGGCGGCGACCTTGACCTCGCGACTTCAGAGGCCCAAGACCCGAGACCCGCCAGCCGGCCGCGCGCAGCTACCTCCAGCCATGGCGCAGCTGCTCGGGCTTCCCGCCTCAGCCGCCGCGCGCCCCACGCAGGGCACGCAGCGCAGCGCTTAGCAACGGCCGCCTGGCAACGACGCGTCACTTCCGCCACCATGGCTGCGCCCGGAGCCCACGTGACCGTGTGGCACCTGGCTCCCCTCCCCACACTGGGGATGCCCGCCCGCGGCTCCTCCCCATCTCAGACGCCAGCTGGCCGTCTGCGGTCTCCAAGTCACCCCAAGACCACAGTCTGGACTATCCTGGCCACTCTCTCCGCTGTCACTCCCTGGAGTGACGCGGAAAGCCTCTACTGCCACTCCCAAGACTGGTGGGACGGAGCAGACAGCTCCCAGCAGACCCTGCTCCAGCTTAACCAGGTGTAGGACACAGGGGAGACCACTACCTTCTGTGGGGCCGATGTGTATGGTGGGATGGTATGCACTTCCATATTTGAGGGGCTGCTCTTGGCAGGGGCCCCTTCTATATGAAGAAGGGGACAGCTGAGAGGCCCCTCCATACTCAGAGCTAGCCCAGGCTGGGTCTTACCCTACACTTTCTAGCCCTGTGGAGGCACCATTCAGCACCCAGGGTACTCTAAGTCTCCCTGCCTCCGTAGGCAAGGTTATCCCTGTTCATCATGACCAGCAGTGCCAGTGCCCACAGGTCCCCACAGGTTCACCACACACCCTAAGACCTGTGGCACATTGCTGCCCAGTGTCCTGGAACCAGGCCTGGTGGCTTCAAAGAGCAGGACTTGGTATCCCAAGACCTTACCCCAGTCCTGGGCCAGGATCCCCATTCCAGGGCAAGTTCTTTTTTTTTTTTTTTTCAGTGTGGGAGCTTGAACTCAGTCCTACACCTTGAGCCACTCCACCAACCCTTTTTGTGAAGGGTTTTTTCAAGATAGGGTCTCATGAAGTATTTGGGCTGGCTTCAAACCGCAATCCTCCTGATCTCTGCTTCCTGAGTAGCTAGGATTACAGGCAAGCCACTGACACCTGGCTCCAGGGCAAGTTCTTTAATGTCTTTGGCTCTGGGACTTGAAGCTCAGGTTTGGTACCAATCAATGCCAACAGGAAAAAGTGGGAGTGCAGTCTGATGGGGCAGAGTGGGATCTACAGACTTCAAGCAAAGGGAGCCAGCTGAGGGCTCTAGCACTTTGTTCAACTGGGTGAGAAACCAAGGGACAGAGTTGGTCAGAGCTGTAGCCCTTGGCTCAGGGGTACCAGAAGGGGTGCAGCTACAAGGGGAGGCTGGGCTGGGCCTGAAGTCTGGGACTGGGGACTCATACACACATGCCCTACAAACTCCAAGTCCGAACAGCAGTTTCTCAACTTTATTAGCTTAGAGCTCCTCCCTGCCAGCCCCAGGGGCTGGTCCCTGGGCACAGTGAGCAGGATTGAGGTCAGACAGGTTTGGCCCCTGGCCCTGGCAGCTTGGGATAGCTAAGCCAAGGGAACAACAGGTGCAAAAGTCCAAATGCTGGCACTTCAGGTGTGGCTGGTGCCCAGCCAGGCCACAAGGTAGACAGGGCACCATGGTCCTCTTCTGGCAAAGGGTCCACCATGGCAGCATTCGTTTCCGGGCAACCACTAGGAACAGTTGGTGATTCTGGCCAGGAACTGCTGTGCCCACCACTCATCCAAGTCAATGGGCACAAAGTCTGTGGGCAGAGCAGAAGGCTGGACAGTGATATTGCCTTCCAGACTAGTGGGTGTCTCTGACCTCAAGCTGACCACAAGCCTGGCTCCAAGCATAGCAGGCACTGGGAAGAAGTGGGTTGGGCTCAGGAGTCCCCTCCCAAATTCCCTGAACTGGTGGGGCCCAGTTCAGGATCAGAGGGGCTAGGGGAAGACTCCCTGAGAGTGCAGGGTATGGGGGCTCACTTTGTAGCCGGGGATCAGGGGTCCTCTCCACATATTGCACAGGCCTTGTACCACTCTCACCGGCTGGGCCACCATCCAGCTGTTGTTCCACCTGCTGCCAAGCTGTGGGGGAAGGGGAATCAGGCTGAGCCAGGCCCCTGGCACCCCCTCCCACCCTAGGGCCTGGTAGGTACCCTGGACTCCAGCCCAGCACAGAGAGTAGACACAAACAGGCAGAGAGCCAAGGAAAAGCCCTGCCCTTAGGCTGCTGAAAGTCAGGCTACAGTGGGGAAGACTAGGGGCCATCCCAGGTCCTTGCTACGGGACCCAGTGGCCTGAGCCACACCCTCCGGCCCCTCACTACCTTCGGACACAAAGCGGACGTTCTCCTCGTGTGCCAATGTGTAGGTCTCCTGGGCCCCCTCGAGGGATGGGGAGGTGGCGAGGGGCCGCCGGGCATTCACTCGATTGAACACCAGCCTCGGCCCCGGACTGCAGGAGGGGGAGGAGACGGACATGGTAGGCGCCTGCCAGGCCCAGGAACCACCTGACACAGTTCAAGAGCGCCCTTGGGCCATGCCCACTGCCTCAGACCAGGTCCAGTCGGGGCACTTCCAGTCTGACCACTGGGTAGCTGCCCCCAGAAGCCACTCTCTCCTGCAGGCCCTGAGCTCCTGGCAGCTCAGCTCACAGCTGCAGCCCCAGGGAGGTGAGTGACTATAGGCCAAGGGAGGGACTCCCAGACTCTTGGCAAGGCCATACCCAGTGCCTCTCCACACTGCCCAGCAGCCAGGCCTCCAGCAGTTCAGGTTCTGACCTCAGCACAACCAGGTCTTTCAACCCCACCCACCAGGCGCAGTTCTTCCCATCCTCCACACTCTCCTGTCCACCTGGATGACAGCTCAGCATGGGAAAACTTACTGAGAAGGACAGGTCAGCCTTTGCCCTTCCCTTTCCCCCAGCTGCCCCCCTGCCCCTAGGGGGATGAGCACCAAGTTCTGGGAAGGGCAGTTCCTAAATGGGGAGAACATGACCGCAACTCTGGCCCACTCCCCATGGCAAGAGTCAGGGGCGACGCAAGTGAGATGGCCCCCCTCATGGCACTGTGCTGCACTCTAGGTCCAGGGGGGCTACTGGGCCCCTCCAACCAGGCAGGCCCAGAGCAGAGGTGGACCACCCTGGCCAGCATCAACTGACCAAGCCCTGCACTCACAAAGCCCGGGGTGGGGCCGTGGAGGAAATGGGGCCGCACCTACAGCAGGAGGTGGGAGCCGGAGTCCTGGGCTGCGCCTGCCACTCCGCCAGGCACTCGCGGTCCCGGCCGGCCTGCTCGCCTTCCTGGGCTCAGGTGCCCCACGCCGCTCTGGGTTCCTCCTCAGGTGAGAGGGGCACTAAAATAAAGAGGAGTGTCTTGAGGGGCGCAGGGTCCTGCCAGCCCCGGGGCCGGCAGGGTCTGGTGACTGCAGAGAATCTTAGATGTGCAGGTAGGGACCACAGTGGGCAGGAGCTCCTCCCAGACCTGCTCTCTGCCTGAGTTTCCCCATGAATCAGAGGGCATGAAATCCCCTCCCCTTGCCTTCAACCACCCTCCCCCAAAAGGGTTCAAAGTCCAGGAAACCTTGGAGACTGGATATCAATTTTTTAAAAAGAAGGAGCTGTGAATTGCAAGAGACAAGGTGGTAGCCCTGGAGCTGAAATGGGGCCCCAGCAAGCATACCCACAGCCTGCCCTGCCCCACCTCTGCTAAAAGGTTGCAGTTATATAAGGCAAAGTTCTGTAAGGGAAAGGGCACGAGCCCCAGCGTGCACCTGTAGATACTCGTCAACCTGTACCCACTCCCAGTGGATGCTGCCTGCAGACCAGCTCATGGTGCTCCATGGACCTCTTGTGCAACACCCCCACTACCCCTGAGGTGACTACTGGCCCACCTATTTTTCAGCCTAGAAATCTGTGTAGGAGGGGTAAGTGACCTGCCTGTGTCACACATCAAGAGGGGTAGCATCAGGATTTATCAGGAGACCTAACACCGAACCCCTAGTATTTTCAAAGGTCTTTAAGATATCATTTGAAAAAATGATACTTGGGCCAGGCACTGGCAGCTCATGCCAATAATGAGTTTCTCTGACCTAGCCCCACCCCCTCATAGGGCTGCCCCTTCATGGAGTATGATGGGTTTAGCCCACCATCCTCTGCTTTGGTGGTCCCAGCACACAATCCCCTGCAACCTGTCCCTGGAGACAGGTGATCACATGGCCCCATTTCATCTCCCCATCTTTCCCCTCTGTCTCTCACCAGGAAAAGAGCCATATCAGAGGCACAGGCCCAGCTGGCCCATTCACCATCACTGGCAGTGCCCAGACCCATGACTAATCAGAAGAGGAGCTGTCCATTTGGGGGTCAGAAACTTTGGGACTCTGCCATGTGCCAGCAGAAGGACAAGCAGTGACAACTACACATACACACACACCCCCACAGTTAGTAAGAGAGAGGGACAGTGGGTGGTGGAAGGTGCTACAGAGAAAGATAAGAAAGATGGTAGAAGTTGGGTGGGCAATTTTGGAGGGTGGGGTCCCACATGGAGGCCTACAGCTGCCCAAAGCTCCAAAACCAGGGACTGGGAGGGGGTGCTCAGGAAAGGGGGTACTACCCAGTGACCTCCAAAGGACAGGGCAATGCACACTACCCTGCCCACAGTTCCTTGAGCCCAGCAAGACACCACGGTCAAGCCCCCTCAACTCCAGCATGCCCCACATGACTATCTGATGGAGGACTTCAGGGGGCTTTAAGGTCTCTAGGGAGAACAGCCAGTGGGCCTGGGAGTGTCCCTTGAGGCTCTAAGGAACATCACTATCTCTTTTCCTCCTGGACACCACCCCCCCCAACTCTGCCACAGAGCTGCCCTTGCTGTCCTCAACGAGAGATCTTGGAGAAGGGGGTTTCCTCCGGTAAGAAATGGGTGAGTCACTCTAGCCACTCCAGCCCAAGCACTCTGACTGGGTTGGCCACCTGGTGGCCACACACCTGTGCATCCTCCCAGGCGAGGTATGGCATCCAGGACATAGGCTGAGGTTAGCAGAATGCACTTCCTCTCCCTTTGCCCTGCTTACCCCCTCCCTAGGAGACACCTCTGGCCAAGACACTTTCCTGGAGGATGCAACCCCTCCTGCAGGAAAACTCCACTCTGCCAGAACACCACACATGACTACCCACAGGACTCTCCTACCTGTGGCACCTGAGGCCCAGTAGCTGAAAGGTGGGCAGTGGCTAGCAACACCCTCCCTCCAACTACAGCTGTCCTAACTTCTGGCCACCCTGGAGGTTGTCTGTCATCAACTTGGAAAGACCCCTTCCTGCTGGGTCCCCCTCCCGTGGAGTGCCCCACATTGCCCCTTCACATGTTACTCCCACCAGGGCCTGAGCCCAGGAGCCCAAAGGCCTGCAGGGGGCAGGAGCAAAGTCCACAGGCCCAGGAAAGACTTGGAGTAAATTAAGCCATATTCAGCCCTGGAGGTGGGGGTGGGCTACCTCCAGGTCCCTGGAGGCCAAAGTAGCCAGGACTGAGCCTCTTTGGGGCACTGGGCTGCCTGGAAAAGGCAGGAAGCTGTGGGCCCCAGCAGGCCCTGGGGATCTGCTGGGAAGGAGGTGCTCCAGTGTCCCAGGGTGTCTGGGTGAAGGGCAGAGGAGGGCAGGGGCTTGGCAAGGCTAGAAGGAAGCATGTGCGTCTCTCCTGCAAGGGCAGAGGCAGGAGACCTTGAGGGCTGGCGCCATGGGCAGATCTCCCCAAACCTTGACCTCGCCGCCCCAAAGGGGTCCAGCCGCGCAGCCCAAGGTCGCCCAGGGCGTCCGCTGCAGGCGCCCAGAACCCGAGCCACGCAGGAGTAGGCAGGAAGCCCGCGAGGCCCCACGTGACTAGAGGGTCCGCACACGCCGGGCCCAGCCCTCCGCGGCCAGGTAAGCGGAAAAGCGCCCGCGACTGCCGGCCGGTGCGAGCGGCCGATCCCCGCCAACCTTCCCCAAGGTCACCCTCCTGTCCGGCCGGCTGCTCTCACCTCGCCAGGGGCCAGGGGCCGGGGTGCGCAGAGGACTGCGCGCGGGGAGGCGGTCCGGTATGCGGCGCCGGCTGCCGGCATTTCAGGAGCTCGCCAAGCCTGCTTTCCACCTGCTGCTGCGTGGGACCTGCGGGCCAAGAGCGAAGGACGCGTCAGCCACCGTGGGCCAGCGGCCACCGCGTCCCACCGCCCCCCCCCCCGCCCCCCCCCGCCCGCCCGCCCTGGCGCACCTGTGCGGCGCTGCGCGACCAGTTTGCTAGGCCCCTTGGTGATGGTGTACATGGTGTGCCGTCCAGCACGCCGCCCACCACAGCCAGACCCGGCGCTCTCCGCCGGCTCCACTCTGCTAGACCACGGGCACGGTCCCTTTAAGCGAGGCGGGCGGGCGGAGAGGGGCGGGGCAGCGCGCACACGCCCCCCGCTCTTAAAGGGGCAGTGCACACCCGGGTAGCCCAGTACTAGGCACTTTGAGGGAGGGGCGGGGCGCCGGGCTGACCACCGCCCCCAAGCGGGCGCTAGGTGGCAACCGGGAGCGCCCGGGCCAGTCTGTGGGCGGGGCACTGGCTTTATGGCCCGTGAGTCCCCACGATCTTCAATCTTCGGTCGGGGTATAGGCCGGGGTCCTCGGAGCTCTGAGGGCCCCACCCTTCACAGGCAAGATGGGCGCTGCACTGGGTCGTGGAGGCGTCTCTGTTGGGGATATCTGTACTGGGAGGGTCTCTGCACTGAGGGGTCTCTGGCTAGGGCTCTCCGGTGGGAAGGTCTCTGTCCTAGGGAGGTCTTTGGGCTGGAGGCTCTGATGGGAGGGCCTCTGTGCTGGGGGGCGGGGGGAGGTCTTTGTGCTGGAGGCTCTGGTAGGAGGGCCTCTGTGCTGGGGGGGTCTTTGGGCTGGGGGATCCTTGCACACACAGAAGCAAGTGTGTTCCTACTCATATTTGAGAACTCTCAGCCTGGAGAAGCCTGGACCTGTATGAAGTTACCCTTATCTTACCTCTATTTAGAATGAGGGGTCTGACAAATGAGGTGGACTTGGGCAGTCATGAGGCCCTGGGAATATCCCCATGGGACAGGAAGTGACAGTGTCTCAAGGCTGCCCAGCAAGGAGGCTGGAGGCCCAGGAACCAGACAAAGCAGGGGAGGGCACTGACAGCCAGCAATCTCTGCCTCAGAGCTCCTTCCCAAGAGTTCCTGGAGTTGCCTCTCCTTATGATAGGGCTTCTCAGAAACTAAGTACCAAGAGCCCCTGCTGGACTGCCCCAGGGCATCTGGGGAAAGATGCCCTGGGCAGGAGGGAAACCATAGTACTGGTGGGTGGGGCCTGAAGCCTCCAGTAATCCTGTGGCTGGGTTCCATCCTTAATGACCCTCCAGAAAACAAATGCTGATTTGAGAGTTAGTGGCTGCCTAACTTGAAATCTATCCCTGGGGCTCCTGCTGCTTCCACCTTAGCCTCAGGTTCCCTACCCCTCCACAGAGATGTGGGAGGTTCAGTCTGATGGGACGGATGGCAGGGAAATATTGCAGTCAAATCTCCAAATAAGCAAGATGTGCAATGGCTCCTGGTGGGAGTGAGTAGCTGACCCATCCCACCCATCTGCTCTTTCTCCCTCCCAGGCTACCCAATGTGACTGTGTTCCTACTCTCTCCTGTGATCCCCCCAGGAAGTAGGACTGTCCTGCCTCTCCTAGCCCCTGCAGCCCCTGTCCTGAGCAGGCTGGAGGACAGAAGCCTCCCCTCCCCAGCTATGTGAAGGCTGAGGCCTGTGACCCTAAGAGGGCAGAAGAGGCTGGTGAGCAGCAAGGGAATGGGCCATGCAGTCCCCAGTCAGGCACATACCCAGGGAGTCAAGGCCTGAGTCTGCCTCTTGAGAAGGGGCACTTCCTGGCCAACCTGACCCTCCTTGACAACTGTGCCATTTCTTCCCCCATTGTGCCGTCCTCCCCCACTAGCACTCAACCAAGCACCAGTTCCTCCAAGGCCAATGTGGTCCTGAGTCATCTGTGCAGCTTGTGGCCTGCCCTGGGCTCTCCTGGTGGCCTTGAGCATGCTGCTCAATCACGCACGTGCTGGGAAGGCAGGACAGGGTGGTGGGGACCTGCTGCTGGAGTGCACATGTTTCCCCAAGGAAGAGCCACTGAAGGCCTGGGCAAGAAGGAACTGCTGGTCAGAGTGGGGGTGTGTGCAAGACTCTGGTGTGGGGAGTATTTGTTCCCCATGCTGACCTGAGCTGAGGGTAGGGTCCCCTACAAAGAGGGTGCCACCCACTGAAAGATGATACAGACCTGCCTAGAACCCAGCCTTGCATGGCCCCATTGAAGGGCAGACAAACCAGGTCTTTGTCTAAACCACCAGTGGCCAAGCCACAAGAGCCAAACGTGGAGCCCTAGCAACAGGCTGCATCTGAAGTCCAAGGTTGGGTTCAGAAGCCCTCAAAAGGACTTCCAGGGAGCAGTGAGCAAACTTGACCTTGCAGTCTGAGGGGGGAGTAGACAGGTGAGGTGAAGGTAATTCCCAGGAGGTCAGAGGGAGGTGGAGGTCAGGCAACCTAAGCCTCCAGCTTCTGTAAGGAGGCTGGTCTCCCCTAGAGGAGGCTTTCCAGTCTCATTGTTCCCAGACCCACTCCAGACTGAAGATGGAGCCTTGTGGAGCTCTCCAGGTGAGAGTGGGCATCTGAGAAACAAGGACAGCCTGGACCAGAGCCCTAAGAGGTCAAGGTCTGGATGGGCCGTATGCTCCTGCCATGACTCCAGCTCTGCTGCAGGGTCAGTGGAGCCACTTCTATTTGAGCAGGAACCCAGGCAGCCTGGTGCAGGATATCCAGGCCTGTGTCCTTCTGTGGACCAACACTGCCTGTGAAGTCCCCACCGAGGCAGCATTTTGCAGTCAGCACATTTGCTGTAGTCAGAGAGGTAAGGGCCCATTCTGGAACTGGGCAGTTGGACAGGAGGGCCCTCACTGAGAGTGCAGCATAAGAAAAAAACCCAATCATGTAATTTTTTAAATACCTTTTAAAGGCCTGGGAGTATGGTTCAAGTGGTAGAGCACTTGCAAATGCAAGATCCTAAGTTAAAAACTAAAAAAAAAAAAAAAAGACCTGCCAGGTGCCAGTGCTTCTTGGGAGGCTGAGATTGGGAGGATTGCAGCTTGATTCCAGCCCTGGCAAATAGTTCTCAAGAACCCCATCTTCAAAATCACCACAGCAAAATGCACTAGAGGTGTGACTCAAGCCTTTGCAAGTGCAAAGCCCCAATCCCACCAAAAAACCAAACCAAACCAAACCAAAAAAACCTGCCCAAAATAAAAAAGTACCTTTTCTCCTCTTGGAAAAGTCTCTAAATATGACCCCAACATTTTATGTAAAGGAGAAAGACGGTCAAGATTTCAGTCACCCTCAGTGGATTTTCCAGGTCTAGACCCATGCCCTGACCAGCCCAGGCTTAAAGTGGGGTTCTGTTTCTGCTCATAAAGGGGTGACCAGCAGCCCCCCAGGAAAAGGCAGTGGCTGAGTACTAAAGCACTGCTCAGCTAGTTTCTCAGCCTTCTTCCAAATGACCCCAAAAGATGTGTGTACCCACAACCTCATAATGCAACCTTATTTGGAGTAGAGTCTTTGTAAATATAATAGAAGGCAAGACTTTTAGGATAAAATCATCCTGAATTAGGGTGGGTCCTATCTCATATGACTAGTGCCCTTTTAAGAGAAAGAGAAGGAGATCCGGACACAGAGGAGGCCAATGTGAAAAGGCTAGGGCAAACACTGGAGTGATATGGCCACAAGCCAAGGAGCTTCGGAGGGAACTGACTTCTCTTCAGAACTGTGAGAAAATAAATTTGTTGTACCAAGCTATCAAACTCTGGGGTGATTTGTTACAGAACCCACAGGGAGAGTGGTGGGTGAAGGATGGAGGAGGAACAGCAAGGGCTTGGGAGGATTCCCCACTGGCATGGGGTCCAGTGAATGGTGGGTACGTGAGATTGGACCGGGAAGACAGCTCAGTCCTGCTGTTGGCTCTAGGCCTGCTGGGGCCTTGCCATCAGTCCTTTTGGGGGTGGGATGGACAGTGGGATTGGACATTGCCTGAACTCCTCCTATAGACCAGACCCCAAAACAGGGCAGATTGGAAGAGGAAGTGCATCCAAGGGGTGGAACAAGGATCTAGGTCAATGCCTGGAGGTGCCACTGTGTGGGTGGAAGGACCAAGAAACCCCGTGTTCCTTTCAGAGCACAGAGTGGAGGACCTGTGGCTCCCTAGGCCCTAGTGGTGTGATCATGAGGATAAACTCATTTGGAAAGGTGGCTCCTACCTGTCGCATCACCTTCTACCCAGTATTATGTAAGTCCCTCAAGGGAGGTACCTGGGTTGAGGGTATGGCTCAGTGGTAAAGCTATGTGAGATGCCCTGGATTTAATCCCCAGGACCACACACACAAGAAAACAGGCATGGTGGTGCATGTGTATAATCCCAGCACTTTGGAGGCTGAGTCAGGAAGATTGTTTGAGGCCAGCCTGAGTTACACAGACCCTGTCTCAAAAAAAAAAAAAAGTCTGTGGGGGGCACCCAGGAGCCAAATTCAGCTCTAAGAAGTCTATACTTCTGGCCCAAACAATAATCCAGTCCCAATAAATTCAAGCCCAGCTACCCCAAGGAGGTGCCATCCCATGGGTTCTAGCATCTGACACACATACTTTCCAGGAAATATATGCTTACATATGCTGACCACAGCAAAGCCCCTCAGCCAGGTGTGGCTGCTTCTCTGCCAGTGGTGAGGGCAAATGTTGACCCATCCATGGCATCCTGCCCAGAGTGATGAACACCGTAAGCAGGCACCAACCAGGGTTAAGTACCCTTAAACACAATGCCATTGCAAGGCAGTTTCTTATAGCAGCTCCATACAACAAGGTGGGGGAGGCAGGAAGATCAATCTTGGGCCCCTCTCCTCTGTGCCCAGAGAATTCCAGTGAAGCCTGGGTGTAAGAGGCACACTGGCCATCACAGGCCATCTTTCTGGACTCCCTGTGAGGTGAGTTCCAGGACAGGAATACAAGAGGAAGGAGACACCAACACCTCTCTGGGACTGTGACACAGGGAAGATGCTATGCCAAAAATCCAGGAGACCATGCAAATGGTGATCCAGGTAACAAAAGGCTGGGTCTGTGACGAGAGAAAGCCCACTGCAGGACCCAGTCGGGGTCACCTCAAACACTGGACATCAATGTCCATGTGATAGGGCTGCCTATAGAGAGAAGACTGGGGAAAGATTTCTGGAGACCCCTGAATCCCGACTGGCCACTTTCCTGGGGGCTGTCCAGAGTGGTTGCCCTGGGCCATGTCACTGGCCTCCCTAGTCTAACCATACTCACACCCTACTTGGGCATCCCAGCTGATACTCAACCCCGGTTATGCCTTTAACATGAACCCCAAACTGAAGTCGATGTGAGGGTTCTCAGCGAGTCTCAGCAGAGCACGGCCCTTCACCTTTCTGAAGCGGGGCCCCTCCGAGATATAGACCCCCAAACTGACCACCCGTGAAGCACCCTTGGGCGTGCACACATCGCGGTGTCGGACTTCATTTCATTGGTCACGATCCCCTCCCACTATCCACCCGTTAGTTCCGAAATGGTGCTGGTTGTCTCAGTTTCACAGAGAAGCCCTGGGCATCACCGAGTACCATGCGAGACCTACCGGGTCCGGATGGCCCGACTCCCGACCACGCCCCCCTGAAAGCCACGCCCACCAAGACCCCTCCTGGGTCCCGCCCCCGTCCCCGCCCCACTGGCTTCCAAATCGTTTTCACAGCCCAAGCTCACATCCAGGCTGTTCTCAAATCCGTGTCGCCCACCTCACCTCCACTTCTTTCCCTCAGGCGTCGGGCGACGCCACAGGATCTGCTGAGCGCAGTCCGCCAAGCCCAGGACAGCAGGGTCGGGTGAGGTTAGTGGTAGCACATGCGCAGTAATCTCGTGCAGGCTGCCTTGCATCACAATTCCTAAGTCTTCGGGGAAAGCCCGGCGTACAACGGCGCCGCTGGTGTAGTGGTATCATGCAAGATTCCCATTCTTGCGACCCGGGTTCGATTCCCGGGCGGCGCAGCCTCGTTTTTTTTTCCCATTTCGGAAATGAGCTCCAGTTCTCTGCTGACACTTTACAAAAACGTAGACCAGAGAGAAGGGAGACGCGCGTGTGCCATTGCAGCAGAGTGAAAACACCGAACATTTTAGAGTGACGAACGCTCTGAAAACACTGGCGTCGTGTGGGTGTCAGATTGCTCAAACTGAGAGGCTCGTGTGAAAACGCAGTACAGGTCGTTCCCGGTCCCCCGCCTGGGGTCTTTCCAGCGCCAGGCCGCCGGGATCGCGCCTCCGGGAGTTGAGGACCCTTTAAGGAGCCGCGCGCCTCCTCCTGGGAAGTTACCCAACGACAGTCGGACCACAGCTCCCGACGTGCCCCGCGCGCGTCTCGGCCACAGTTCCCGTCGCGCCCTGCGCTGAGTCCTGGCTGGGCGGGCGACGCGGCTGTGATGCTGGTGGCGGCCGCAGCGGAGCGGAACAAGGAGCCCATCCTGCGCGTGCTGCAGCAGTATGTGGACCCGGCCCAGCGCGGCGTCCGCGTACTCGAGGTGGCCTCAGGCTCCGGCCAGCATGCGGCACACTTCGCTCAGGCCTTCCCGCACGCCGAGTGGCAGCCATCCGACGTGGACCAGCGCTGCCTGGACAGGTGCGGCGGCGTGCTGTCCCCTTGTCCTCCCCTACCGCCACTCCGGCCAGCGTGGGCGATGGGGCGAGGAGACAGACCCGGACAGGCCTGGCAGAGAGGGTGGGCCCGGGCCTGGGGTGCCGAACATAGGTTGTGGAAGCGACATGCTGCAGGGTAGGGTTGCCTGAGCCCTTCCGAGGCCCACTCGCTGGCCACTCCTCGGTGCCTTGTTGAGATGCCTGGCCCGCCCCTGCCCATGCGCTGCCCTCCACAGCATCGCTGCCACCACTCAAGCCCAGGGCCTGTCCAACGTGAAGGCCCCATTGTACCTGGATGTCACCTGGGAGTGGGAACAATGGGGTGGCATTCTGCCGCAGTCGCTGGACCTGCTGCTCTGCATCAACATGATCCACATCAGTCCCCTGAGCTGCACTGAGGTAGGTGGCAGCCTGGAGTCCACCCTTTCTCTGCTCTGGAGGGAGGTAGGCAGGGTCTCCTACCACCGCCGAGTGCGAATCTCCATTGTCCAACGCAGGGCTCTTTGGGGTCTGGGGGTAGTAACTCATCGCGCTCTGCCTCTTTCTCCCCAGGGGCTCTTCAGAGCAGCAGGACATCTGCTCAAACCCAAGGCTGTGCTTATCACCTACGGGGTGAGTGATACTTCCTTGGTGTGTGTGGGGGGCAGGGAGGGCTCAAAAGCCGCAGGTGCTTCCCTCACTGGCTCATCTTTGTAACCCAAAGCTCACCAGCTGGTCCTTGTCTTCTCCCTACTTGGGGGTAGGAAGGGAGTGAACTTTCCATCCTCTGGGCCCCAGCCTACAAATCAGTCTGTGGCCCACAGGAGAATGGCTGACCCTGTGGGCTGTGCCCCCTGTCCCTGCAGCCCTATGCAGTCAATGGGAAGATCTCTCCCCAGAGCAACGTGGACTTTGACCTGGCCCTCAGATGCAGGTCAGAACTGGATGGGAGGGGCCCAGGCTCAGATGGCAGGTGGCATGGGTTCCTCCTTCGCCCCAACCCCCTTGTCTCCCTCCCTACCTCAGGAACCCAGAATGGGGGCTGCGAGACACAGCTATCCTGGAGGAACTGGGCCACGCCAGTGGTCTGCTCCTGGAGAGAATGGTAGGTGTGGCAGGTTGGGGGCAGGTGACCTTTGTGAAGACCAAGGGCCACTCTAGCAAAGCATTTCTTTAGGTGGACATGCCAGCCAACAACAAGTGCCTGATTTTCCGGAAAAAGTAACCCTTCTCCTTCATCCTGTGTGTCTACATCTCTGCCAAAGGCACAAACCAGATTCAAATCCCTGACACCCTCAGCCAGGCTGGTCAGCTCTACCTAATTTGGGCTCTTGGCTGGTGACTGTGGGGCTGGTAAGAGCCTGGACCCAGCCTACCTTGTAATAAAACATTTCCTGTGTGGATGTCCACCACACTGTCTCCTGAGAGCACCTAATGGGGGTGGGTGGACAGGAGGGGCAGGCCCGTGAGGTCAGAACTTGGGAGCATCCTGGCTGTGTTGCTTGGGGGGAGGGACGACCCAGGGGCAATTGCTGAGGCAGCATGGAGCTGGGACCTTTCTGTGCTTCTGAAGACTGCTGTGGGTCTACAGGAGCAATCTGGGAGTGAACTGGTACCCCTTGGTGACCTCAAACAGGAGCCAAAGTCCTAACTGGTGGCAAGACCCCAGCTGGAGAGCAGGCTAGGAGCAGGGGCACCTGGAAGGTTTAGGGTCCTCCAACTAGCACCAGCAGGCCATGAGTTCCAGGGGTGAGAGGTATGTGTTTATTCAGCAGGCGGAAGGGCAGGAGCAGGGCTGGTGGGCAAGGCTAGTCTTGGAAGCGGTTGAGCAGATCACAGACTTTCTTCTCCAGCAGCTCCATGATCTTCTTGATGCGCTTCTCGCTGGCAGCACGGACATAGCTGCCAGCATCCAGCACAGCTACACCCTCATGCACCTCACCCATGATGACCAGTGGCCCATCACCAGCTGTCACGTTGGGGCAGGGGCAGGCCCAGTCCATGCCACTCAGCGTCACCTCCAGGTACTTGGTGCCCAAGAACTTTAGCCCCATCTTGTCGTCTTTGAGCACATCATCGAGGGCCACACGAGCGATGCCACCTGCAGCCTCAGGCTCCTCCAGCACCTCCGTGAGCCGCCCCACAATGGCAAAGTCACTGCGGCACAGGCTCAATGCCAGCTTGCTTCTGAGGCGGCAGGCCCGGCAGGGTGTTGTGCGTGGCACAGGGCAGGCATCCTCACAGCTCTCTCGGCTGGCAAAATTGTTGCCGTTGCCCTCACAACCACTGTATACGAAGGGGTGGCACTGCTGCAGCAGTGGACTGTAGGCCCAACGTGGCTCCCAGCCCTGGCAGGGACCCTGAACAGCCGGCAGTGTGCAGGCATCCCCAGGGCCTTGGGCACAGGCTTGTTGGCATGCCTCGTATGTCTCGAAGCCCTGGGCAGCCCCATCACATTCCAGGGCTGGAAAGGTCATGCAGCCACCCCGTTGCGGGTCAAAATGCCAGAGGACGAGTTGGGGGGCTGGAGGGCCAGCACAGGCCTGTGTATTGGGCAGGCACTGGGCCAGGGCCGGGACACCCGGGGCTCTGTCCCTTGCTGGCACCCGCTGGACCACAGAGAGGGGGAAGTCAGCTCGCAGAAGGCCGGCGGCGTTGCGTGCAGTGCAAGTGTACAGGCCAGCATCCTCGGGCCGGGCATTGTAGAGCACCAGTTGCCCTATGCTGGTGACCACCACGTTGCCGTACATCTGGTCAGGGCGCATGATCAAGTTCTCCCGCTGGTGGCTCTGCTTTTCCCAGGTCACAGCGGGTGGAGGGCGGCCGCTGACATCACAGTGGAAGCTGGCTGTGCCTCCCACATGTACCGCCTGTGGGGAGGGGCTGCTGTACAGGGCAGGTGGCATGGGGGCGGCTCCAGGCGTCGGGCGGGCAGTGGTCTCAGGTGGCCCAGGGCTGCTGGAAGGCCAGCTGAGGATGTGCTTGCAGGGCACAACATGCAGGTGAAGGCCACGCAGGCAGGCCTCTGCGTCCATGTAGCAGCGGTTATAGTAGGTGAGGCCATCTGAGGCGCAGGTGAAGCTAGGTTCCTTCTCACAGCGGTCACGGCAGCGACACACGGGCTGCCCATCCCAGATATCGCAATCAGAACCCTGCTGTGGGCACTGGAAGCCCTCACAGGAGGCTGCCATTGAGGGTGTGGCTGGGCCACCATCAGGGAATCGGGCTGCCACGCAGCTCTGCAGCCCACACACGTTGGTGCAGCACTTCTCGGAGGCTGTGCAGTCCTGGGGGTGGGGGTACTTCAGTGTATACCCTGACTCCCTCTTAGCCCTCCCCCCAGGGTCTCCAACCTTGCCCCTGTGCCAGAGTATACAGATGGGGCAGAAGTGAGCCTCTGCCCTGCGGCTGCACTTCAAGCCTCAATTTCCCCTCTGGAAATTGGACAGGGTCTTCTGTCCAGTATGAGCTGCAAGGCCACATGCATCCCCTCCTTCACCCTCACCGAGTCCTCAAAACCCATAAGCAAGTCTCATCATCACTCCAGTAGTGCAGATGAGCGTGCTGAGGTCCAGGCTCAAAGGCAGGACAGTAGCCCCCCAACTACTCTGCCATCACAGGCAGTCTTGTGCCCAACCCTTGGAAGCCTGTCCCCGTCCTGTGTGGGGGAAGGGCCACAGCTCAGGGCAGGGTGATGCAGTTTATGATGGTGGGTCAGAGACCTATGTCTGCTTGTCCTCAGAGATAGGCAGGAGGGGGCAGGTTTGGTGAGGATGAGATGGCCCAGCAGAGTGCACAATGGGGCTCTTGTTCTTCAGACAGGTGAGGGCAAAGATGTGAATGTCCTGTGGGCCCCTCATACATGCCATGACCCAAAATCTAGGCAGAAGTGTGAAAAGACCCAGGAGGAAGTGGGCTTCTGGAGACGGGGTCCCCTCCCCCTACAGAGGAAAGGAGTACAGGGGTGGGGCCCAAGGATTCCTGGGGTCTGAGGACTCACCTGGTCCCTGATGCACTCATGCTCACAGGTGCTCTGGGCGTCGACCCACAGGTGTGGGCTGAGCTGGTTGGGGCACACACCTGGATGACTCCCAGGCTCTGGCAGTGGGCCAGCACCCACAGTCAGCCCAATGATGCTGATGACAAGCAGCAGAGGGAGAAGCAGCTGCAGGGCGGGCATGGGGACCTCTGGGCCAGGGGGCAGGGGTGTATGGCCACCAGCCCCTCCTTAGGCCCCACAGAGCTGCGACTCCCTGCAGGCATCCACCCTCTGGGCTTGGAACTGCTGCCTTGGATGGTCCTCCCTTTCTGACGACTCCTGGGCCACTGAGCCTGGAGCTCACAGCAGATGCTCCCTCCTTGCACCCCAAACTGGTGGGCTTTGAGGTCTCAGAGCTTGTCCATGTGGCGCCTGCCTCTCTCCAGCCTGGCCCCTCTCCTAACAACTGTGGGTGGCTTCCAGGCCCTGGTCAGCAAGGGGCAGGGAGTGGGAGAGGAGGGAGGGAGAGGGAGGGGCCAGAGGCCCTGAAGCTCAGAGCCACTGGCCACAAGGGTCACTGAGGGGCGGAGAAGGGCCAGCTCTGGCCAGAGAGGGAGATGCTGTAACCCGAGTCCCTCCCTCCACAAGCTGGAGCCCAGCAGGGATCAAAGTCTCCTTGAAGACCCTCCCACTTCCACTCAGGAGGGGAGGGGGCAGGGCTGGCAGATCTCAGCTTTTGTCCCCTACCCTTGGGTCTCCCATGTGCTGGCTGAGGGTGGACAGGCACTTATACCATCTCTAACTGACCGATAGCTTGGGCTTCCCCCAAGGCAGGTTCAGGTTGGCACCTGTCACCTGAGTGATAGGTAAAGCACAGAGGCTCCACTTTCAGCCCAGCAAATGGTGAGAATTCTGTTCTCTTCCCTGAAAAGACTCTTCATCTCCTCCATGACCTTTTTAGGTTCACATATGCTGACAGGTCTTGGAGTTGACCTGCTGACCACTAGTGGGGGCCTGACTCAGCAGGACGTAACCTCCCAGAGACCCCTCCACCAAAACTGGGCCCCTGGCTCCTGGCCAGGATGCTGTGCTCCTCAGGCTTTTTGGACAAGGCAGGTACAAAAAAGTTGGGGTCCCATGGCTATTCTGGGGTGGAAACAGATGGCTTATGTGCACTGGCCATGTGGCCCAGCACAAGTGTGGCTCACATGGGACATTCATGTAGAGGTTCCCAGGGCATCTAAGTGCGCCCTGAAAGGAGCAAGCATCCTAGAAGTTGCTGGGGGACAGAAGGCACGAGAGCCAGCATCCACCTCCAGCTGGACCAGAGGCCCCTCCCCTGTGGGGGAGGGCAGGGAGCCAGTCAGGCTTTCAGCAGAGATCAAAAGATCAAAGCTGTTAGCTGGACAAAGGACTGCCTGGAATCTGCCCTTGCAAACCTTTCTGTGGCTCCAGAGGTCCAGGGGGAGTGGTTTTCTCCAGACAGGAAAGAAAACGCCGGAATGGCCCTTCATCCGACTTCACCCAGGAGGCACGGTAATGAGTATGGTCTGGCCAGCATGGCTGACAGGCGCCAGTGTCTCCTGTCTGAGGAGGTGGGGGCAGAGGGTGGCTGGACCACAGGTGTTTGCATGGGGCCTGGGCAGAAGTTCACTGCAGCCTGGCAGGCCCCAGCCAGGGAGGGGTTTGAGGCCCAGGATGCTCCCAAGGAAGAGAGTACAGGTGGGTGCCTAGAACAGAGGCCATATTAAAAGTGGAATGTCCCCATCCCACTCAGCTCTGACCTCTGGGGCATCCAACATATCCCTGGCTGAGCAGGGTCCTGCAAAGCCCCCATACCCCTCCAGGTGCTTTCTTACAGAAGGTGCCAACCCGAGAACCCACTTGCAGTAGCATATAGCTGTGGGGATGGTCTACCAGTAGGGGCTGTGAGCAAGGGCTTGGCTTGAGGAGGTGGGCTGTCCCGGCCTGCCTCAGTCCCTGTGAAATGTAGTATAGTGTGGTTTGTAACCAGGCCTAGCCATGCCAGTCCACCCTCAGCTCTCACGGTTGGAAATGTGAACCCAATGAATGGCTGCAGGTCAGCAAGGTCAAGCACAGGGGACAAAGGGTCAACAAAGCCTGGGGTCAGTCTGGCAGGCACAAAGCAGTGCTGGCTCCTTTGGCAGCACCCCCCTGCCCCCACCCCCAGCTTATGAGCAGCTGAAGTCTGAGACTAATTCATACATGAGCCAAACAGAGATCACAGCTGAAATACGTTTACTATACAAAGTAAGAACAAAGAACCCAGGAATGGTAGAATCCACAGCAGCGAGGGTAGTGTTGATATTGTGCACAAAAGACCGTCTAGGGCCTCAAAACAAAGTTCGTGCAATTGCGTTCATGATTCTAGAGAAAAGGGCTCTGTTGGCAGCCACAGGGCAGGTGGACCAGGAGAGGGTGAAGCCAGATGGTGGCTACCCTCAGAGCCAGGGGCCACAGCCCTTTCCCCAGCAGATTGACTCATCTCCCAGAACAGCAGGCCGGGTGCTGTGCATCCACCGGTGCCTCAGTAACACCCATGGCAAGACAGTCACAGGAAATGTGCACTAAGAAGGTCCCTGGTTAGGGGTCAAGGCTCCTCCTGTGGCCACGGGCCTGAAGGCAGGAGGTAGAGTTGAGCACCAGTGCGACTGAGGGCTGTGTCACCAGACCAGGGCAGGGAAGAGGTTACAGAGGACAACGTCCCCAGTGAGGGGGCTGCCCGGGCAAGTAGGGGCAGGAAAGGGCACTGTGGAGATCAGTACATGGCTTCAAGAGGGCACGGTGACAAAGCCTAGCTGTGCTCCAGCACAAGGGCTAGGCTGGTGGGTCCCCGAGGAGGGACTTGGTGTCCACTCCTGTAGTCCGCAGTGTGGTTGAGGCTGCTGTTCCAGGTGGTGTTACTAAGAAACCAGTCAAAGAGGTTCCAGTGACATGTGACCTCATGGGCAGAAGGGTCACAACAGGCAAGGAGTAGCTGTAGCTGAGGTTGATGAGCACAAGCTGCCAAGGGTAGGAGGCTGCAAAGAGGGGCCCTACTGGGGGCCAGCAGACTGCAGCCCAGTAAGTACTTAAGGTCTACAGATGACTCTGCACCCTCAACCTGGAGATGCTGGGCTGAGTTTGTGTAGTAAACATCACCAAAAGCATCAGGGCAATGGGGAGGGCCCCAGGGGCAGCAGAGGTCAGGCTCCTGGGTGCACCCCACTTCTCTCCTACGAACTGCCTGAGCTCTGATACACAGGGATGACATCCAGGGGCTGTCAGGAGCCAGATCCTTACCTGTGGCCCAGCATAGTGACTACCTCAGTCAGAAATGGAGGCTGGGGCTAATATGGCTGCCAGAAGTAGGAGAGTGCCTTGCTCCATTGTTTCCCACTGGCCTCTGACAGCACCGACACCCCAGGCAAAGAGTATACAAATCCAAGGAACATTCAGTTTTCAGGCTGACTCCTTCCATCACAGACTCAAACCCCTCCTTCCCTGACAGAACTCTCCCCACAGCCTCTGTGGCTGTGCAGGGGCAAGCTCACCACATGGCTGCATCCAGGCTTCCCTGACAGCCCCTTAAAAATGTACAAAATGGGTGAAATGTTCTCCATATAAATAAGAAATGGAAGCCAGGCTCCCTCCCGGCCTGAGCCCAGGCAGCCCTGGAATCCGGGGTTGGTTCAGACCTTGCTCCCATAGCACCAGCAGCCCCTCTGCCCAGTCTATGGAGTGTGTTCTCTCCTTCAGGACCCTCCCTTCCACTTAGCTCAGGTGTGGGAGCCTGAGCTTCCTAGGCAGGGCTGTGTGGCCAAGTCTTCCTGCATAGAGCAGGGCCCAAGCACTTGGCCAGGAGTGCCCCAGTTTGAGTCCCCGGAGTCTGCACAGGTGTTGTCTGTCAGCCCTGCTAGGAGATCTTGCAGTTGCTCCGAGAGCAGTTCTGCGGTGGGCTCTGGGGAGGACGGATGGACTTGGACCTCTTGAGACTGTTGCCCTTGCTGGCACTGCCCCCAGCCCCACTGGCCAGGGAGTAGGAGCGCCCATGCATCATGACAGCATTCATGCCGTTGGCCATGGAGAAGGACTTGAGGTGGCTCTTGATGGTGACTGGCAGTGGAAGCTTGTCGATGAGATGCACTGGTGTGCAGGAGACAATGGCACGGCAGCAGAGGTCCTGCAAGCTGAAAACTGGGGGAGGAGGGGTCAGATGATTGAGGGGAGGGGCAGTGAGGCCCTGGATGGAGAGACACTGAAGAATGCACAACCCTCTCACCACCAGATAAGGGACTACTGAATCCCAAATCCTGGCTGGGAGAGTCTCGAAAGCTCCTGGTGGCTTCTCTGAGACAGGGCCCCTGGGGGACCTGAATGCCTAGCTACTCCACCCAGCATTCACTGGGTGGCTTCCTTCTCCTGCCTTCTTTCCTAGAGCAGAGACTACTGCAAAGTGCTGCTGTGAGACTGGCTTCCAGAGACCAGTCTGCCCCGCTGCCCTAGGAGACTGAAGTTGAGTGAGTGGAGTAGCTCACTAGCTTTTGGAGTCCAGTCTGCAGCCCCTCCTGTAACTATACTTGGAGTTTAACTCAATCTAGCCTGCTGTACATGGCTAAGGTCTAGAGAGTGCTCTTCATGGGCACTGCTTGTGGGCATGGCAGGCCCAGGGCACAAGGGTCTTTCTAACTCCCCATGAGAAAGGAGGAATTTAGACACCTTGTTCTTCCCTGTGCCTTAATCTTAAGGTGACATTGTGCCCAGCAGTAAGCCCTGTTGGGAAGCACCATAAAGTTAGTGGCAGGTCTCCCTGATCATGAGGCCATTGTTGGGGACTTCTGATTGAGGATCTTGGCATGAAACACTGCAAGAGCTGTACAGAGCAGGGTGTGACCACCCAATCTAAGATCCTGTCTCCAGAGCAATGAAAGCCTCCCCACCCCCACCCCACTCCCACACAGAAGTTTGGTTCTCACTGCACCATGGGGAGAGGTGAGGAGATGACCTGCTTGCCCTTACAGTTCAGGGCCTGAACAAGTACCCCAGGTGTCTGCCACTCTTAAGAGGCCACCTCAACTTTTATTCCCCCTGCCATCCCCCAAGGCTCCACCCTAGCCTTACAGGGCTCTGTCCCACATCCATGCCCTAGCCAAGCCCCAACCCCACCTCGATTGGGCCTCCAGATCTTTTCCATGCCATGCCTCATGAGTACGATGCGGGAGAGCTCAGTGAAGGACTCAATGACGTTGAAGTTGCACAGGGGGCTGACTTCAAAAAAGGTCATGCAGTTCTTTTCTGCGTAGGCACGGGCCTGCTCTGTTGGGACTTGACGCTTGAAGGCCAGGTGCAGCCGGTTCCCAACCAGGATCCGGGGGACCCCAGGTGCATGCTTGGGGAGGAGGGTACAGAACTCAGTAGAGGCACAACTATAGAAGTCCCCCCAACCCTTACCAGTAGGCAGGGCCCCCACTGTCTGCATTCTGGGGTGGGGTGGGCTCAGGGAGGTTTGGGTAGGCCAGGCTGCATGGCAAAGCCTAGCTGTTCACATGCTGAACCTCACAGTTGGGCAGTATACCCAGACATGGACCAAACAAGCTGGGCCCTACACCGTCCCTAGAGGGGCAGAAACCCACACCTACCTCATCAATCTCCTTGATCCACCGGTCAATACCGTCAAAAGACCAACGATTGGTGATGTCGTAAACCAGGAGGATCCCCTGTGAGGGAAAGAGATGCACATGACAAAGGTCATCCACAGGCACAGCTGGGCCTGGGCCCAGGCTCAGGGGGAACTTGCTGGACACAGCAGTCTCAGTTCCTGGGCAGGTTATTAGCATGATGGGTGGTGGGAAATTACCTGCCACCAACAGGAGGGCAGCAGGGAGGGGACCCTTGGTCAGTGGAACAGGCCTGGCCCACAAATGCTGCTCTCCTCCCTGAGGACTCAGATGGGGCAGAACTGACTTTTTTCAACTTTTTTCTCCAAGCCCATCACAAACACTACTCTGAAATCATTCAAAAATCACACAGCTAAGCCACACACACAAGTCTGGCTGTGGGGCTGCAGGGCTGCAGAGCTGCAGGATGGGAGCCAAGTATCCTCACAGTCAGTCTGTCAGTGAACTCCGCCCTAGGGGCACCCAGGGCAGAGCTGAGCAGAGGCATCTCTGCGTTTTCCAACCTCAAACTTGCATAGCAGGATGTCAGTGGCTTCAGGAGCAGTTTTTGTGAGACTCCCTCAAGCCGGGCTGAGCAGGATTTGCTACAGGGTCTTTCTTGCTACATCCCTTAGAGACCAATTACTGGGAGCTCAGCTCTAGGCTGTCTCCATCTGCCCTAAATATCTCAGCAGTGATACTGTGATGGGCTCTCCAGCAGGCATGACACTGAGCATACCGCTCACCACATAGCATTAAATACAACATTCCAGTCCATCTCTCTTTGTACAGTACAGTCTACTTTGAGGAAGGCTCAGGAATCAGAATCCACTCATTGAGAGGAACTCACACTACTCCCTGTCCCACAAATCTTCACGCAGTGAAGGGCACAGAAGGGGCAAAGAGAAAAGCATAGCTGTGAGTGGAGAGAGAGGGCACTCTGCACTTCAGAGTCTGGAAATTAGGACTTTTAAAGCCTGTCTTCCTAAATACAGCCAGTCATGGTTAGCCTCCAGGGCCTAATAAGACAAAGGCTAAAACTACTTGAATACCAACCCTGCAGGTCCCTGTACTTAGAACAGCTGGCCTGGCTCACAACAGGGTAGCAGTTCAGGAGGAGCCTCTCTAGCCCTGTAGAGGACTTCACACCTGAGGCCAGGTGCCACTTAGAGGAGCTGACCAACTTGAGCTTCACAGCCAGGAGCCAGTTTGATGGGTGAAAAATTGTAAGATTTACAATAAACAAACACACATCTAAGAGTAAGCCCTGGTGCTCATTGCAGCCAGAGGAGAGGACACTTGGAGGGACAGTGACACACACAGCATCACAGTAGGCCCTCTGGATGGCAATTTGCTCCTGAGGACCACTGAAGGATGTGCCAAAGACCACCCTCCAGAGGGTCATCCCAATGTGTTTAAAACAACAAAACATTCAATGGTAGAGCACTTGTTTAGCATTTATGAGTCCCTGGGCTCCAGCTCTAGCACCATGGGGGGAAAAAAAAAAAAAAAAACCCTAATGTCCATTCCCAAGAGAGTAAGTCAGGGTGAAGCATCATATAGATAATAAACACTAACAGAGCTGGTATGTAGTTCAGTGGCAAAGCGCCCGCATAGCATGCCCTGAATTCCAACTGCAGCACCACAAAAAAACCAAACCAAAACAAAACCCCAAAACAAATCACAGAAAGATGCATGGCAAATTGTGAAGAAGTACAGGTCCCAAATGAGAATACAACACATCCCCTAGGAGGTGTGCACAGACACACTTTTACTTTTTGCTTATAACCTCTATTTTCTGCAGTAATCATCATTCATGTCACATTTAAAACAAGTGAGCATGCTAAATTTTGTTGACTTGTATATGGAAGTTCATTGTACTATTCTCTCTAACCTATTAATGTAATTTTGCATAATAATCTATTTTAAATATCTTGAAAAATAAAATCAAGAGAACTCAAAAAAAAAGAAAAAAATAAATAAAACAAGTGAGCAGAAGGCCTACTTCCTGGGTTAGATGGCTTCCACCTGGATGGCTCTTAAAGCGATCCTGAGCAGACAGGCCTTTCCTGGGACTGTCCAAGTCTAAAGAACTGGGGTTAGAGGAGAGGAGACAGGGCTGAAGGACACACAAATAAATGCCAGCATTGGTCACATTACAGGTGGAGGGACCAAAGGATCCCTGGATTTGCTAGGGAAAATGATCTGGGATGAACCACAGGCAGGACAGCTGAGAAATCAAAATGAAGTTCTTTCTTACCAGAACCATCCCCCAACCCCAAGTAATCCTTGAATGTCTCAAAGACACATAGATTCTGTTGCCTTTTTAGTAATAAAAGTAATACATGATCTGATCTTTTTTTTAAACTAGTACTCTAGGGTATAAACAAATAGAGGTTTTCACTTCCTCCAGCCCCCAATCCTGTCCCCAATCCCTAACACTCAGAGACTCCTGGACAGTGTTCCCTGTGTGTCTCCCAGATGTCCTAGAACTGTGTGGCCCACAGATAGGATCATGTCAAAGAGCTGGGATTCACCCAACCTGGAGTCAGACCTGGCCCCTCCCTGACAGAGGCCAGCACTCCACACCAGGCACCTTAACTAGTCTTAGGCAATTTCAACTTCTTGTGACAAATATCTGCAAAGTGCCTCTGAGCATATATACAGTACTGTGTGTGGCAAGGGAGTGGCGAGTGGCCTTTTCTGACACCATGTGAAAGACCCAGGCTCCCTAGGGACCCACAAGGCCTGTTTGGTCTTAACAGAGGGTAGGAGAGTGATAAAACTTCAGGGCCATTCAGAGAAGTGCTCTGTAGAATCAGGTCTGCACCTATGCTGAAAACTGCCATCTCCCATCTCTAATGTCATCAGGATGGAGTACAGAGATAAGACAGGGACAGGGATGGAACTAGGGGCTTTGTCTCGGAGACAAAGCCCCCAAGAAGTGCCTGCACATCCATTCAAGCCCAAGATGTGCACTTGGAGTCTCCAACTAGCTCCTCACATCCAAGAGACAGCAATAACAAAACAAAAGAAAAACACATCTAACCAATGTACAAATGAGCCTATTTGGAGCTGTCGGGATGAATCCCTCCCATAACAAATATATCCTAATAAAAAAAAGAATGACCCAAACTTTGTGAATATCCATCCCCTTTTCAGTTCTCACATATTGAGCAAAAGCAATTAAAGGACTTTCCTTGTTATAACCAGGAAAACCCTGTGTAGCACAGCAATGAGCCCTGTCAGGCTTAGTCTCTCATGGCCTTTTGCATTTTTTCCCCAATAATCCTTTATTATCAACCAACCAAGATAATTACTCCCTCATTTTATTTTTTTATTGCAAAAATATGTGTGCTTATTACAGAAAAATTAGGAAATGCTACTAAGCAAAAGGATGGCAATGAAAACACTTCTGCAGATATAAAAGATGTTTATGTTTTTTTCTTTAAAGACAAATGGGGCCCATGGAATGCACCCTTTGCCCCATGCTCCTTGCCAAGCCTTGTAATCTGGGGCTGCCAAGATCTTGCCCTATGGTTTCCTCCTTAACTCACTCATACCTCTGGTGCCAGACATGGTGGTAGCAAGTGCTTAATGCTGTGACTAACATCCTTGAGGGCTTCCTGCCAGCCTGATTACCTCAGAATCAGTGACTCCCAAGTGGAAGTGCAGGTTAAAGGCAATGCCTCTGTGGCTGCCCACCTGGACAGGAGGTGGGTCACAGAGCCCATGGGTAGGTAGCTCTTATGACCTTCTGCAGACTCCAGGACAGGGTACTGCCCACCCCAGCCTGGGGATCCTTCTGTATCCAACCCTCAGCAGAAGAGAAACAGCAAAGAGCTAGTGCTGACTGTATTTCAGTACAGACCAATCGTTGAACATCATGCTTTCTGCAAGAGGAGGAGCTTCACAGCATTTATCCCACCTCCTGCCATGTCTAAGAAGCTTCACACACAAGGAGCCTCAGCTATAGCAGGGGAAGTTGGGCCTGCCAACACCTCAGCAGTTTCAACCCTCAGCCAACACCTCAGTGACTTCCACCTGACTCCACCACAGGTGTTCCTTTCTCTTGGCCTCTTTAGGTGGAAGAAAAGCTATGGAGATGAACAGCATGGAAAGGAAGCTGGGATCCTGGATGTCATACATGGGGGCAGGCAGGCAGGCATAGGTGTGTGTTCCTGCCAAGAGCAGACTTCACCTGAACCTTTAACCTTTCTCTAAAGGTGTCCAGACCCCAGAAGAATCTCCTTCTCACCTGCCCCAGAGGCTTTTCCTTGCTAAAGATGATGCCCTGAGGGGGTGGGGAGGGGGCTCTGACACTGAAGGTTCAGTGGCTCTTCCAGAAGTCTAGTATGCATCATGGCAGGACTGAGCTTCTATTTACATCTTTCATGTTGAAGCAGCTGTGTCTACAGCATGTCTAGTCACACAGGTCTCAACTACTTCCCTGCCCTTCTGGTCTTAGAATGGTAAATGGAACTAAAAACATGTAAGGGAGCCCAGGGGACAGAGAACAAGTGTGCCCTCCATACCTGTGGCATACACCTGTGCATGACAGTGCTCTTCCATGGGCAGGACAAGCCCATCTACATCCTGTTCTTTGCTGTGGTCTCACCCTTGTCCCAAGGATCTGCTGCAGGCTCTGGGAAAGCACCCATCTTTAGTACTTCTAATCTTTAGAGTCCTAACTTAGGAAACAGCCCTGGCCATTCCCAGAGCTAGTCACATCCCCCAGCAGGCTCTGAACTCCACAAATGAGGGTCCTGGGCAGATACAGGAGTCAACTTTGGTTTCTAGTGAAACAGATGAATGAGTTGCATTTTCACACCTTAGAGAGGCTGCCGCAGTGGCCATGCTAGACTCAGGGCACATCTCATGGCACTGTGCAGATTGCCACTGACCACAGTTGCAGCAATAGCACTGGTCTGCACAGGGACACTGAAAGCAGACGCCTGGGGACCTAGGCACTCTTCTGATAGGCAACCAGGGAGCAGAGGCTCCTAGGCTCAAGAGGCCACTGGAGGACACATCTTTCCACAGACAGCAATTCAGAAAACCGGACAGGACAGCAGCCCACGTCCAGAAAGAATCAGGAGAAGCATTCATTTAAAAACAACGGAATACTTCCAGTCTTACCTGTGCACCCCTGGAGTAGGACCTGAAGATGGTACAGAACCTTCCCTGGCCCGATGTGTCCCTGAAACACACAGGGAGGGTCAGGAGGGGCAGCAGCCAGGGGACCCTCCAGTGAGCACATGTGATCCCCTTGTGAGAGGCTCAATCACACCCTCTTCTCTCCTCCACAGCTCATTCTGCATGTCCTGGAGAGGCCAAAGGGAGGCTGGCCAGAGCAGGCACAGATAGGCTGTGCCAAATGGTGCTAACTGTTAAGGGATCACTCTAGGACACCACCCAGGCAGGCAGTGGAGGGAGCCAGTCTCCAACACAGGTCCAGGAGCTGGCAACACTGTCCAGACAGCCCCAGACCCGTAGGAATCCATGTGTTGACTTTGAAGTTCTGGGATATACTCCATTCTTTTCTTTCCTTCTTTCTCGCTCTTTTTCTTTCTTTTGTTTTTTTTCTGAGATAGGATCTTGCGAACTATTTGCCCAGCTGGCTTTGAACCATGATTCTCCTGATCTCTGCCTCCTAGGATTATAGGAGTGAGCCACCGGCGCCTGGCTGGCCTTTTTTTTTTTTTTTTTTCCTGAGACAAGGTCAGGCTGGTGTAGCTCAGGCTGGCCTCAAACTGTTGATCCTCCTGCCTCAGCTTCCTGAGTGCTGGGATTACAGGTGTGAGCTGCCTCATGTAGTTAGGACATGCTCTTTAATGTGAAACCCAGAAATAGGCCAGGGAAAGGGGCTATGGCTACTGTGGAAACAGGTCTTTATGAGCAAAAAGGGAGCAAGCTCAGAACAAAACATCCTGAACTTTTTGTTTTTCTCATGATGGAGCAAAATTCATTCCCTGTCTGAACAGGTTTTGTTTAAATGGCTACTTCAAGAAAGATGAAAACAGGAGCCCAGCACAGTGGCTAATGCCTATAATCCTAGTCACCTGGAAGGCTGAGACAGGAGGATTGTGATTCAAGGCCAGTCCAGGCAAACAGTTCAGGACACCCTACCAGAGCAAAATGGATGGGAGATGTAGTTCAAGCAGTAAAGCGCCTGTTTTGCAAACACAAAGCCCTGAGTTTAAACACCAGTCCCAACAACAAAAAAAAGAAAAGAAAAGAAAACAGGGCATCTTCCTATTTCCTAACTAGACTTCCGTGTCCCCCAACTGATCACCAACTCACCAGAGCTCCAGCTTGACACGCCGGCCATCTAGCAGGATGGTGGTCGTCTTGTAGTCAATCCCTGTGAGGAAGCAGAGGTGTGAGGGCATCCATCAGCAACTGGCCTCCCTAGGGCTCAGACTCCTTGCTCAAGTCTCCACTGTAAAGTGGAGAAACACTTCCACTACTACTACAATGACCTGCTGGGAGCAGGGCAGGAATCACTGCTCTAGGCCATGGCATTCTTGGAGCCCATTCCAGCCCACTTTGCACAGCAGCTGCAGGGCAGGAGCACAGGTCAAGACAGGGTACCAGCCACACACTGGCTATGCCAATGTCTCTAGAGGTTCTGGGCCCAGGACACCTGGAGAAAAATGGCTCATCCTCACTCTGACCTACCACATACAGATTCTGGAGCAGAACTCTCAAAAGCTAATGGATTTCCAAGTTCTTGGGTTCACTATATTTCCCAGGTACTGACAACTGAAGCATGCTTGATGCATTATTAAGGGAAAGTAATTTATTACATGCTGTTTCCTGGAGAACACTCATGGAAAAAGGTTCAAGAGAAGTTGGTGGGAGCAGGCAGTGTTTGACACTTAACTTACAGGCAACGTCAGAGCCTTTTCACAAGCTCCTATCTAGTGCTCAGTCCTTGCCTTTTTTTTTTTTTTTTAAAACTCTGGGCCTTAAACTTGTTAGGCCAGTGCTCTACCACTTCAGCCACACTCCCAGCTTTTGTTTGAGATGGGGTCCTGCTATATAGTCCAGCCTGGCCTCAAACTTACAATCTTACCTTACACTGCCCAAGTCTTAAAAACACATCAGCTTCTCCCCTTTTATAATACTTGCTCCAAAGGGTTTTTTTTTTTTCATGCTTCAGACCAAAACAAAGGGTTTTTTAAAACATAGGCATCACTCTGTGTGTGTGTGTGTGTGTGTGTGTGTGTGTGTGTGTCCGACCCATCCCTGTAGGCACATCTTCTGGCATCCCCTTTTAGGAAGGCATCAGTGGCTCCTTCCAGGCCCTCTTTCTGCCTGGCCAACTAGGAACTGCATGTCAAAATCTGGTTCTCATGCATCAAAGGACACTATTAGTAGAGTGAAAAATGCAACCTACAGAGTAAAAGAAAATATTTGCAAATAAATCATGTATCTCATTAGAGACTCAGAGCTCTTTAAAGAACTTCAACTCAAAAAAAAAAAAAGATCCAGACTGGTGAAGTGGCTCAAGTGGTAGAGCCTCAGTGCTGCCAAAAATAAAAAAACCAAACCAACAAACAAAACAAACAAAAAACCCAAAACATTAAAAAATGAGCAAAGGAGCCAGGCATGATGGGACACACTTTTTAATCCCAGCTACTCAGGAGGTGGAAGCAGGAGGATCCCAAGCATGAGGCCAGGCCAACCAAACAAAAACCTAGCAAGACCCTATCTCAAAAAAAAAGTGGGGGGGGGGAACTGGGGGCGTAGCACAAGTAATAGAATATTTGCTTCATGTGCACCAGACCCTAGATTTAATCACCAGTACCAGCACTCCACCTAAAAAAGGCAAAGACATTTCCCCAAAAAAGATACTAATGGCCACAAAACACAAGAAATGATGTTGAATATCATCAGTCACTAGGAAATGCAAATCAAAACCATACACTACACTTTACACTGGGAGGACAGTTAGAACCAAAACAACAGACGGCCAGCAGAGTAAGGGTGTGGATAAACCCTTCTACACTGTCAGAGGGCTGTAAAATTATGATTGCACAATTGTGCAAATGTACACAGTGCCACTGACCTGAGCATCTGAACACAGCTGAAACTATAGAGCATATGTGCATTCACACAGTAAACAGCAAGGGGTGTCTCATGCACACCCTCAGGAGAGAAACCCCAGGCCCAGCCGACAGCACTTCTGTACCCTTCTCTGCACCATTTCCTCAGCTTCTCTGGTGGAAGCTCAATGCTGGTGGCTGCAGCCCCCAAGAGAAGCTCAGGAGGACTCTGTGCAAACACATTTAGACCCAGCTCTTGAGCCCAGTGTTACCTCCATTTGCAGATAGCAGGAGCTACAGGGATGACCCTGACTGTGTGCCCTGAGGACTCCCCCAAGCCGGTTCCCCCAGGAAAGCCACTGCCCTGCCACCAAGCCACCCCTAGATGGTGCTGTTGCCCCAGGCCTGGCTAGGGAGCTGTGGCTGCAGTTGGGGAGCAGTGGATACCCAGGAAAAGCCTAAAAAGACACCATATTTGTCACCAATAGACCTGGGCCACAAAGAGCTGTGCTGATACCTTAGTCTGTCGCCACCACTGGAAGCACTATCTTCAGTGGGATTCTGAGGATGTCCCTACCACTGACCCAACTGACTGGTATGACACTGAAAGGCTTACCTAGCAGGTACCTGCATTTAGGAAACTGCTGCATTTACCACTCTCACAATGGGCAGATAACAGAAGAGCCCCAGCCCCAGCAAGTTCCTGAGCTCTTCTAGAACACAGATGCTCTGCAGTCCTGGTGACCAGGTCCAGCACACCTCAAGAATGGGGCTGCAGAGGGTGAAAAGCTTCCACTCTGGCCACTGCCTTCTGAGCAAATACTCAGCTGTTTTCTACTTACTGATCAGGAGAAACAATCTAAGATCACAACATCATCACCATTGAAAATGATGTAGACTCAACAGTGACCGTGTTCTCTAAGCACAGTCTGCAAAGGGTCTTGCTACTGGTGACCCAAGGTCGCTAGTCCTAGAATGTGACTCTGGAGCAAGTCTGGATCTCAGAGAAGAGATTATGGTCTCATGGGGACGGGTGTCTCTACCCCACCAGCCTGGTACTCACATGGGCACTGCAAGAAGGTTCAAGGTTGGGGCTCAGCACACTCAGCATTGAGGTGAGAGGGCAGTGAGTCCTCAAACAGACAGTAGGGTATAACTGAGGGCAGGTGCAGGCAGCTGACCACCAGAAGACACCAGAAGCTCAGGTGAGAGTGGAGAGCTCCCAAGTTGACTCTTTCACTTGGAAATTTGGTCAAGATATAAAAGGTATCAACTGTACTCTTCATGCTTACTCTGTCCAACCTCACAAGCCTGTATTGTCCCTCTTACTTATCCAAAGTTCCTTAGAAGTAAGCTACTTTAAAAAAAAAAAGATGGGTCTAGAAGTAAGTATAGTGGTAGAGTGCATGTTTAGATGCCCTGGGCTCAATCCCTAGCATCAAAAATAAAAATAAAAGACGATCAGGAGTTTTATTCAAAATATTTAAAACTTGAGCCTGGGGTGCCAGTGGTTCACACCTGTAATCCAAGCTATTCAGAGGCAGAGATCAGGAAGATCATGGTTCAAAGCTAGCCTAGGCAACACGTTTGTGAAACCCTATCTTGAAAAAAACACATCACAAAAAAAGGTCTGGTGATGAGTGCATATATTAAAAAGACTGAAAGATCTCAAATCAATGACCTAATGTTACATCTCAAACTCCTAGAAAAACAAAGAACAAGCAATCCCAAACAAAAATAGAAGGAGAAAATAATAAAAACAAGAGCTGAAATCAATGAAGTAGAAAACCCAAAAAAACCATACAAAGAATTAATGAAACCAGTCTGGTTCTTTGAAAAAATAAACAAGATCAATAGACCCTGGCAAACCTGACTAAAATGAGGAGAGAAAAAACCCAAATTAGAAAATCAGGAATGCAAAAAGGGGAAGATAAACAAACACCATGGAAGTCCAGGAAATCATAGAGACACTTGAGAACCTATATTCAAATAAATTCGAAAATCTTAAAGAAATGAGCAGATTTCTAGATTATGATCATCCAAAACTGACCAAGAGGAAATTAATCACATGAATAGATCTATACACAAAATGAAATTGAAGCAGCAATCAAGAGTCTCCCAAAAGAAAAGTCCAGGACCTGATGGATTCTCTGCTAAATTCTATCAGACCTTTAAAGAAAACTGATACCAACCCTCCTTAAACTGTTCCATGAAATAGAAAGGGAAGGAAAACTGCCAAACACATTTTATGAAGCCAGTATTACACTTATCCCAAAACCAGGCAAAGACACCTCCAAAAAGGAGAATATGGCCAATCTCCTTAATGAAACTGATGCAAAAATCCTCAATAAAATAATGGCAAACCTGAATTCAACAACACATCAAAAAGATCATTTACCATGACCAAGTAGGCTTCATCCCAGGGATGCAGGGTGGTTCAACATATGAAAATCAATAAACGTAATAAACCACATTAACAGAAGCAAAGACAAAAAACCACTTGATCATCTCAATAGATGCAGAAAAAGCCTTTTGATAAGATCCAACACATTTCATGATAAAAGCTTTAAGAAAACTAGGAATAAGGAAAATCCTCAACATTATAAAAGCTTATTGACAACCTACAGCCAGCATTATACTTAATGGGAAAACTGAAACCATTCCCTCTAAAAATCAGGAACCAGACAAGGATGCCCACTATCTCCACTCCTATTCAAACATAGTACTGGAATTCCTAGCCAGAGCAATTAGGCAAGAAGAAGGAATAAAGGAATACAAATAGGTAAAGAAACTGTCAAATATCCCTATTTGCAGATGACATGATCATACCTTAAAGACCCAAAAAACTCTACTCAAAAGCTTCCTAGACACCATCATAGCTATAGCAAGGTAGCAGGATATAAAATCAACATAGAAAAATCATTAGCATTTCTATACACTAATAATGAACAAACTGAAAAGAATATATGAAAACAATTCCATTTACAATAGCCTCAAAAAAAAATCAATACCTAGGTGTAAACTTAACAAAGGATGTGAACAACCTCTACAGGAAAACTATAAACCTCTGAAGAGAAGAGATTGAGAAGACTATAGAAAGTGGAGAGATCTCCCATGCTCATGGATTGGTAGAATCAACATAGTAAAAAATGTCTTACTCCCAAAAGTAATCTACATGTTTAATGCAATTCCCATCAAAATTCCAATGACATTCATTAAAGAGATTGAAAAATCTACGTGAAATTTATATGGAAACACAAGAGGCCACGAATAGCCAAGGCATACTCAGTCAAAAGAAACTGCTGGAGGTATC